CTGTACTAGCCGTCCCCGCAAGGACACGCACGACTAGTCCCAATCACCGCACAGCAGCACAGACAAGGGCGATGACGAGCAGCAGCAGGGGCGTGCGCACCCACACAGTGGTGACGTCGCTGCCGTCCAGAACGACAAAATTCTGCAACAAAGCAGCGATATCTTCTGTACTTTCGTTTGCACTTTCGTCTCTGGTCGGTCGGAGCGGATTCGTGCCGGCAACGGTGCTGTTGCCTTCGCCACTGGCGTCGGATTCGCTGTCACCCTCATTACTGTTGTGGGAAGTTTCATTGGCTGCGCCGTCGCCGGATGGAGAAGAGGACGGCCGACCGGAAGCTTCGGGTGCCGATGCCACGTGTTCGTTCGCGACACCACCGAGTGGCGACGCGTCCTGCACGTTACCCGGTGATTCTCCTTTCCTCTGGACTCTTTCATCCACGACACTCCCGTCGTCACGTTGCCGGCTTTGAACTGCCCCTTCTGCGGATGTCAGCGGGCTGGCGGCGATGTTTTCGCTCGAACTTGGGGCAGAGCCGTCCTCGGCTGTGTGGTCAGGCGACTTCTTCTGCGGTGCCTCAGCTGCCTCCCTCGACGGACTGCCGACGCCGCTCTGTGCCTGGTCAACAACCGCCTTTGTCGATGCAGCCGCCGTAGCTGCCGGGGCCGCTGTTCCAGTCTGCGGTTGCGACTGAAGCCGTTGCGCGCCATCAGTGGCCTCCCGATCATTGTTTTGTGCCATCGCCGAGCTGCTGTTCCTTAAACCCCCGTACGTCGCAAATTTTATCTCGAACATAAACTCTACCTGGTCACTGGGAGGAGCGCAAAATATTCTCCTTCTACTTTTCCAATATTCGTAGAAGTCCCCACCGGCAACGCACAGCCGTGCACGCTCATCACTGTCTTGATCGACTTCTTCAGGCTTCTTAGGGCACTTTTTCCATTCCTCCTCGCCTCGAAGATGCCAACTCAACTTACCGTCAGTCCCGGGACACGAAAAATGCACAAACACAAGGCTTTTTGCCGGCACAGCAGTCCCGCAGACGGACAAGGAGCAGCAGCAGCACAAGAGCGCGAGGATCAGCAGGTCGCACACCACGCGGCGCCGCACAGTCACCATCATCATCATTCGTCGTAGAGTCGCTTGACTTTGTGAGACAATCTACACAGCGGGGCAAGGACAACAAGAAGAAGAAGAGGGGGAGAGGAACACATGTGTCGCACTACAGGGACACACACACGCAGACGGCCGTGAAGCAGAACCCAGCACCCCACACGCACCCGAAAGGGGAGGGAGGAGAACAGTGTAGCCCCTAGGCTCCGGTGGATGTAACTGCAGTTCCGTGAACCGGGAAGGGGAGCGCATTCCTCGTGGAGGGCACGCACCCACAATGAGTTGCCGAGCCCGCAGGAGATATGCAGGCAGAAGTGATGGTGTGTGGGCGTTCGGTATGCGGTGTGTCTCACGGGAAAAAGAAAAGCAACGCGAGGGACAATTAAAAATCCCCACATTTGTCCAACAGCGGAGCCACTCCCGCACACACCACCACATCCGCCGCACCGCCGCGAATCACGGTCCTCCCACAAGACTCTCTAAATGCACAGCACGCACGCACCCTCTCCTCCCAGCAACCAAAGAGAACGCACAATACAAGCCCCCTGTGAAGAAAAAACAAAAAATGACAGCACTGTCATGACAACAAAGTGAAGTGACGACAACGAGGTGCGGCCGCAGCAGCCCGCCCCCGCCTTCCGCAACGCGTGGCTCCCCTCTCTCCCTCCCTCGCTTCTCACCCCATAGCCGCCAAGAAGAGGTCCCTCGCGGATCGCCTGTCACAATTCGCCGCCACCCACGATTGAAGGCAATGGACGACGTGTCGGCGGAGCCGCAGTGCACCCATGTGCCGCGCAATCGTGTCTCTCGCCACAAGGCTCTATCAGCACCCCCCGCGCCACCGTCCGTCCGCGCCGCTCTCACCGTCTCGTCACACCAGCGATGCAGGACGCCCTCCCGGAGAAGATGCTCCCGCAGTGGCGCGCCAACGCTGCCGTCCGTCAGCCGCACCGCGCAGTGACTCCCCCCCTGCAGACAGCACCGCAACTCGCTGAACGCGACGTGAATCTCCAGATCCTTGGCCCCAGCGTAGTCCCTCAGGGTGTCGAGGAAGCAGCACAGTCCCACAATTTCCTCCGCAAAGCAACGCCACTTGCCGCGCCAACGCCTCTCCAACAAAAGACGATTATACGCTGGTGGGTAGCGCTCCGCAATCGTCTGCTGCAGGCGCGCGGAGGACACGGAGCAGAGCAGCTCCACCGACGACCCGGCGTGAGACATTGCCATGAACCCCTGCAACACATGCTGCGCCAGCGCTTCCTCCGCCACGGCTGGTCCGTCCGCCGGTGGCAGCGTCAAAGGGAATCGCACCGGATTATTCGCCTGGGCTGCTGGCCGGATCCTCAAGTATCCCAAAGGAATAAAATACGACGGGAAGGAGGTGTGAGTAAATGGAGAGGCAGTGGGTCCGCCAAATCCTCGTTGTTTGCTCCGCATATATTTATTTATTCTGTTGGTCCCACGCACGTGACATGTCGAACGCTCTGTTCGGATTGGATATATATATGTATATATATTACTTACCAAGTGGCAGACCTTGGGCTCCGCCAGCCACAAGGCCCCGCCGCTGTCCTTCGCAAGTTCCACCCCTTTGCCAAGTCCTGAAACGTAAAAACACGACCGCGTGACATGCCGTCTGCGGGGTTTTCTGCAGACCGCACGTGGGCAACGGATGCATGTATTCCGCTAGAGTCCAAAAACTCATATATCCGTCGCAGCTCCCACGTCAAAACGTGTGATTTTGAGCTGCCTTTATTCGCCGCTCCTTGCAGCGAGGTGTCGTCCACCCAAACGTCCATGGTGGATGGCAAGATGGCGGGAAAGGCCAATAAGGCTAAGCGTGCCGCACACGCCTCGGCCTGCATAACAAGAAAAGGCTTTCTCTTCCATTTCCCTCCGGCAATTTTAACGTCGCCGGAGTCTGGAGAATAAAAACGGCTCCCCATCCATGGAGCGATGCGTCCGTGATGATGGCGGCTGATGCCTTTTCCGTGGACCTGATGATTCGCTTGCAATTATTCTCGATCATGTGTCGCAATCTCTCGCCCAAACCAAACGCAGCCGGCGGAAGTTTCGTCGGGGATGTCTCCAGCACAATTCCCCGGTTAAGTGCGGATAATCGCCGTCGTCACGCTGCCTTGATAAAAAAGTAGTAGTCACATAAATGCGTGCCAGAAATGGCAGCCGCATACAAAAGGCGTGACGCCATAACCTCCATTTCCGCGATGGTTGAAGAATTGAGCGCCGGCATGGCGCGTACAGACCGGACAAACTTGTCACTCAGGGATACCGCCCGGTGAGTGATCAAACTGCATCCCCAGGAAGGTGTGATGCGTCGCGCCCGATTCGCGGTCCTCCCCCAAGGATGCGTGACAACTGTCCGCATTACGAAGCACTTGGGCTTCCCACAATGCCAAGTCGCTTTTCGACCCTGCAATGCGTATATTACCGATCCATACGTCGACACGCAGCAATGGAGGTGCAGCCCAGAGGGGGTGAACCACCGTCGTCACCCCCGCAATTGCCGAAGTAATAATTTGGAGGATTTCTGGGCTGGCCTTGTATCCCATTGGGAGCCGTGTGAGCTCCACCAGCGTGCCATCCTCCACGCGGCATCAAAAGGGATGCCGAGTCTCCCGCGATAAAGAGAATTGAAAAAAGGATGCCTTGAAATCCAGGCAGGAAACGGCCTCAGCCATCACAGGCGGCAAATAATGGGAAATGTGTAAAAGAGGAACATTCGCCTCGTAAGGGTCGTCTCTGTTCCTGTCGCGTGGCCACGCGATCTGTCGTCGTCGTGAGCCGATGGTTTTCTCCTCCACAACTGAGAAAGATATTATCCATCCGCCTGTTATTGTGGACGAAGCGTCCTCGACTATTCCCGCTTCCTTCATTAATCGCGCGTCAGCGGTTGGAATCCTCCGTGAGCCTTCGCGCGCTCTACCGGAGGAAGACGGAGGGAAAGGGGACCGCCCGACGAGTCCCCAAACTTGCATGAGTCTCTCCAAGGTAGCCGGGTTCAACCGACTTTTAATCCACTCCAGATTCAATACGGGCACGTTGACTCGCTGTAACGGGATGGTTCGTTCATCTTGTGGAGTGGCCAGACGCGTCCCTGTCGCGCGTCTCGTTATTGTGGCGGAGTAAGGATGAAAATCATGAAAAAACGCTCCTCCGCTCTCAGCCAGGGTTCCTGCCCTTCCGCAGTTTCTCCCTTCATATCCATGCGACCAGCGACGACACCTGGGTCAGCATTGTGATGTACCTCCCCAAATATCAAACAGTATTCTGGGAAAGGTCGAACGGATCGAAGTGCTTCGCCAACCGCGAGATCACGTGTGGATCCAAATTGTACGTCTCCACGATTTGAGCAGCGTGCCTCAGCGCACCGCTTTTTGTGGAATGCGCCGTGGCATTCCAGGGTGCGAAAGCTCGTTCCACTTGAGCAGTCGTAAGATTCGTGAGCTTTTCGTTTTATTGAATTGTCCTGCATAGCTTTATAGTGTCGAGGGCGTCCTGCCCTCGTATCCTGAAGAACCGCGAGGCGCGGTGGGGATCCGCTTTCGCCGTCTTTGGTGCCACGGGCCAATCCAAAATTATGGTCCCGTCAAGCTCCAGTGTGAAACTGTTGAGAGTTAAGGCCACAATCTCGGACCAACGACTCGCCGTTATCCACGCAAGTCGAAAAACAACACGTTCCTTCCAATCGGTCCGGCTGCGGATTACTTGATTCATCTCTTCCTCTGTTAAGGGGCGCGCCTGCTTCGTCTCCGATAGCGCCGCAATTTTTTGTAACCTCAAAGCCACCATGCCCAGCGGAGTTCGTTCCATTTCCAACATGGACCGCAGCATCCTGGCGTACTGCGGTCAGGTCGATGGCGCCACTTCGATTGTCATCAAAAAGGCCGCACAGCTCTCCTCGTTGGTCGGCTGTTCGTGCGTGCGGCGAAAGGTTGTGAATTGCCCCGCCAGGGACATTCTCGGCTCCCACGTTGACGGCGCCCACATCTCTCGAGCCATCTCTTCCTCCCTCCTCGTCAATTCCGTCGGCAGTTTGAACGATCGGATGGAGCGTCGGCGGTGCGGTGCGATGCCTGTGCGGAATAGCGGGAGGTGGTGGATTGGGTGTGACTGCCGTCGCCAGCATTAATGAGCGGCGTGCGGCAGCTCTTCTGCCGTTTTTTAACTTTCGTTTGTAGTTTGGGAAAACCCTTTTGGGGCGCACTTTGCAGGTAGACGCGTCGTGTCCATAAATAAGGCACAATTGGCATAGCAGCGATCGTTGTTGTTGCGATCGAGTTCCCCGTCGATCCATGAAAGGCTGAGCCACCCTCGCGAAGGTGTCATCCTCATGAAAAGCCGTGCGAAGGCGGGCACGCAATTTTTGGATCGGGATGCTGGGGTCGAATTTAATCACGATCTGCATCCGGAAGACCTGCAGTACAATCCTGCCCAAGTCCATGAACTGCTTCTTGGGCTCCCGATGTAACTGCAAGGCGCGCATCCACAAAACCAGAAATGCCAAAGGCGATTCGGGCGTGAGCGTCCCCTCGGTGCCACTAATCGCATGCGCTCCGGATTTCAAATAGAATTCCAAGGATGCCTTCATTCCAAATTCGTGGGACCCAAGTGTTGACGACAAATTCAAGGAAACCCGTATTTTCTTCATTTGAACCGGAAACCTCTTCTGAATCCGGAGATCGAAAGGGCGAAGTCACGGGGTGAGGGAAACGCGTTCGCCCACAATGCCCAATGACGCAAGAGTATTGACCCGCCGTCGCTCTCCCGTGAAAACGGGTTGGGGAATTGTGGGTGCGGCCGCGCCCCCGGCCATCAAACGCTCGTGGTGGGGCGGTGTCGATGCGCCATCCTTGGACCCGTGCGCGGGTGCATCTGGCGGCCCTCTCCTGGAAGAGGAAACTCCCCGCCGTCCGGGCGAATCGGTGCTTCCAATGCACTGATGCGTGCCTCTCTTTCCTGGGGTTGGGCAGGGGTTGTCTCCAAATGGCGTTCGCGCCCTGCAAGCGCCGATTCTCACTGCGCAAGAAGACCGTCCGCCACCGCAGTGTTGGACGCACGTGCCGAAAAGTGGTTATTCGCTTCCTCCATTTAATGTTGAAGCTGCGCGCCTCGATTCTGCACGTCCGCGACTGCGTTGTCCGACTTTGATCTCCGCCCTTCCGCGATGGTCAGCCCTTGCCGCGCTTCCAAATTATGGGCAGAAGCACTTGGCTCTCGAAATTTGGTACTTGAGATGCCCGGAGATCCGCAACATGTGTCCCGTAAGGCTCGAATCCACCCAGGGGGTTGGTGGTAGATCCCGAAATCAATTGTAAAGCCATGTACGGTAGCACTGACAGCCATCATTGATTCCGATGGCCATGGTTTCATCCATTTAGATGAGTTGCACTTGTGTATCTCGCCATGTTGGCGTACCAATTCCTTTGTATGACTACCAATGAAGGCTCCATTCCGTTGCCGTGAAAAAGACACCCAATTGCCATTTTTTATATATATATATATATATATTAAACGATGCAAAAATCAGTTTTTGGCTGTAAATAAATAAATAATAAAATAAAATAATAAAACCGAATTGAGACCTACCGTTACAATTTCCCTAATCCCTATTTACTCACAGTCAATCAAAGGATCATAAATTAAAGGGGGAAAAAAAAAAAGGAAAAAGGCTCATGGAGAGTTCGCTTCATCAGGCTCTCTATATATATATACATAGAGGGAGAGAGAGAGATGTTAAATTAAATAGCCAGCCAGCCACACTAACATTCTCTTCAAAATCTCCTAATCAAATGCGTGATTTCTTTTTCCTCTTTTTTTTTTTCCTTCCTTCCTTCCCTTCAATTTTGTCCCTCTTTCATTTCTTATTAATTAATAAATTAATTATTAATTTTTTACTTCCGTTTTCTTTCCGTCATCATCATCAATCCCTTCCTTCTTCTTCTTCTTTTTTCTTCTTTTTTTCTTTTTTTTCCCTTTTTTTTTAAAATAAAAAATGATTATTTCAATTTTTATGCCAACATTGCAATCTACACATAAGAATGTACTTTTTTATGGGGACGCAGTCCGTGGATATGTATTTATATGGTGTTTGTATGTGTCATGCAGGCACACGTGTAGCGTATGCAGACACATACATATCCGCATGCATTGCTGCGTCCTCATAAAAAAGTACATTTATTACTTTCCCCCCCCCCAACACCACCACCACCCCTTTCAACCCCTCACACACACACACACACACACGGTGAGAGAGAGAGAGTGAGAGAGAGAGTGAAAGGCAGATAGACACAGTAATAAGAAGAGGGGAAAACAAACACGTAAAAAAAAAAAAAAAAAAAAACAGCAACAACAGCAGCAACAAAAAAAAGATTCGTCTTTTTTTTTTTTTTTTTTATAATTTAATTTAATTTAATTTATTATTCCTTTTGATTTCGTCTCCTTTTGATTTCGTCTCCTTTTCCTTCTTTTTTTTTTTTTTTTTTTTGAGCCTGTAATATAATATAAAGGATGTCATATATATATATAGGTATCATGTGGAGACTGTGGTGTCATGTGTGTCTGCCTCCTGTAAGGAAGTCCATAATGGTACATTGTCGGTGATAATGGCATCAATTTTAAATACCTTTGACTGCACATATGTAAATTGTCCATCATTATTCATTTCACCCCATGTCCATATAAGTTGTTTATGCGCATGCGCATATGCGGCAATAGCTTTGCCACGTGAACAATCAAACGAAGCCCATTCTGCCTCACGTTGAACAAGACTGCTACGGCCATCGGGAACATCGTCAATGGTATGGGTATTTGTATAAGGATCATAATTTCCATTTCGAATGTCCATTGTGTTTTTTTGAAGCCGGTCTTCCTGCTGAATCTCAACCTCCAAAGATGTGGGCTGCCGTGGTAAACGGGAAACACTACGGGTACTAGGAATTTTCATCTGTTCCTTTGTACATAACGATGCAGCAAGGATAGAAACACCGGAAAGATGCATAAAGACAGAGAATTGCAGTGCCCCTTCTACAAGTCCAAAACAACGGTAATCCTTAAAGTCCTCCGACATCTCCGTATCGCACAAAAACACAACATCAAAACGACTTTGTTTCATCTTTAACGCCAAACAAATATCCGGTTCAAAACTACTGAAAATGACATCACGGGGCCGGTCTGTCACACAACCCCGTTCATCCTGAACACTTTGCCGCTGATCCGCGTAGGCAAAAACAACGCGCAGAATGTCATCTACAAACGCATTCACCTCAAAGGCATCAATTTGAAAAAATAAATTTTTATCCCCAATGGGTTGAAAGGGAAACTTTACCTCAAGATCAAAACGTAGACTCGCCGGGGTACCTTCAAAAAGATCTTCCAGTGTACAAATATGATTCGTGACATCCTCCTGCTGAGCCAAAATCCGTTGCCGATGATGAAGAAATTTATTGTATTCGTCATCCTTCTGGTGCTCATGGCAAGAGGCATCTAATTCATTTGGCAAACAACCACTAAACTCATCTTCCCCTTCTGGAGGTCGAATCTTATGTATCTGTAAATATTTTCGTCGTGTACGATTGCGGTAGACACGAAGAATTTGATTCCAATGTCGTAAAATCAAATTACGCAAGGTGTTTGTATCCTTCATGTGTGTAAAAGTCTCTGTTGTCACCACATCCAATTGACGCTTTGTCAATTGATGCAAAGCAATAGGCACGGAGGTAAAGTTGGGGAGGGAATGCATGCAAAGCTGAAGCAACTGCGAGGGTCTTCGTTCAGAAAACGTCGCAAAAGAAGGCGAAGCGGGCGCCAAAAAGGCAGGCGAATGAGCCGACAGTTGTATTTGGGGGTTTAAGGGTAAATTATCCATAAATACGGGACTGCAGCCAAAATCCAAGGGAGGGAGGCCGCTTGATACTTTTCGCTCCACACGGCCATTACGGGTTCCGGCACCCCTCTTCTTACTTGCCTGCAGTTGAATAAGCGGGTCGTGAAATATGACGGGGATGCGATCCCGTGTGAGCATGACGTCAAACTCCACCATATCGCAGCCACGTCGATGAGCCGCATTGATCGACTCTAAACTATTCTCCGCAAGTTTCACGGTAAGTCGATTTGGCTTCATACGCTTAGTTGCCGTTGACGAAGAAGAGGTTTCATCCGATGCCTCGAGAGGAATACTACGTGTGTAAGTTTTTCCAAGTCCACGATGGCCAACAAGTTTTTTTGTCGCCAAACGACCCAATGAAGAAAGTGAACGAACAACCTCAAGCGTACAACGTTGTTGATAATGAAATGGAAAGACAAAAAGATACTGCACGTAAATCGTGTGCCAGTGTGCCACAGGAGAGCCACCGGCTTCTGTTATTTCCATAAAACAAAGAGGAATCGCAAGGGTGCCACTTGTATGATGTTTAAATAAAGGAGGCTGCAGTACGGCAACCCCCTTCACCCATCGCACACCGACCACTGTCGTCGAATAGCCACTAGGAGTAAAGTTACTAGTTTCATTGCTATTGTGACTGGCACTCCACTCGACCCTCTCACCATCATTCGTGTTGTCATATTGATGGCTTTCCGAAAATAAGATGGTTGAAGAAGAATCGGTAGGAGTTAATGAAAATGCCACTTTGTTTGAAATCATGCTATCCTTCCTTCTGTTCATATCATAAATAGGTATAGGCATCATTGCCTCTATTTGCAGCCCACGTTCTTTTAACGGCGCCACATTAACCGTGGAATGCCAAACACGCATTGTGAATTGTGGATCGCCCGGACTGAAGGGACGTACAGGATCACTGCTATGAAGCGGCTCCACACACCAGCCACGACGCATCACGGCAGTGATGGCATCCTCACGAAAAGAAGATGTGTTTTCACTCGACTGAGACAGTTGCCGTTTACATTGTAAACAGTTCCTAGACGCATAATCGGCGACAGCTTCAACCGGAGAACTCTCCAATTTCATCGGTTCTCTGCATGGTATGTGACGGTGTGGGCTATGCAGCAGCACTTCATTGCCATTTTCGGGCTCCTTTCGCCTCTGACGTCGCTTTGTTGCCTGCTTCAAAAATTTGTTCTGTTTTTCCATAGGAGCGGGAGTCGGTAAGTGCCCCTCACACCAGCAGCTGCCATCACAACGGACAGGATAAATGTCCTCCACCTCAAAGCTCGTCGAGGGTGAAAGTGGTTCCCCACCAGACGTGTTGTCTTCATTTAATTGACGCCGATGCTCATTTTCCAGGTACATCATGGCATCACGAAGTTGTGGTGGGAGGCTCTCCAACCACGCCTTTCGTTCAAACCGTGTACGAGGGTCATTCGCATACAATGTCAACGAAAGAAGCGGCCCCGCTTTGGGCGCACAGTTCGTCTTGTCGGCTTTACATAGCTGAGAGAGAAATGGAAACTGCTTTGAGGCGCGAGAAAAATGCACCACACGATCCCGCAGATCAATATATGCATGCCAGGTCTTCCCATCATGGCTGTCAGAAGGAACAAGTGTCACGGTCTCTGGCTGCCAGTAGGCATTCTCCACAGCAACAATGGCGGCACCAGGCCTAATGCCTTTCGCGACGCAAAGACCCATACCGGAAGACGAAGTTGCCGTCGTCGACATCGCAGCAATCGCAGACAACAACGGTTCGTCCACAATCACCAGACGAAATCGTAAAGTGTGCTCCTTCACACTTGACGCCGGCACCTGTACCGATGCCGTAAAGTAGAGAAGGTTGTCATTCACGTCATTGCCATTTCTCATCTCATTGCCACTCAAAGACGGTCGTGTTTTCTCAAGTAAAAGTGGTGCCGTCGTCCCCCACTCACCCATTTCCTCCGCATCGCTTACTAGTGCAAGCCGCAGTTGATCCACGCTCGGTGGGATGTAACGCTGCTGCTCCTGCTCCCCCTCTCGAATAAATTGCGGTGTCAAGTAGGGACATTTTCCCCTCGGTCGGGGCATACTGAAGCGTACAAACTCGGCGGAAATAATCTCAGCCCGAAGACCAAAAACATGCAAGACAATACGCATAAAAGTCGGTTCTTCCATTATTGATCCCCCCTTTTCCCTTTCGTGTGTGTGTGTGTTGTTGTTGTTTCCTTCTGAATGCGTAAAAAAAAATAAAAATACACGTGAATATGCCTCTCTCTCCTTCTCTCTGCTCCTCTTTTTCTTTGCCCACGCCGTACTATCCCTTCAGAAACAAACAAACAAACACGCACGCTTCCACCATTCCAATACGTGTATGACAACAACAACAACAACAACAACAAAGAAATAAAATAAAGAATAATAACCGTGTTGGTTGAAGGTGATCGCCCACACAGACACATACAAAGAGAGAAAGAGAGAGAGAGAGAGGGAGAGGGAGAAAGGGAGGAAGAAATATATAAAGAAAGAAAGAATAAGAAGAAAGAAAAAAAAAAAAACACACCGTTCATACCCAACGCATCCATCGTGTAAATATGCACACACTCACTTCGTTGTTCCCTTTTTTTTTTCTTTCCTCTCTTTTTTTTTCTTTTCCTTTTCTTTTCAAGAAACCCGTTTGGTTACTTTCGTGGGTACTTCTCAAATCTCGTGATTTCCTCCCTTCCATTCGGAATTGTGAAAAAGTAATAAAAGAAATGGCAAACGTCCAACAATGTCACATACATGAATGAGTCATTCCTTCAGCCACAATGAATGTTTACGGAAATATTTCCAACATGCCTACAATGGGGATGCGGCATGTAGGGCAAAGCATCTCATCTGCCAAATGATCCTTGTAGCGAAGACTACACGAAAGACAGAGCACCAAATGACGGCATGGAAGCAGCACGACATTCCTCCCAGCCTCCAGACAAATCACACACACGTTTGCAGTGCTCATGTCTTCAAAATTGTGTTTTGAAGTCGGCGAGGTGTTACGGAACAAATCCGGTGCATTTCTTACCGTCGGGTGTCCAACGAGGAGCCAATCCATGTCACATTCAACGCTCGTCGAACCGACACTCCCCGTTCCACATAAAGCGGGGTTCAAAGGCGTTCTGGAACTATAACTATCTATTTTCTGCGTCATGGCAACCTCACTTCCACCCTTCGCAAACGACAACGCGGATGCCTGGCAATACTCCATCAACAACGACGTTGCCTTTTGCTGTAGCTCCGATAAAACGGACAAGAGAGATCCGTGTTGATTCCACTTCTCCAGTGAGCTAAGCGTATCGCGGCGAACCTCCCCAAGAGAGCTGTCCGCAATAATCTTCGAGAGGAATTCATAGTTCGTCCGTGTCTCCGGGCAGCTGGTGGTAGCGCTTAAAAAGTAGACGCGTGGTGGGTCCTCAAAATTGCTGTTTGCTGAAAACTGCACACGAAGTGGCAATTTCATGATCAGATCCGTCGCCACTACCTCTTCTTCACCTCCACGAAGAGTCGTTCCCGGGCTGTTGTGAGGATGCGGTTTCGGACATGACGCGGTCTTGGCAAGGGCTCTGTCAGAGACGGAAAAGCCACCCTCCCGTGGTGGGGTTGGGAGGTCCATGAACAATGGAAGAAACCCCTCCACTCGAAGGGTAGCACTATCGTACGTAAAGACACCATCGCAGAACCGGGACAAATCGCGAAGAATACGCAGTGAGACCTCTCGCTCCCTTGGATACAGTCGGAAGAGCGGGAGATTGTCCTGCACACCTCTGTTCTCATCCACAGAGGGAGTCAGTGGGGGGATGCGTTCAAAATTGTCCAACACGGCATGTCGCAGAAAACTTAACAAATTTTTATAATACGCATCCGCCTCACTAGGGATAATGGCAGCTGTGCAGGGGTCAATGTACGTCGCACGGCGATTGATAAAGAGATCACCAAGTCTCTTGCGGTCAATAAGTGCACCATAGCGGGAAACAATGCGACGCCTCCTTGAAGGACCACTGCTACTGCTGCTGCTGATGTGGTACGCCTGCTGAGATGGCTCACCCCCCTCCTGTTCCGCATCTACCGTCTTTCGAAGAATTAAAACAACTGGAGTATAATATACATTACCTTTAAAGCTGTACGGCAAAAGACCACGTATAAAGTATGCGTGAGTACTTTCTATAAAATCAAAACCATTACCGTACATACGACGAAACGTGTGAAGATCTAAAGGCAACGTTACCTCTTCTTTAATGTTGCGCGCATTTCGCGGTTGGACACGGCTCACATTGCCCCTACTTTTATCCTCTGAGTTACCGTTTACCCCGTTTGTGGTGGTCGTCAACGAATCGGCGGTTCGAGTTGCAGTGCCAGCCCCTTGCATCGGAAGCTCTTGCAAACTTCGACGTTGGACGTCCTCTTCTTTGCCGTCCTCATCCCCCGTCAGCTTCACATCTGAAATAACATCGCGTAAAGAGGTGGGACTAACAACAGACTCAAGAGGTGATCTCCATTGCATCGGTTGCGGTTGCCCTCCTTCCTTCCCTTCCTGCTTCAGCCCGCGTGGATTGAGCTCGCCCTCGTGTGCACGTAGCATGGCAATACACTTCTCCTTCACCAAACTAGCCGCCGTCGCCACCTTCGCAATATCACTGGGGTACTCCATAAAAGCATTTGGCTTCAGCGGAGCACGGCAGGCTAAGAGGTACGACAGCATTTCAACATCGCAGTTGGATGCGGCGGCATGCACACATGTGTTGTCAATACCACCACAAGGAATCCCTAAATCGGCATGGAACTCACCAACAAGCATATGCACCGTGTCAAGGTGGCCGCGCTTGACAGCCGTGGTCAGCAGCGTGTAACGCGAGCCAGGGCTCGGGACGTTCACACGCTCAGGATGATGCTGTAGCCATGCCCGCAGTGCCGCCGTGTTGCCAACCGCTGCGTACTGAAACTCCATTTAATTTTCTTCTTCGTTTCAATTTCCTTTCCCCTCTTTTTTTTTGTTGTTGTTGTTGTTGTTATGATTCCTCTTCTCCCACAAACGCACACACGCAAGTAGGGTGAGGAAAAGGGTGCCTACTACCACCACCTCACTAATAACGCACTTTTTGTGTCTGTGTGGACGATGTCTGTTCGCCGCAGTGGTTCCTACAACAATGTAAAAGCCCTACGCGGTATCCCCGCCCCCACCCACCCGCCCAACCACCCTCTTTTTGGCGACACGTTTCGCCCACACCGGAAATGTCACTTCCCAAAATATAAATAACGCACTCAGAGAGAAAGAAAGAAAGGGAAAAGGAAAGACAAACACAAAAGTCCATCGGTGAGTTTACAAAATATATATATATATATACAAACAAAATATATAATAATAATAAGAAAAAAAAACTGTGGATTCACAGCACTGCATTCATGAATACCCTACAAAAAAAGAAAAGAGAGGAGGGGAATAAAGAGGGAATAAGAAAAGGAAACATGGAAGCAGAGCTGCGCTACCATAACGATCCCATCCATCCCTTCGTCGTGCCATCACCCCACAACAGCGTTGCAGTGAAGGAAGGTGTCACAGGCTCTTTTCCGCCTGTAGACGCAGCCGGTGGCAATGAACCATCCCCGCTACCAACATCTGCAGCGCCACATGACGATGTCGCCCCTCCTCTTCCTTCACTGCCGCCTCTTACCTTGAGGCTGGGGTGCGTTCCCCCCACCGACGGGATGATGGAAGGGGCGGTGGTGGCCAGCGGGAGCAGCGGGAAGCGATCTCGCTCCTTGGGGGTAGTAATGGCTCCATTGAACAATGGTGACTGGTGTGGCTGCATGTTCTCTGTGCCGCTCTGGGCATTGCTCCCTGCTACGTTCCACACCTCCGCTGCGGCTGCGGAGCACCACGAACCAAATGAGAGGGTCGTCGCCCGCAATAACCGCGCACTAGCAGATTTCACAAACGGGGCGGTAACTGACCATGTGACGGGATCCACTCGGCTCTCAATCGCCTGCAGGACCGCCGCGGTGGATGAATTGGACACCTTGTCCGGTGACGCGAAAAGCCCAGTGATAAACAACACATCAAAGTACAATTGCAGCAGCGCCTCGTCCTTTTCATCGTCGTCATCCGTGTCATCTTTATTCCCCTCTGTGTCGTGGCTGGCTGCCGAATTCACCACAGAACCAGCCTGACAGCTGCGGGCTGGAAAATCACCACCTCCACCAGCATTGCTGTTCGCACTGTCGTTTAAGTGTCTCTTGTCCTCCGCCAGAGATGGCAAGACAACATTCAATAGGGCGGATGACGTGCCGTCAAGCAGCTCGCGTATAACAATCGGAAGCACCGTCTCGCGGAGGCGCTGCCCCGCCCCCACGGTGTACAGAATGTGCTGAAGAGAAAACAAAAGCTCCGCAACATGTGGCGTGAGATGAATTGGGTACGCTACCGGTTGCTCTCCCTTTTCCTCCTCACGCTGCTGGGGCTGATGCGGATGGCGGCAAAAGTCATGACACCAACATGCCGCATACCCCAGAGTGTATCGTCGTGCAGCCAACGATGGGGCGACTGCATCCACAGTGGGGACCCTGACAGCCGCCCACGCTTCCCTGTATGCCGCGCAGAGTCCGCTTTCCCACTCGCGACGTAAGAGTTGCACCCATGGCATGTGGCAGGCAATGACAGTCCCACGAACTTCCTCCCAAAGCGCCCCTGCCGTGTTTGATACCGCCGGTGTCGTTTCCAATACACACAAAAGCACCTCCACAAGCAAAGAGAGACGATGAAAAAAGACCATCATGGCCGCACACCGTTCAAATGATTCCCCCTCGTCTTCTTGCTGCTGCTGTAACTGCTGCTGATATGCCTCCTTTTCTTCTCGCATCATATCTCGTACGCGCCCCAGAGCACCTGAAATCCATGCCGTAATGAGATTATGAACGGGCGTCTGTGCCACTGCACACAACCTCTCGGAATCAAAAATACGTTGAAGCATGTACAGTAACACGCTGCGCTCAAACACGGCGGCCTGATCATCATTTAAGGCAATCTTTCTCTCCATACGCCCAGAATACAAAGGAAACATACACATGATTGCCTTTTTCTTTTCCTCCAAGTGGTTACCATTATTCCCTTTCCTCACATTTGTATTCCCCTCCCCTCTTTTTTCCTCTTCTTTACCCCCCTCGTTCTTACCATCATCATCAACATCATCATTATCATTTTCATCATCGTCATCTACAAATAACATCTCTTCTTCCTCTTCAAAAGCCAATACATGTTTTTCTCCATCCATCATGGCCGTAAATGTGTCAGAAGACACGCATCCCTTTGAAGAAGCAGCTGAGATGAAGTTATGGGGATTATTTGTGTACAATTGGCATGTGTCTTGTGTCTTTCCCTCAAAAGATGCCATTTTGGAATGCGACCACACACACTGAACCACGGCACGCGCAAGAAGAGCATTTATCGTCGCACTCTCCTTCCCAGAGCTGCGCATACGTCCTTCCGGGTTGGAAAAAGAAAAAACAGATTCATTTCTGCAGCCGCCACCGCAGTGAACCGCAGCAATAAGTCGACTCGCAAAAAAAGAGCGAGACAGGAGTCGCTGGGACAACTGCGATGATGTGCCAGGCTTCGTTGTCGTGACGGCATCCGTTTCAACATACGGCCGGATTGATGGCGTTATCGATTGATGGTGGGCATGACAACTCCCTTCTACACGGATGGATTGCAAAATGGCATTCCACACAACATCTGCCTTTCTCAAACCGGCACCAACAGCCCTCACAAGCGCACGCTCCGTCGTTTTATGCACCATCTCTGTCCACAACGCGTCTTCAAAAAGAAGAACATTTTGCCGGTGACTTTCACGAAGCCACTTTTGCATTCGCGTGGCCTCCTGAAGTGCAATTCGCTCCTGCAGGGCCACAAGACGCGGGCTGCGCAGAAGACCCGCATCCGCGACACAACCCAACAACTGTGACACGGTCTCTTGGACAATCCTTAACTTCCTGCTGACATCCTCACATTTCCACTCCAACGCGGCCGGTGAATTTTTATGGTCGCTGCCGGAATCAACGCCGGAAAACCTCTTGGCGGGTTTCCGTCCTTGAAGAAGCTTTGGGTCAAGAAGTTGCATTCCGCACACCTGACGCATCACCTCACGAATATAGATTGTTCGCAAATGCGTTCGCTTGGGTGCATTGAATCCACCCGGAAGAAGTATGCTCATCGCTGAAGTCGATTCACTCAGTGAAGCATCTCCGATCTCCTCCGGGGCACTAAGAAGAGAACTCGACAACGCACCACGTGCAGAACTCCCACCCATACGGCTTGACATGCGGTTGCTGAATTCCAATAGGTCTTTGCCCCCGTCTTCTTCCTGCTGTTTTTGCCGCTCTTTTTGCTCTTTGGCAACCAGTCGTCCACGAAGTGTCAGCAGTGTCTGCAAAGAACGTTGCTGTCTTTTGTAATTCCCATATCCATCCACATCCTCCCTATCATTTGCCCCGTCATCATCATCAACCCCCCCATGATGCTGCGACAAGGGCCTTTTTTCAGCATCCCGTCCATGTTCATAGAGACGTGGCAGCACCGACGCAACGTAGGCAACAAGATGAAAAAACAACTGTTGTGTGCGCTGTAGAATATGTAAGGCAATGACTCCATTGCTCGTCTTACAGTTGGATCGACCGGCTACAGATGCAACAGGATGACTACTGTCCGTCGTCGTCGCTGAGGTAGTAATATCATTCCCCACACTATGTGCTGCCTCCATGGAGAGTGGTATCCATGCAGTAGAGAGTGGCGAATTTGCAGCGTCGTCAAGGAGCCACATTGGCAACGGCAGAGCAACACGCAGCCACTCCATCTTTCCAGATGGATTTTTAACGGTATTCGTCGTCCCACATGCACTTTCACTTCCCCTCTTCCTCTTATTCCCCCCATTGATCGCCTTTAATATTAGCTGAAGCTCATCGTTAATCATGGCAGACACAAGTTCAATAAGATTTTGCATAGCCAATGCTGCAGGTGCGATGTCAATAATGCCCAGTGCCGCATGAGCCTCCGCCATGTGCGCCAACACATCCGTCAGAAATTCGTCTCCCAAAGTTACACTATCCGCCGTCGCATTCGCCGTCGCGTGCCGCTGGGTCTCCCTCATACTCCCACCACCTCTCACTGAACGTTTTGTTGCAATAGCATATGTCACCGTCCGTTGTGCCGCATCATCCGCATCCTTGCGAAGTAACTCACGAATTCCCTGCCGAATGCGGTTTCTATACGACTCCAGCAACAATCGCCGCTGTTCATGCTGTTTGCCTTGCCCCTCTGACACAATGGAGGCTTGGAACTCCACTGTTGTCGTCATACTTTTCACTGCTAGTCTCTTCTCGCACTCTAACCCATCCATTAGCTCATGCCAGACAGTGGCCGCCTTCTGCACCTGCTGCGACCCCAGCAACCCTTCAATTGCAACGCACCGCTGTTGAAACACTAACCGGTCACACGGTGCTGAACTCAATGCTTCTGCTTCATTCCGCTCCGCCTCCCTCCCTTGTGTTTGACGTTCCACGGCAACCTCAAACAAACATCGCACTGGCGTCGCCTCGGAGGACGCGGAATGAGCACCTCTTCGTGAAAAGGGCCCCCGCTCCAGCACGTCCCCAGGGCTCTGGGGCGACAATGTCAGTTGCTGCTCCGTATGCAGTTGTTTCTGCATCTGCAGCAACTTCCTGCATGTTTGTTCCATCCCCACCACCTTGTCACAGGCCGCAATAAGGTCACGATAACTTTGCCCAACAATCTGCTTGAGCCGGTAGTCACTCTCCTGTATGCCGCGGGTGATGGTGCTGAGATAGTCCCGGACCTGCTCAACGGTGTTATTCGTGAAGATGCGTCGTACCTCCTGCACCGCCTCCTCAGAAGACATCCTGCAACTCTCTAATAATGGATGCTTCTTCCCTCCTATTCTTTTTCTTTCTTTTGTGTGTGTGTGTGTGTTTTTCTTTTCTTCCTTCTTCCTTTCCTCCCTCACAGAAGTGCTTTGAGTTTCTCCCACCTCTCTCTTCGTGATGTTTGGAAAAATGACGACGAAAAGAGAAGAATGTAGCAGCCGCCATGGGCGTGAAGCGAAAAGGGAGCAATGCGCACTGAAGCAAGGCTTCGTCCTCTCTCCATATGTGTGTGTGTGTGTGCGAAGACTGTCCATCCACTCACGTGCCCCCACTACACTCCCCGCCCCTCACAGAGAAGCGCGCACAGGACTTCCCTTCGCACCGCCGGGCAGCCTCTCAGCACGCCCTCCACCTGGCAGCACTCAAAAACAATCACACACAATATATACATATACATATCCACCACCAAAGAAAAAAAAAAAAAAAAAAAAGGGGGGGGGGGGAGGAGGAGAAAAAATACAAATAATATTATTATAAGCTCCTGCTTTACGTGAAAGTACGCGGCCGCCATGCCCGCAAAAATCCTTATCAGCTCTCGTCATTTGCATCGTACAAATAATTTATTTATTTATATTACATATCTATACGCATATATATATATATACCGCATGCAAACACTACGCAGATCGGAATGTGCCCACAAAAATACAAGCACACACAAACACGCGTAGTAACGCCCTTCCCGTTTATCTTTTAAATGGCTGAGTTCATCATTTCTAGCTGTGGCAAAAGGATGCAGGGCAGGTGGGGTCCACGTTATGTTGGGCATCTACTTTGTATCCTATCACTCCTTCGTCCTTCATTGCTTCTCGCAGGCCAGAAAAATAAAACAGCTCCTCCCTCGACCGTCGCCTGCCAAGACCATAACGCTCCACATGACGCAAGGCCTCGGTCTTTGCATCCGGCGCCAACCCTGCTGTGCGACTTTTACCAAAAAGTACATGTCGAAGTCGTGCCACACTCCTTTGGCGCATTCGCGTCAAGGTGGGAGATAACGTGGATGTGTCTGTCCCCGATGCGTCGCCCTCGGCGGGCGGTTTTGTCACAATAAAAGCAATTGGCTCCGTGGAAGAAAAAAAATCCCACCCGTGTGTCCATAACCGTGCGCTCAGCAAAACCGCCTCCTCATCGGCTCCCAGAAAACTCAAAAAAGGATCCAGTGGCACACTATCAGCATTTAATCGATCCCTATATCCATCAATACCATCACGTGGAAAGTCAAAAAAAGCTTCTGCACGAGTAAACAAAAAGTCCGGCGTCACCCAAGACTGTTGTAAATATGGAAGGATGGCGTCGTCATTGCAGACCTCCTTGTAGTCTGACATCTTTGGGCATGCGTTCTTCGCGCTCCCACCACATCCATGAAAGGGTGAAGGTCGCATGTAGCGTGGGTCCTGCATGGCATGACTAATTCGTTTTAAACTGGCTGCGTGAAGTCTAAAGATGGGGTCAAGATGACCCCCAGATTGCATCTTCTTCATTTGAACCCCAGAGAGACACGAGGTCGTCTCCTGCTCCACCACGTCTTTGAGCAGCGCCTCACGCAGGGAAACATAAAACTGTCTTAACCAATAAATTTGAATATCCCTGCGGCTCCGTGAGCCCGAAGAGGATTTTCCTTCTTCTTTTCCCCATTCCGGCGTGTTCACATCAGTCCTGAAACGATTTTTTTTTGCCTCACGAAACACCTCCGCATCATGATGGAAAACATACTGCACAATCTCCTCCTCCATCATGCCCGGATCCCCTTCGTTATTTTCATGCGTCTTTCTCCCTCCTACCGACCCCCCCTCTTCCTCAGCCGCCGCTGCCGCCGAATGAAGCCGTACGGCCCCCAAATCAAGTGCCCATCGAATGGAGTCAATCCAATGGTCCACGCCATTCCCATTTTGCCCCTCGCCTGGTTGGGGCGGAAGCGACCCGTTGTTCGCCGGTGTAGAAAATTGTTTCTCGGATGCCACCACAATTCCCTCCACATGTTTCACAACCACGCGGTCCCACACCAAACGAACGGACTGACGGTTGATTTGAACGGGGGGTTGTGACAGCACCGCGGAACGCGAGGGCAATTGTAACCACAGTAGACGTGTCAGCACATCCCACTTGTAAACAAGCTGTAAACCAGCACGAACAAACATGACATATGTTTCCCCACGGTAAAGAGCCAACGTTGCGTATCGCTGCGCCGCAGCGGATGATAATAAAGTATGAGACTTGCGACGCCCTGAAATTCCTGCACCATCGCCTCCATTTGCTGACTGTGGCCCAACTCGCACCTGACGAACGCGAATGTTGTCTGTGGGGCAAAATGCAGTACGTTCTGCGCAACTAGGCAAAAGGTACGCACGAGGGGTACACACAGAAGGCGGTGGCGGTATCCATGCGGGAGTTTCTTCCGCTGGTGGCACTGCCGAATCCATGGGTGTTTCTGTGGATTTGGTGGGGTCATGTGTCGTGGGAGAAGTTTTACTAAGAGTGATCTCCACAATACCCGTAAACACACCAAGTGGCCAGCGCGCTGCATCATAGATGTTCCGCACTGTCGCTGCACATGCCGTTTCCATCTCCGACGATGTCACCTCCTCTTGGCTGTGTGTAATTCCAACAAAGATGCTTCCCTCCAGTCCATAGCCTCGACGTGTGGCGTGAAAAGGACTCCAGTAATTTTCAGAATGGACAACATTCTCCGTGTAACCGCTGTCAATTTCCTTTTCATAATCGTTGTTCAACCGTACCAACTCGGTTTCATAGTAACGTGACAAGAGAAACTCGGGGGTCATGTCTGCTTTGCCCACGGGCCGCACATCCGGTTCCACCCCGGGCCCGGCAGCCGTTGGATGTGTCACGCTTTCCTCTGAAAATTGCTCCAGAAGGGAGAGAAGGTGCCCCGCGTGCAGCAGCAGTGACTCTCGGGTTTTTTTCGTACTTGCCACTTCTCGCTGCACGTCGTGGCTCCTTGAATGTGCTGGTTCCTTCATATCTTCCGGGGCGGGTTCTTGCGTGAGTTCGTGTGTGGGTTCCTTCTCCACAATGATACTGCAGAACATCGTGGCACTCATCACAAGCGCCATCGCCACAAAGGTGAGAAGAAACCAAAAGACTGCACTGCGCCTCGGTAGCAGCCCTGCGCCCACCAAAAACCGCCGAAGTGAACGCATCCGTCACCCCCTCCCCCTTTCCCCTCCTTCCTCAATCGGCTCACCCCCACACAAACAGCAATTTGTTGCTGTTTTGTTTTTATTATTTATTTATTATTTATCTTCTTTTTTCCCTCAAGGCGACTAAAAAAACAAAAACAACAACAACAACAACCAAAGAAGAAAAAAAAGTAGAAAACTAAACAAAAAGAGGACAAACAAAAAAAAAAAGGATAAAATCCACCTCCCATATAAATACAAACATACATACAAACCATTACTTTTGCTTTTAAAAAGAAAATGAAGGCAGAGGGGCGTACATTTCATCATAAAGCCGCAAGGCAGTGAGAACATTTTGGATACGAAGGAAGAAAGAAGAAAGAAGGCAAACCCACCCAACCAAAACGCCCCACACACGCACACACGCACACACCATTAACATTTGTCATGGAAAAAAAAGAAAAAAAACAGTGACCATCGTCTATCGACGTCCACCCTTCCGCTTCTTGCTTCCATGCTGCTGTTGTTGTTGCTGTTGGTTGGCGTTTGTACCTCCGCCGGCGGATTTCCCTCCTTGTTTGCTACCGCCCTTTCCCCCTGAGGAGGCGGGCTGCAGGTTGCTGCCGCTGTTGCCGCCCGTGCCACCATCCGCCTGTTTGCCCGGGGCGGGCGTGGGGATGAGTGACGGGGCCGGCAGTGTTGGTTTCCCTCCGCCTGGCGACGCTACGGCGGCGGTGCAGCTCCCAACGAAGTCATTCACGATACCCTCAACGATCTTCAACTCCCCTTGATGCGTCACCCGCGTCGTGAGAGTCGTTCGGCCATCCGTCGACTTCAGCACAAATGTCCTCCGACCGCTGTTGGGCCGCGCGCGTAGCATCAAACGGGACTTCTTAACGCCACTGAGCTGCACCATTCGCCGTGTTGCCTCGGCAAACTCCCGCAGCTCCAACTTAACCATCGGTCACTCTCTCTCTCTCTCTCTCTCTCCCCTCCTCTTACTATTGCAGGCACGTCAGACAAAGATGTAGATAGATATGTTTCTTCTAGAAGGTGTTCCCCTCTTTGGATGGAACCTCCCCCTCAAAGCCACATAAACACGCAGAAAGAGAGAGAGAGAGAGAGAGAGACAGGCATCGTGACAATAACGGCAGAAGCAACAAAGAATAAAAAAATAAAAAGCAACACAAATATTTAAAAAAAAAAGTTGGTGAAGGAAACATGGCAGAATGAAAAATAAGGGGGTGACAAACCGCGTACATGCATCCAAAAACACATACACACATTTATGGTGATTCTGGCGCAGCACTCAGAAACGCTTACGCACCCGTGGCAAACAAACGCCAAAAGACAAATATATACATACATTTATATATATATAGGTATAGAGAGAGAAGTTTGTTTTTGTTTTTTGTAGAATTTTCGCCCATATGAGGTCACGCACTTTAAATTAATAATAATAATAAAATGATAATAATAATAATGTTAAGAATAAAAATTAAATCAGGCTTCAATGGTAGTGACTTGTCAAGGCATTCCTCCATATTCTCAAATGTAACGCCCACCATTTCTCATGGCATCTCGCACCCACTGTGTTTCTCCCCCCTCCTCCTCCTCCTCCTCCTAATGGCTTCACAGAGTAAAGTGGACACAGAAATACACGCAGGCTTCATCCGCACCATCGACCGTCCACTGTATACCGTACAGGATCGGCTCCGGCAAATTCGTACCATTCGTCCACAGTGCGTAGTCGCCCAGTTCCATATCGATCTGCATCTATCATCACCACCGGATCTTGCGTGTTTTTGGGAACCCGCAAAACATCTACGCCCATCAGACGAGATCTCAAAAAATATTGAATACGACGACGTGTATAAGTCTGAGACGCATACCACCGCTTTGCCTCATTCCACAACTTTGGTTCATTTGGACGGTCGTAGAAATGATAACATATACCACGTTTAGGTGAAAAAATATCGTAGCCATGCGTCCACAAACGCACCGAGTACATCACCTCCTCTCCATCAAAGAGGTGCGGCAAATGAGGATCAAATGGAACCTCGCGCATAACAGACGCATTTGCAAAGAGAAACCCACCGGCAGCCCACGGTTGCGCCAGTGGACGTACCACATCAGGTCTCAGACGAAGTCCCGGTATCGCATACGGCTTCAAATGACGCGCATTCTCTGTGAACAAATCACCTTCCCCAATAATAATGCCAACAAGCCGTAAATACCCTGCTGTATTAAGAAATTTGGCCTGACACAAGTACGCCGTGGTTTTACGTTCCCATGCAAATTCGCCCTTCTCTGGCGGGGCGTAGCTCTCTGGGTAATGTGATAAAACCGCCTTGGGATGCTCCAAGGCAACCTGCATTGCAATGATACGTGCATCCCAGGCATAGACAAAACGATTGTGTGAGTCCAAAACCAGCATGTAGTCCTCCCCACCATAAAGAAGCATCGACATGTAGCGACCAAAGGCTGGACCAAGGGCGGTAAATGAACGAATACGCCGAATGCGAATATTATCCGAAGGAAAACATATTGCACCGTCAAAATTCGCATCTTTGATCATAACACCGGATGTTGTAGGGGCTGCCACACATGGTTGAGGCTTCAGAGCATCAGCGGAAACACAAGGAAGATCACTGTAGTAGTGTTGCTGCGCAACTCCCCAGTATACGCGGAACATGTTCGTGGATCGTTGAATCATGTGATCAATAGACGGCCAACATTCTTTATCACGAAAGCTCGCAATGTTAAGAAATAGTGAACCGGTATGCGGCAATGAGTCCAACTCGGAAGAAGACGCCTCACCTTCCCCAATGACATCTGCAATAGACGGAGCAAACTCCTCTGAAATCTTTGGTGTAGAAAAGTGGGTGACATGGTCACCGTAGTAGTCATCCACCAGTGCATTAAACCACGCTGCCGTCTCCTCTGGTTTTTCTGCAGAAAAGCGTCGAAGGCGATGAAAACGTCTCAGTGGGTAATAAAATCGTTTCGTATAAATGGAAGGGGCAATTTTCTTTACACGTTGCCACCAGGCTCTTTTATGCTCAGGTATTGACGCGGTATTCTCCTTTTCACTTTCATACAATCGATGTAGCTGTAAGTAAAGAATATCATCAAACGGTTCAGATGCCTCTCCCTCTTCAAATATTTTCCTCTTATGACTTTCAGCCGACGATGTCTCTTTCATTTTTTTTTCGACAAAATTAGCAGCACGTTCTAAACCATCTTTTGGGCCTTGTAACTCAATACGATTAAGTACCCTCCGCAAGGATGCCATGAGAGTTGAAAACCCAACCTTCGGACTCGATGTATACGGCGCTAAAACAGGAGGTTCATCATCTTGAATTTCATGAACATCAATCGTCTCCACATTATGTTCACGCTTCCAAGTCTCTTTCTTTTCATTAACTTTAGTTTTATATCGAATCAAATAATCATGAAGTGCAGCTTCATGATATGCATCTTTTGTCCGCATGGCCATTTCATATAATCTCCAAATATCCATAATGGCATCATTATCAAAGAATTTTTCATCCCGTACATGTGGTACCTCATTTTCAGGTCCATGTAAAAGTAACCACGCACTCATACCAATCAATGCTAAACATAGTAAGACAAGAACAACAACGGTAATTGCAAGAGCCTGAATAACACGTGCGTCGGATCTCAAAAATGAATCCACGGCATCCCGAATCATTTGAAATTTACTTCTTTTAACATCAAACCGGTACGGACGTCCACTTCGTCGTTCCTTCTCTGCGGTTTCATTGGGCCTCTGATTCTGTACCGTATGCCGACGTAACAAATTGGTTTCCTCAAACTGCATGTCCTTTTCCTTTTCCTTTTCCTTGTTGTTGTTGAATATTTATTTAATGCACCTTTTGCCTACAAAACCCCTCTTTTTGTTGCCGCGTAATAATGAGAATGACAATAATAAAAGAATCCGGCTTCCCCGAGTCCTCCCACCCCCAGCGCGCATACAAATACAAATACACAGAGAGAGAGAGAGAGGGAGGGAGGGAGGGTGTGTGTGTGTATTTATTTACGTGTAAGATGACAGCCCAGTAAATTTAAAAAAAAAAAAAGAGGGGGAAAGGGGATGTAAGGAACGCGACATGTGTGTTCATATATCATTTCCCCACATTTGGCTGTACAATTACAAAAAACAAGACACACAACACAACACAACACAACACAACACAAAAAAAAAAAAAAAAAATGAAACATGTCTCAGGCTCATGATAAAATAACTCTTCTATAAAGCCCCTTCATACGCATGCTGGACTCCAATGAGCGTCGAAGTCCCTCGTGCTCAACGTCAACCATCGCCAGTGCACGCAACACTCGAGCCGCATCATCTTCATGAAGCTGTTCGCCCAGTTTACCTGCGCGTTCACCCAGCAACAGGTAAAAATTCGTCTGATTTGTACTCTTTGATAGAAGTATTGTGTGAAATGATGTCGGGTGACGTGACAACTCACCATGATACCTCAGCGTCGCGTAAGCGAGCATGACACAACTCAACTGATGGCCTGACAACTCATCTACCCCCGCCGCACACACCGGTGCTGCCTCCACAAGAACCTTCACGGCCTCCATTGTCCGGATCTCATAAAAGACAATGGCGTTGCATAACACCGCCAGTTCTTTTACCCCAAATGTTGTTCGCGCCTTCTCTTTAGTCACATTCTCCTTGCTGGTATCGTCCCCACGGGGATTGTACCCCGAAAAAGAGGCCAACACACTTTGTGTATACTCCTTGCCAACACCAAAGGGAATGCGCAACTCCCCACGTGGTGGCAAGACGGAGGATGCCCCGAATGAAGAGCTTTTTTTCCCTTGCCATGATGAGACAGGCAGTGAGACTGCGTGGCGCATGCACCACGCGACCACACGAACAGCACGAACTGGTCCAATCTCATGAAGAAACAGCTTAAGGTTTGATTGCACAGAGACGTTTACACCATTACTTAACTGCCGCACACAGAACTCCTCCAATGGCATCACTGTTTCAGCGTTGCCAGACACCTCAATGGTTTCAACGGATGGTAGAGATAGCATGACGCGCAGAAGTTTGTAGTAATGAAGACCTGATAAAATATGCATCTGTGAATTCAGCGTATTTCCCGTATGACTGGTAGAAGCAGGCCCCTTGCTTGTGTTCATTGTGGCGGCAGTGTTATCGAGGAAGAGTGCCCGCACCGCCTGTCGCACAACATAACCATGGGCGGTTCTGTGCGGCTCCTGCACAAGAGCAGCAATGCTCCCAACGAGCTCAAGAAACTGTAGAATGGAGGCCACAGGCAGTAAAAGAAAATGTGCCGTCGAAAGTCGGCTTGTGGTATCGCGGAGTTGATGCAAACGTTCAAATCGTATTGCTTCGGTGGAATCCAACCATTCCTTGTGTGGTCTTCTCGACTGACTCCCATGAGGACCTCCACAAGGAGGCATAATCCCCTTCAGGGCTATATGAATTTCGCGTAAAATGTTCACTGCACGCTCATACTCCATTCGAAGCTGCGCTTCTCGTGCCATATTCAAATCCTTCGCCGCGCGTTGATGCAGACGATACAAATCCCGTTTTCCCCGCGGTACGGAGCAGGAAGCGAAGAAGAATGAAGATGAAGAAGAAGAAAAGGGAGAGGGCTGCATCCGTTCTGACCGCAAGCACCTCCCCCCATTCTTCTCTTTTATCCTTTCAACCTTCTCGCTGCATCGTGCGTCCGTATGACTTCCATTGCTTGTGACTGGGCAGACTTCAATCGTCTCCAACGCATGACGCATGGGCTCCTCCTCCTCATCGTCTTCCAGCGCCACTCCGTTAGTGGCCGTCGCAGTAGTTGTAGCGGTCTTATCGAATGTGGGCACATGTGTCCCGGTATATTCAGAGCTCCGAAGGCGAATAAAGTGCTGAAATGCAGCACGACATGCTGCAGCCGCGTCCTTGGCGCCCTCCTGTGGCGGCTTGCATGTGCGCTGGCACAAACCCACGCGAGTCGATATCATCACACCTCTGCCCAAACTGTAAATCGCACAAAATGAATGATGGCGGCTCAATGTGCATGGAGCCCCTCGCCGCAGCGTCACCATCCGTGCGGAAAGTGCCATCCCACCCTCCCCTTTATATATATATATATATTCCTCGCTTAAAATAATAGAAATGCCATGATGTATGGAGAAAAACAGAGAGAGAGAGACTGAAGGACAAAGATAGCATGTGTCTGTGCGTCTCTGCGGCCAACCGATATGCATCCGCCCATGAAGTGGCTCAACCCAATACTTTTCCCTTTTTTTTTCTTTTTTTTGTATATAATAATAAGTCAAGCATCAAATTTATCATCTCCAAATAAAACACGCAGAGAAAGACAAGCAGAAATGCAAACAATTACCTCCTAAAGGGATGTCCTTGCTGACATCTGCGCACTTCACCGACGGCGCAGTCATTGAAGACAATGCAGCACCATGCCGTTGCCCCCCACCAGCACCAGCACCACCACAAAAAAAAAAAAAAATCCTTCCACCATTCAAAAAGACTCAAACAATTCACGCGCTCATTCAATTCACCGGCCTTCAAACTCCCCTCCGTTCTTTTTTTTTTCCTTCTTTTTTTCCTCTCTCTTTTTAACTCTTTCGTTCTTTGTTTCTTGTCGTTGCTGATCTCCCTCCTTCCTTCCTCCGTCCTACCACCTTCGCAAAGGCCTCACATGGGAAAGCGCAAGATTCCGCAAACTGCAACTCAACGCACCCACATGTCTTTACATGTACTTTCGTACCGGCCAAAAGCAAATGATACGCTCCTTTTTTTCTTTTTTTTTGTGTGCGTGTATATGTGCTCACCGGAATACATTACAAAGAGGGGAGGGAATGATATCCACAAGGACTGTTGTACCCCAACAATTAACACGGACACACATGCAAACATAAACCACAACGTGCGAGAGAGAGAGAGGGAGGGAGGGAGGGAGGGAGGCACCCACAGGGGGAAAAAAAACCTTCTTTTTGTTTGTTTGTTTGTTTGTTTGTTTCTTCAGCCATGTGCATTCATGTGTATATTATTCATGTAATATACAAGAGAGACAGAAAAAAGAAAAGAAAAGAAAAGAAAAAAAAAATGACGGATAGAAATAAATAAACGACGCATATCGCAGTGATGTCTACATCTCCTTTCAATATATATATATATGATGTGTATACATTCCCTCCTTTCTCTTTTTCTCTCTCTCTTTCTGCAGTTATTTCTTTTATTTGTTGTTTTTAAATCCTCTTCTTCCTCGTTTTTTCTTTTATTTTATTTTCCCTTTTTTTTTTTTGTGTGTGTGTTTGTTTGTTTGTTTGTTTTTCTCTGGTGCACTCACTTGCATTGCTGCAGGGCGGGGCAAAAAAAAAAAAAAAAGGGGGGGGGGGGAGGGGAGGGGAGGGGAGGGGGAAATGACATCTGTAGCCCCTGCACAGGCACACACACACACACACACACAGGCGAACTTCGTCCATTCGCCAATTGCTCAGTACGGTCATTGCGGGTATTGTTCCTGTGGATCTTCGCGTAGGGCGCTGCGTATAGGGTCAAAGAACGGGTGTTGCATCGCATCCCAAGCTAAAATACGCTCTTGATGGTCCAGTCGAAGCATCTTATCCAATAAATCTACCGCATGTACATCACACCATGATTCACACTGGTCATTTACAAAAATGTACCATGGTTTTTTCATCCGTTTAAAAAGTCCACCACTTCCAAACAAAAATCGAGGTAAAGAAATATCATACTTGCGAGCATACCGCGTAAGATCTTCTGTACCAATAACTTCTAATATACGGTAAAGTTGATCTTCATTATTTTGACCACGAAAAAAAGGAAAAATACGAAATAACATTTCAGCCAAAATACATCCTACACTCCAAATGTCTAATGAATAATCATATAATCGTAAACCAAGAAGTAATTCTGGTGCTTTAAAATTTCGTGTACCAACACAAACATTATAAGCTTGTCCATGAATATAATACTCACCTAAACCCCAATCTGCAATACGTAACTTACGGCGTTGATGGTCAATAATAATGTTATGTGGTTTAATGTCACGATGAAAAATACCATGACTATGTGCAAAGTGCAGGCAACGAAGCACTTCGTACATGTAATAACGCATATCAAAATTACTTAAACTACCGGAATTCATAAGGCTACGGAAACTCTCTGCGGGTTCCAAATTCTCCGTCACAAGCACCGGTGTTCCCTCTGGTGAAATGGAGACAACATCTAGCAGGCGAAGGACATTTGGACCACCGCATAAGTTTTGCAATATACTAATCTCACGGTGTATTTTCTTCAACCGAACAGGTTTGAGGATTTTTAAAACGCATAACTCCCCATTAATTCGGTTACGACACCGAAAAACCTCCGAGTATTTACCACGTCCAATTTTTTGAATTAATTCATACGGTTCCCCACTGCTGTACTCAATCGTCATCCTTTCATAGTCCCAATAAGAAGGGGGCATATTATTGTTTACAAACCAAAAAGGATGTGAAATTACACCAGTTTCATGATGCCGTATTTCATTTTCTGTAAGCGTTCTCTTCGCCTCAACTGTATTCTCACCGGTATTTTTTTGACTCTTGCAATCCGTTGTAACATGAGACACATCACCGTTATTCTCTGGAGGTCGCGGTGAAGCGGGTACCGGCCTGGTAACAATAATAATTCTACCACTGGAATCCTGATCCGTCATTCGTTCTTCACCTAATCTTCACGGTTAAATAAAACAATGTGTAAATATGTGTTTTGTACACGCTGGAGAGGGGGAAAGAGGGGGGGTTACGGGCACCGGAATCAAATCCTTTTAATTAAAACACACGCACGTACCCAAAGAAAGAAAAAGAAAGAAATGAAAGAAAAAGAAAAAAAGAATACATCATTAACGCCCAATATGAAGGCGCCCGTGTGTTTGTAAACGCACGCGGTTTGTCTGTTTCTTTGATACCCGTCCAAATATCCCTGCACATTATTTTATTGCCGATATGTTTTGATAGAGGAGAAAACCAGCAAGGCAATACACAAAGACACACACACACACACATAAACACACTTTCAATTCAGTCCATTGATACTCTCTTTTTTTTTCTTTTTTTTTTCTTTTTTTTTTTTTTTTTTCTTCTTTAAATGCCATTCATAGAAATAATAATAAATAATCCACACAGTGTAGTGCGATAGACCGCCTCTAATAATATATATATATATATACACACGCACATGTACTTGCATGTGAGACGTATGGCAACACACAGAGGCGTATAACTAACAATAGAACTGATGCTGGACATCCTTCTCCTTCACTGTCAGAGTGAATTTTTCAAACGGCCCTACGTTTAACGTTCTACACCTCCTTTTAGTTCATCAAACTCCTCCTCATCCTCCTCAATTATGTCGTCATCGTTCTCATATCGACCAAAACCGTCAATCTTTCCAAAGGCATGTGGCGTCAACGTGTCGCCGTATGGACTCACAGCCATTTCTGGTAAAAGAAAACCTCCCGCAGCTTCGGTGCCGTTTTCATCTCCATAAACATCTAATTTTTGTAGCCGTTCAATTTCCCGCTCAATATCACGCAGGAACACCGAATTTCGTGCCGTCGATAAGGGAGACGCGGAGTTGGTCACTGCTCTTATTGGTGTCCCGGCTCCTCCCTTGTCGTGCTGCAACGCAGTAATGGACGGGGACGCGTACGATGGATGCCCCGTGTCCTCCCCTTTCCGGGGCATTGGAGAGGCAACAAAGGTTGAAAATTCTCGCGACCGCAAACCGTCTTCGGGGTGCGGCAGCTGATCTCGGCGCTGTAGGTAGAAGGCAACTTGCTGCAGCAGTGAAATAAGATTGCCTGCATGAAGTGCCACTTCCTCTGCCCGCGGTAGCGACGAAGCCATCGAGGCATCCCCTTGCCCCTGCGGATGGGACGGTGTCGGTCGGAACATTGAAGACGGCGCGGAAGGCAAGACGGCGCTTCTGCCACCACCACCACTGCGCCGCTTCTTTCCCGCGGGATGTGAATCTTCTCGCCCGTTTCCATCCTGTGAATATCGCTGAGAACCGCTCTTATTTTTGTTATCGTCATCATCACGGCCAACATCGTCTTCAAAATAAATGAGAATTGGCAGCTTCACATTTTCTTCGCCGTAAACGTCAAACCATTGGATGAACTGCGAGAGTGCATGTACAACGCCCGGCATGATGTTTGCAATGGCGTCGTGCAAAAGCCAGCGCCGCGACTTAGCGGACTGCGGTGTGATGGCAAACACTTTTTTTAGGTGGCGACCGTGCTTCAGAGCACGACGTCGAGTGTACTGCAGTGCCTCCGTTGTGAGTTGTGCGTGCGGGATGCAAAAGTAAAACAAATCTCCCTGCTGCAGTTCGTTAATCGACCAAGAGCGTGTATTCACACCGATGAGACCGAGACTTGTGACACGCCCCCGCTGACTTTGCGGTGGCTGCGCTGTTGTTGTTGTTGGTGTTGTTGTTGTTGGCTGTTGTGAAAGCAAAGAGGCGTCCTCCGCCTCCTGCAGGATCTTTGCTATCGTGCGCTGCGCCTCACATTTGCCCTGGCGCCGGACCATTCCCTTCTCCTCCGTCGCCTGGTACACGGTGGTGCGGCTTAGCATGGACGTGGGGTGCTTGTTGTAAAACTGCGCAAGATCGCGGAAGAGTCGCAGACCGCGATGAAACTGAAGGATGAGATGCGCCGTCTCTGCAGTCACGGGGGCCGGGCCATCCGGCGCATTTTTGGCACTTTCCTCCTCACCGTCCGTGGTTGTGGAGGTGGAGGAAGAGGAGGAGGCACCTTTCATCGGTGCAGAAGAAGTGAGACGATCACGTGGCCTCTGGAGTTGGCCCCGTCGCGCAGACACAAGAAATGAATTCTTCGCTGAAGACTTCTGCCCCTTTGCCTCCGGAACTTGTTTGCCCGCATCCAACATGTACGCGTCGTAGTATCGTAGATTCTTTTGGGCACGGGAGTCGTGGATCGCAGCCGCAGGTACTGTGGCAACCGCGGTAGACGCCACACGTGAAGTACGACGTTGCTCCTCCACGGCTGAGGTGGTTTTAAAGGATGGGGATGGGAGTGTTGCAAGTAACTCGCGTAGACTGTCATCTGCCGTTCCACGAAACGCAGCGGCAAACCTCGTGGCTGCAGCCGCGTCCCCTGTGGCAGCCTTGAAGGTGTAGTGAATGGCATAGCTCAGCACAATGAAAGTAAGACGCTGAAGTCGCTGATGGTCGGAGGTCTGAAGTAATGCATACATATCCCCTCCTCTCGTCTTCCCTTCCCTGTTATCCCCATTATTACCATTGTTATTCATGGTGGCGTTAACATCATTTTCCCTTCCCTGTTTCCCATCATCACCATCACTGAAATCCGCCAAATCCTTATTGCCATTTATGCGTGACGACAAAGATAATATCCGCAGCTCACCTTTGTTCCATCGTGATTCCTGTGTGGTAAAGAGGTGATGCACGGCGGCTCGCGAAGGACGGTCCGGTGTGTCCCACATGACCGCATCCAGCGTGTTCAACCTCACGCCGGTGACATCCATAATCTCAAATATATCCCCACTCGCCGCATCGCCAAAGTACGACAAGGAAACAAGATTCAGATTCGATATAAGCGCGGAACGCATCTGCTGCGCCTCCACATGAAAATTGCAGAACTCTGCAGCGACCAACTGACGTGCCCTCGGGTCTTGCGCAAGGCAAAGTCCTACCAGGATCGCCAATTCCACCGCCAGCACCAACGACGCCTCGTCCACATTCACTCCGTCCCCGCCTCCCTCAAAATCGATAGAATTTGAAATGCCTCGATCATAGCCGCTGCCCAAGGCGTTCTCTCGGCAGCGAATTTCATGGAACGCTGCCAACCGTACACTCGTCTCCAGCAGCCGCGACAGAGAAGGACGATGCTGCACGAGATAAAAAGCCCCATTTCGGTAATATGGAGCGTGTTGCACAAGTAAACGTAAACAGCGCGCGGAAAGACAGGAAACGGTCGTCACATTGCAAAAAATGTCACGAGTAGCCATCTTCCTGCCCTGAAGAAACTGCGGCCGGTCCTGCGTCGAATGATAAGTTGGATCCCTGTGACGGGGTTGACTCTCGTTCACACCCCTTCCTGATGAATGCTTTTTCGTACGTTCGCCTAACGGAGAGACCGCGTCCCCTATAAGTGCTGCCAACGCGCGGTCCGCAAATAACATCAGCAGCGACTCACATAAACACAAGTCCCGATGTGTCACTTCCCCGTCATCCGCCTTGGAAATGTCACCGGCAGAGTTGTCAAGCGCATCCCTCAGAATAAGTGTTTCAAGAAGACATAGTGTGGCGTGTAGAGCATCATGATGACCTTCACGCCCAAGTTGAGTCGCGCACAATGCCGCCAATTCCTTTTTAAACGACACAGTCGCCCACTCGGAAGATGCACAATGGCGAAGAATAACATGCATGGACTCTATACATAAGGCACGTAAATCTCCACTTGGGTCCGTATCGCTCAGTCGCAGCAAGACATCAAGAACCTCAGGCCCTGTGAGACGTGAATAGTGGGAGTTGGCAAGCTCCCGCACACAGGCCGCAATATGCAGCCGCAGCGACAAACACAAATCCGGCAACGTCGCGGACGTTGCAGAAAGCCCTCCTGTTTCCGTTAAGGTGGTGCTGTGTGATGCCCCGTTCTCCGGCATCGCCAATTCGTCCGTTGTTAAGTTTCTTACAGTGGCATGCGCTGCTACGCTATTTATGTACGCGTCCGTCGATGTCAGCACTGTCATGAGGATAGAAAGACGCTCTGGGCTACTGAGGGCATCACGCACGTAGGAGCTTTTCGCCTGCGCCACAGTGCTACCATCACGCAGGAGCATAATGAAGAGCAGCTGAGCAGCTGCCAGGCGAACAGTTAGGGGGAAATCATCGTACAGAAAATCTGACACAATCCCCACGGCACCAAGGCGGTCCAATAGGTCCGTGCAGGTTGCGGAGAGCTCCATGGCCTCTACGGACACATACGAGCCCCGCCAGCCCTGCCCAAGGTGCTCGGATGGAATACAGCACGAGAACACCACTGTTTGCAGCAACAGGAGGGCGCTTTGGAAAAGGTGACACACCGCATCCCCATCCGTCATCATATGCGGGGCGTGAAGAAGCGACAGCACCGTTGCCAGCAGTTCCGGCTGAAGCCCAAACACGACATGATGCAGTGCCAACAGTCTCTTCTGCAGCATCGTGGCTGCATGCGGAGATCGTCCCTCGTTATGCGCCCCGTATTCCCGCTGCTCGTAGTGCGATTCACCACGTGCCTGTAGATTCGCGGGGCAGCGCTCAATCACATCCCGCAGCAGCTCCATGAACCCAGCGCCGTCCTCCACCGTCACAAAGGGCGCGTCACCGCCCCCGTCACCACTGCCATGGTCACCCCACATCCTCCCGCCTGCTTGGGAATTGGAGGACGGCACAAAGGCGGCTCCGTTTAAGCGGGACGCGAGTTGCAGCAACGCCTCCCCGCTCATAGTCACCGCCTCCACCTCCTCCGCAGTTAATGTCGCCGGCGGAGAAGATGACATTCCCCCTCCCCTTTTCCTCCCTTCCGTATTTCAGTGTATTTATTTGGCGCCGTCACAATTTTCTCCCTCTTTCTTTCTCTCTCTTTGTACTGCCGCGGTGGCAAAGTGAACGTAAAAAAAAAAAAAGAAAGAAAAGAAAAAAGTAAAAACATATATTTATATACAATAGGGGTAAAACAAAAAAGTGAAACAACAAGCAAGCGTAAATAAACAAATAAAACACACAGGCAGAAACACAACCGTCATTTTAATTTCAGAGGATTCCTACTTTTACTTTTTGATATTTCCAAATACAAATAAAAATAAAAATAAAAGCAAAATGTCCACGACTTTCTCTTTATCTTTTTCTTTCCTTCTCCCTCTCTCTCTCTCTTTCTATCTTTCCATCTCCTCTTCATTCTCGTGACCTCGCTGTTTACATGTAGACGGGTATGTTGTTTCCCCCCTCCATCCATCCACCGTCATCGTCATCGTCATCGTTTTCTTTTCCCCATCCTTGTCTCAAGTGGCTTTCTCATGACATTTATGAATATCCACAGAAGCCGCAATACATTAGAGACACACACACACATATATATTTATATATCCTCCTAATTGGCATTCTTCTTTTTCTTCTCAACATCCTCCTTTTCTTCGCCTTTCTTACTATCCTTCTTCTTGTCTGTTTTCATCTCCTGTCTTCTTTTTAGATTTTCCTCTACCAATGCATCAAACTTACCACTAGCCTTATCAAAGAGTGCCGAGACGAGGCGATCATATTTATCCAAGGCCTCCAATGCATCTTGATACAACGTTGTGGTGGGCTTTTCACCCCCGTCCTCGGTTGTTGACTTCGCATTCTTATATGTGGGGCCTGCAGCAGAGGAAGAACCCCGTTCCCCACCTCCCCCTGAAACCATTCCTTGTTGTCGTTGCTGTTTTTGATTCTTACTTGCTACCTTTGCATCCTGCTCATCAAAGACAACAACGCATTGATGCTGCTGATCCACAATACCTGCAAGCTTCTTGTCAAGGATAAGCTGAGACACCTGTGACTCTACCGTCTCCACATCAAGCTTCAGCAAATAGGCAAGGTATGAGATCTGTACACGACTGTACGGCTCTAACAATTTCAATAAATGTCGCTCCAAAAGACTGGTGTACATTTCTGTAAGTCGTCTTTGTAAAACCTCGTCGGCAAGGAAAGGGGAATCTTTATTTTCTTGCATGATACGATTGAAGAAATGTGTGTCCTGGTTGTTGTAAGCCTCCGCCACACCACGCAGCGCATCCATGTCCTGCCCCCTGTACTCCAGCACATTTTTTGAAGAGAGTAGTGCAGCGAGCTCATCCGGACTGTCTGTGGCGATTTTCGCAAGAATCATGTAGTGTAATGCCTTGCGGGCCTGACGGGCCTGATCGCCCAGCTGATGAAACCCCTCAAACGCCTCGTAAAGGTACGAAAATGCCGTCTTTGCATCATGCTCCTCAGCATGCAGCACGCCACTCTGCAGATCAATTTCTGCCTGGGCCAATGGGGGGCAGTAGATGCTGTTGGCATTCGTCCGCGCCGCCACAAGAGCAGCACGCGCCTTGCTGATATTCTGAATGGAATAATAAATACGACTCTCCAGCAGGTGGATGTCAAGCAGCAGCGCCCGATCATCCAATCGCCGAACCTCCCGCAGTAAGGCCTGTAATGTTATGAGAGACTCCTGTCGTTCATTCCGAGCAAACTGCACCTCCGCAAGGCGGTGCTGAAGTCGCTGCCGCAAGAATGTCCGCTTCTCCTGCCGTGCCCATGCAATCATGTCACTACACACCTCCATCTGCCGATCCAATGAGGCGCCACTAGTGCGGATAAGGTCAAACAATTTCCGCACCATCCGTGTTGTCTTCGCTTTGGGTAGGAGCGAAAAGAAGCTGCGGATGACAGACAAGAGATGTACAAGGGCGTCCACTTGCCTTTCAAGGCTAAGAATATCGGCCAATCGGTAGACGGAACGCTCCTTCACGCGTAGACCCTCCGCATCATCGGCAGCCACGTCGGTAGCAACAATGCCCTCCAGTACATGACGTGCCTCGGCACGCCGGCCGTCCGCAAGGAGATCCTCAGCCTTGTCTAAAAGCGGCTCCAAGACACTGCCAGCTGCATCTGCTGTCGGCGCCAATGCGACGGCGGCAGTAGCCATTGCGTGCTCTCTCTCTCTCTCTCTCTCTCTGTTGTTTATTACTATTACTATGATTGTTTTGCTTCCTGAATAGCCTTTTCTGCGTCTCTCGTTATTCGTGGCAAATCCAATTCCCCCTTTGGCGTATATCCCTCCCTTTTACGTATATTATTAAGATGGCAATGATTATGACGATGAAAATGTGGTGATTGTGTAAAAGAAAAGAAAAAAAAAGGCTCACAAACGGAGTCGGCCCAGCCACCACCAATCAGGCAGGCACACAGAATACAGGTTATGATTGGCCTCAATTTCTTTTTTGTTATTCTTTTGTTGTTGTTGTTGTTGTTTTGCTGTTTGATTTTTTTATTATTGGCCGTTGACTGCCATACGATCCGAAACCAATACAACTTGGCACTCCCTCTCCTCTCATTCACTCCACACGTCGACGCTTCATTATATCCTCAGCCCCGTTAGTGGCCACCACGCTGTCCTCGTCGTTTTTGCAGGCAGTCGTCATGTACGGAGCCTGCCGCGGCGGGTGAACAGGCGGCAGCACAGGGACGTCAGAGTCACGGTCGTAGCACATATCCGCATCATAGCCAGAAAGATCCCCACAGGCCAAAAATGGTACAATGACGCTTTCCATCATACATGCCTGGTCCTCCACACCCTTCTTCTCCTTCTGAGTTATCTGCCGGCCCTCACTTTGTAGGTGCATGAAAGCAGGGGGTAGTGGGGCGACGGGTGTGAAACACCGTGTGGTCGTCGTAAGTGGTCGATCAAAGGAAGGCCGATACCCAGCGGGCGGTTGATAATCCTGGCACACCATAAATGCCTCCATGGAGGCATTCCGAGAGGATCTAGGCTTGGCAATTATGACATGCCGAAAAAAAACCTCGGATTTTGCCACAAGAAAAGGCGTATTGGGGCCACGAAAAATTTTTGTTACAAATGTCCCCCCACAACGCAGAACAAACGTCGTTATGTTCAACGCCGCCAGCAGCAAATGATGTTGCAAGTACTCATCCAACTCATGCATCCCTGTTACGTCGGGGGCACCATCGCACACAACAAGATCTGCCTTCTTCTCACAACTGTTTGTATGATCGGAATAACTGTTTCTCCCACCTGGTGCTAATGATGGGCGTCTCGCTGTGGATCGGCCTCCCTTGTCTGTTTGTATTGCAGATTTATCTTCTTCAGAGTCCACATACGCATCGTTCACTGACGCCGTGTCTTCTTTGATGTTAAGTAAACGAATAATCTCCCGTGCGGTAGCCTCGCTCGTGATGTCTCCCTGCAGCAACTGGACACCTTCAATCGGCATCATCTCCTGCAGATCCACGGCCACAATACGTGGGGCGCCCAATGACTGCTTCTCAGTTCTGCCACCCACTTCCTCGCGTAAATGCCTCGCCAGCAACTGCGACCAACTTCCCGGCGCCGCACACAAAACCACAACGCCTGTCTGAATTTCATCTCGGTTTAAAATATTAAACTCTTCGTGCAATTGTAGCAGTTTATATGCACTCCTCGCACGGTATCCCTCTTCCTTTGCCTTGCGGTAGTATATATCCCGCTTGTCCTTTGATGCACGCCCCATTTCCGTCCTGTACTTCTTCTCTCCCCCCTTTCCCCTACCACCACCACCACCACCACACACTCTCTCTCTGCATCCCCCCACGCAATCGTAACGACACATCGCCAACAACATGGGGAAAAAAAAAAAAGGGGGGGGGGGGGGGAAAAAAAAGGCACTTCACAGTAAAAAATGACCAGAAACAATTCCACGTTTATTCTTCCCTCCTTTTTTTTTTTTTGTTCTTCACTCGTAGGTTATTATGTATCATAAAAGAAAAAAAAAATTTTCAATGTTGTAAAGACATGTCAACTTCCAGTTTAAGCCATGCCTTTTTTTTTGTTTGTTTGTTTGTTTGTTTGTTTTTCATTTTTCGCCTCTTCTTTCTCTCTATCTTTTTCTTTCTTCCTTTTCTTCTACTCCCTTTTTAATCGCGTAAAATAATAAATGTTATCAAGAAGCATATTGAAGAAAGCAAGAAATAACAAATGACAAATCAATTGTGTATTTTTGAATCTGCACGCATTCTCTCTACTCATCCCTCCCTCCTTCCCACCCACCCACCACCCCTCACCTCACCTCACCTCACCGCTCGTGTTCCCCTGCGTGAGTGTACATGAATGCGTCCAACGACGCCCCGGTTAAAGGAGTAGGGAGCAAAAGGGCCAGTGATAACTTAGCCCTCCTCCCTCTACTCCTCCTCTACCCATTCATCCTCTCTCTTGTGAAAGCCTTTCCCCGCTTCCTTTCTCATACCACACACATGTATTCCACACACACACACACACTGGCCCGTATACCATCCTTCTTCTCTTCTTCATCTTTCTGCCATCTTCATTCTTCCCTCAAACCATACGCTTCTTGTGGTGTTTTGCCACCTCTTGGCGTACTCGATCCTCATACTCCTTTCGATCCCGCATGTACACCTTATACGGCTCCTCCTGCGCAGGGTCCTTGATATTTGGATTGTCAAGTAGCTCCTGAATAGCAAGAAGGATCTGCTTAATGGTAATGCTTGGTCGCCAATCCTTCTCCTCGTTCAGAATTGATAGACAGACAGTACCACTGGGATATACGTTTGGGTGAAACAATACCGGGGTAAAGACGCATTTGGGTGGCCTGGTAGGGTAGTCCTCTGTAAAGTGCAGCAGGAGACGAAATTCACCACCCTCAAAGGGCGTGCCGGGCTTACCAGGAATACCAGCCTCCCACTCAAGCAAATCCAAACCACCACTACCTGCTGCCGTCGATGATGCCAATAGACCCTTCGCATCGTTATTGCTGCCTCCTGTCGATGCGGTAGGGGCGGTGTGACTCCTGCTAGCGGAGCCTGTGCTGCCGGCTGTTGTAGAAGAAGATGCATTCGCCGTCGCAGTAGGAGCGGCGGTCGATGTGAGTGTTGTTGCATCTTGTGGAACTTGAGAAGAGAAGGCGAGAGGCGCAGAGGAAGCGGGTTTCTCGCGTGGCCGTGCCCAAAAGCCAAATGGACGGTCCTTCCGCCACGCCTTACGCTCCTCACGCAGACGCGCCTGCGCCAAAGACAGTCCCGACATTATAATTTTTTTTTTTGCTCCCACAATTACTATTTTTCTTCTTGCTGTTGGTGGGTCCCTTTTTTTTTTTTTTTCCTTTTCTTATTATTATTATGAATGTATCCCTTCTTCTTTCCTCGGTGCATACATGTATGCACGTCGTGGCAGTTTGCATGGGAACAAATAAGAGAAAAATGGGAAAAGAAAGAAGAAGAAATGACAGTAGAGGCAAGAGCACCAGCAGACGTCGTGCTTTCCTTCTTGTTGCCTTCGCGTAATCACCCGTCCCATCCCTGCATCCTTTGTAAATGCATTGCGCGTGTATACTACGCATATATTCCTTCCGGTCTTCCTTTCACTCAACTCCACCGCACCTCCAATAAATATCGCACACACACACGCACACACATGCACACAAAACTTTTTCTTTCATCCTCATCCTCATCAAGACCAAAAAACAACCATGACAACAAAATTCTCCATTATATCCTTCTGTCTTTCCCACCCTCTTCACCCATTCTCTCTCTTAGAAACCATGTCTACAAGGCGTTCTCTTACCCGATAACCTTCACACAACCAAGTGGTGGCACCACCTGAACAAACGGATACGCATGAAGTCGCTTTGATGCGCTATCAATGTGTCGATTCATGCGAAGTGTGCCCTGTACAAGCACCGTGCTGCCCAGCCGCACCTGCTCCTTTAGCAATGCGGCAGGGAAGTTATCACCCATGCAACGGATGACTATCAGTTCCTTCTCGCTCTCTGGACTCAATTTTGCACCCTCGTCCCCTTTGTTGGATGTGGCATTCTCTCCGTCAATTTCCAACACATACTGCGTCACCGCCATTGTGCCAATGAAACCATGTTGAACATCCGCGATACGTCCCAGCAGCACAGTGTTACTCCCAGCCCGTACGTGGACATTAAGTGCCTTCTGCTCCACTGCTGCGGGTGGGGCAGCCTTCTGCAACATCTCTGGCAACGACGCCGCCCTCACTGCATCCTGTATTGTTTCCTCACGCATGCCAATCGTGTCATCGTCCTTGAACGCATGGGTATTCGGGTCGACAGCGCCATCGCTGGTTTCTCCCGTTCCACTGTTGCCACTTGGCTGGGGAGCATGTAACGCCGAGCTCCGCTGCGTTTTGTATAAACTGTGAAGCTGTTCCTCCGACAGCTCCTCCCCCTCGTGCGCCGACTCCACGTGGTCAAAGAGTGCGTCCAGTAGTCGAAAGGAAGGAATCGCATTGGAATCTTGTGCCTCCGCCTTCTTTCTTTTCTTCTCCGCACAAAGGGGACACACAAAGCGACGCAGGGATGCCGACCGCGTTAAACTCGGCCGTGACGCCCGAAGTCGATCCTTCAATTTATCCTGCACCCTACCGGAATCGGTACCGGTAACAAAAGCAGCAGAAGCCGTGGCGCTAGAAGTCTTTGTTTTACTGCCAAGAGGAATGCCATTCGCCACGCCGTTTGGTGTGGACGCCAAAGGTGGCGTTTCCCGTGCCACCTGCAACTGTGCCTCAAGCTCCTCCTGTGGAATGAACGGATTGATGGGCTCCTTTTCAAGTTCCTGCAGTACCGCATTGGGAGAGTCGCCAAAGGGGTTCGGGTACTTTTTCACAAGTTCTTTTATAGGCACGCTCATACCTGGTTTCTGCGCCCTTGCAGCACTCATAGAGCCACTAGAGAGCATACTTGGTTTCTTTATCCCCGGGGCGGCACCCTCCGGCGTGGCGCGGGCCGTGGGCTTCGCATTTGCCTCTATTTCCTTTCGTCGGTCTGCGGTGCCTTCCACAACGGCGTTAAAAGGAACATATGCATTGGGATCATTTTGTTTGGGGATGTCGTCACGACGTGCAGCAATGTCGTCCCAAATTTCCTTAATGAGCTCATCCACGAGCTCCTCACTCGGTAAAGCCAATGTCGCCTTGTCGTACGGCATCTTTGCAGTGCTGACCTCCGCACCAGACAATCCGCCGTCCTTACTTGGTTGCTGCGTTTTGGCAGACTCCGTCGCCCCTGCTCCTCCTGCGGCTCCATTTTCACTGGCGCTCGGTCCTCCCTTTTCCGCCCCAGTCGCTTTTGACGTTGTTTCCTTCGCCGTTCGTGCAGGGGATGTGGGGGTCACAGCTGTCGCCACGGCTTCCTCGATAATTTCACCCTCTCCAGGGCCCGTCCCCACCGCCGCCTTTGAATCCGATGGATGTTTCAACTTCACATGTTGCTCTGCAGAGAACTCCAGACGAAACGCCTTCCCGCAGGCAGTGCAGTGAAACCGCATCGTTGGGTCCGGCGGTAAATGCCGCACCAAAATGGCGGTTCCGCCCCCGCCTTTCGTCGAAGTTGCGCTTTTCGTGGTCGTAGGCGTAGACGCTATGGAAGTCTTTGTCACAAGTGTCGCCATCGGGGAGGCGTCGTCAATAATGAGTTTTCTGGTGCCTGTGGTGTGGAGCGGTGGAGGGAGATGGGTGGGCTCGTATGCCAACTGCATCCCACGCAGTCGCTCCAGTTGCACAGCCGGAAACATCACCTCCGGTACCTCGGGTGGCGTTCCGCTTGGACTCATCTGCGGCGGCACATTAAGCAGAACACCGTGTTTCTTGTGCGCCTCCTCCAGCAGCAAGAAGTGCACGTCCACCTCCTCAAAAAGAAAGTCCTCATGGAAATGAAGCTCTCTCGCCTCACCTGGGGCAAAGGCCTCACAAGCACCACAAGCGTCCGCATGCACGGCGCTGTTGTCATCCCCGGCGGCGGAAGAAGACGGGATGCAAGAGGCGGCGGTCTCCCCCGCGGTCTGTGAAGATGTGCTCACCCACCGTAGCGAGCGTGGGCGGTTATGTAATATCATGAATGCGTGTGAGGAATGCGCCATCGCCATGGATGCACGCGACACTCTACGCCAGTTCCTCCATGCATCGCAGGTCAAAATGCCTGCAGGACGGCAGCGACCGCGATGAGTCAAGCGCTTCATGGGCAGCACCTTTTTTTTTTTTTTTTTGTGTGTGTGTGTCTTTCAAGAAGTAAACAAACACACACGCACACGACGGTGTCAAAATGATGTCCAGAGGCCCAATGCAGGAAGTCCAGCACCTCCCTTCTTTTCTCTCTTTTTTTTTCTTTTTTTTTTCTCTCCGTCGCAGAGACGTTAAACGGGTTAAAAAGAAACAAATAAATAAATAAGACAAAAACAGTTGGGACGTCACCGCCAGCCATGTCATTCATGTGCACTTTCACAGACAAATGGAGCCAATTGGCAGACATCGCATGCACATCTTTGCAAGCCCCCCCCCCAAAGCACGAGCAATTTTCTCTTTTTTTTGTTTTCCTTGAAATTCCCCCACCACTGCAATCGAGCACCGCACTGAGACACACACACACACACACACACACAAATGCGCATAACAAATCTTCTAAATTCAATTTCATGTTTGTTATGCATCCTTTTTTTTTTTTCTTTCCCCCACCCCTTCCCTCTCATTTCATTCACCGCGTGGTTCATTTCAGGCGGTCACGTGCGGGGGGAGGGGGAGATGATGTGCGAGACTCTCTGCTCCTCGGCAGCTCCAGGCCTGAGGAAAACTTGACGGTTTTTGGCCTGCTCCCTAAATTCTCTGCTGTGGAGTTCCCGTCGGCAACAAGACGGGCAAGCGGACTCGCTCTCCCACCGCTACCGCTTCTGCTGCGCCGGAGGTCACATGGAGCCCAATGGTCCACAAGATTCAACGGCGTGTGCGTCACGTGTTGAGCACGCACCCCACGATGCACCGTTGCCAGCACGACAACGCCAAATATAATGAGCAGCAAAAACGATAAGAAGCCAGGCACAAAAAGTGGGTAAAACGTGATGATAGGTAAGAAATGGAGCAGCACAATGCAGAAGAAGAGATGCAACCGCCACGCCTTTCGTTCATGTCGAATGCCTTTACGGATTTGATCATTGATTGGCATAAACTTCGGTGCAACCATCTTGAAGTATTTCAAAAACTCCTCTACATGAACGACGCAAGGGAAGTTCTGACTCTTAATAGGGGGCAACTTCCGCTCCGTTACAGGCACCTCCCATGAAAAGGTAAGTTCCGGCTTCGCAGTCCACATCTTGCATCCATAGATAGAGGCACGGCGAAGACTCCTAAGCTCCGTCTCTGTAACTGTAGGACTGATAAAACCATTAAATATCGTCAATAACCGATTATCCGTAAGAACATACAGACGGGTGCTACTACTTAATGTCGTCATGAGTAAGCAGGCAAAGACTAAAATCAACACAAAACCAATAACACACATTGAGGTGGAGCCAACAAGACGCACAAGCACATAACTGGAGTCTTTAACGCTTGACGCCACAAAAAGCCAGATCCCAAGTGCCAACCCTGCTAAAAGGTCCAAGTAGAGCCAAAGATCATACAAAATGACACTTGACACCTCCGGCTTTTCGCACCAGAGAACACACTCATCACGGCTAAGTGTCTGACGCAAGACCTTCCGAATTCCATGCTCCAATTCCTCCATGTTGAGCAGCTGTGCCGTCTCTCCCTTCTTCTGTCGTATCCATTCAGTGGTAAGACCATTGCTTTGCAACAAAGCCTTTCCTCCCACCCCTCCTTCTGGTGGTTGGACGGGACGTTGCAATGGGGAAGCCTGCGCAGACGTGGACGCGGATGCAGATGGGACAATGTCTCCTTCTGAAAGGGAAGGCATAACCGAAAGAACGGAGCGGCCATGCAAAAAAATTGCAAGGGATATGTAAAGTGTTTCGCGTGCCGCCTCTACATGCACTCTCGATGCCCGCCTAAAATACACGTGTGCCCCAAACAGTGCGTATGAAATATAGGCACTCAACAAGAGGTATGCGTAAAATCCATCCGCAAACCATGGCTTTAATGAGACACAAAAGAGAAGCATGAAGCTCAGCCCCGCGGTGGAAGTGCCAATAAAGAGAGGAATAAAACCAAACCGTGCAATGTCGCACCAGAAACATACATGCCCAGGGGGAAGTGGGGCTGGTTGTGCCATCTTACAAATGGGACAATTGCTAAGCACACGCTTTTGCTTTTGCGTCTGCTGGTGTTGGCTGTTGTGCTCGTGTGGATCACCCTTCTCATCGTCCACATGATTATTAATATTATTACTGTGATGATAATTACTCGTTTGCTCCTTCATATCCACCTCTGTTGGCACCTCTCTCCCCTCCGACCCCGCCTGCTCCTGATTCACCCTCACCGGAGTTATAAGTTGCAACGTAGGGGTCGGCATCCCAGTGAGCAATTGACTCAAACGCGGCTCGTATTTCCATGGCAACTGTCGTATAGCGTGTAGCCACATGTAGAATCCAAGGTCCAAAAGAACTAAAATGCAGGCGAGTAAAATCCAAAAAATCGTTATTGGACGGCAGATGTAAATATTGTTCGTCGTGTGTGCCGCAGAGCATGACATGTCTGGGCAGTTGGCGTTAAATTTTGCGTGGCGCCAATCCGGGCAAGTCTTCGCCGTCGCAGCGGCATAAAAAGAAGAAGAAGATGATGATGATGATGGAGTTAAATTGGATGTCAAAAACGAGACGTTAAAACGCATGCAACGGTGAGTGATAACACACCATGCACAGTCCATCGATGGGCTCAAGATGCCATCGGATGCATCAAATACACATTCAGCACAGCTCGTGTATGAAGCACACGCATCCGCGCTATATGCATGAGAATAGGACGCAGCAACATCAACAGCAGCAGCTGGAGTTGGAGCTAAAGCGGAAGTCATGTCCATAGAAGCATCATGCATAGCCGTCACCGGCAGGATGAAGCCTATGCCACCCCCGCCACACACCGTCGCTGTGAACATCACTACTAACAAAAAAATCCACTCCGATGGATGATATTCACTGCAGAGTGATGGCACGTGTGCGTCACGCCCATACATGTCCGACTTCCCCTTCGGTAAGTTCATGTCTACTTGATAAATACAGACACACAGAGACAGTTCTTCTCCTTCTTATGCCTCTTCCTTTCCAATAAATAAATTCCTTCTTGTGGTAAAATAAAGCGTTGATGCTTACAACGGCTATCTTGTAAGAAATCACCCTGTGACCCTCCCCTCCCCTCCCTCCCCCCGGTCCCACCCACTTCACCTTTTGCCTGCTGTATTCACCCGTGCAGCGAAAAACCTTGGAGGCAGCAGCAGCAGCAGCAGCAGTAGAAAATAAATCACATTGCAGAAAAAGGAAGAACGGGAAGAGAAGAAAAAAAAAAAAAAAATGTTATGAGCATTACAATAAACATACATAGAAAGTGAGAAAAATACCACCCCAGCCCCCACAAGGATGTACACATTATATAGAGAGAAAAGGGGAAATAACAATGGACACGACGCAAAGAAAGCAACAGTAAATCAAAGAAGAAAAAAAAAAAAGAAAAAGAAAACTAATGAAAACACAAGTCCATCATTCACATTCTCTCCCTCTCTCTCTCTTCTTCATTTCTTCCCTGGAGGTTTATAAAATTCCCCTCACAATTACCTCGTTCCCCTCCCCATACACACGCAAACACATAAACATAATTTCACCGAAATCCCACCGCAGGGGCCCTGGATGCACGTCTCCCGGATGCTGCTCCTGCTTTTCGCAGCTGCGACTCCTCCGGCATTTTCCTCTCCGGGCCCTCGTTCAAACGACACCTCGAAAGACTGCCGCGCCTCGTGTGGTCAGAGCTAATGACGCCATCGACTGCGCCGGCCTGCCCCAGTTCCTCGTCCATCCCATACTCGGCATTCCATCGCCTGCAGCTCATGAACAGGACTGTCACCAGCACCATTAGGCCGCTTATTACAAGCACAACAATGGCCAAACCGCACATCACACCGCATAAACGCGTATTGAACGAAAGCACATTCGACGGGTCCTTCATCATGCTCGACGGATGAATTCCAAGAAAGACAGTGCACCGCCGCAGTGGATGATTCCCGGAGCGTCCTGCGAGCTTCGCCAGGACACGCTGCAGTCCAGTGAAACATCCCTGCGGCAACGTCAACTGTGTCACATGCCCAGAAGGATTCTTTTTATAATCACGTGACGGCATCGACCACGTCGCAGTGAAGTGCACGGCGAGTTCTTCCGGGACGTCGTTGAACCCTGGAAGCAGCGAGAAGTAACTCATTTTGCACGCATCTACGTCACGCCTTTCAGGCACCACCGTTTCGGCGTCAAGATCCCCCCCAGTCAAGAACTGTTGTTGCAAGTAAAAATGACAGAAGCATCGTGAAAGATCATCCTGCAGTGCAAGATGCACCATATGCACGTATCGCTTTGGTGCTACATACACATAACGCAAGGCATCCCCTGCAAGAATAAGCGTGGCGTTCTCTTCAACCAACGTGTGCAAATCCACCCCAGGCAAATGGTCGCCAGTGGCAGAAGAATTCGTCGCCGCGGCGTCCTGCACGGCAAAGGCCGCAATAAATGGGAACTGCAAGGACGGCGCTAATGCCACCAAGAACAACGTGAGAAGTACTCCCCACATTTCTTTCTTTATTTTTTTTTCCCCCCTTTTTGAAGGGGGGAATCAAATACGCGAAGAGAGAAAAAGAGAAATAAATCAAAAACAACAACGACAAAAAAAAAAAAAGAGAAAATCTCAAAATTGCGTCTGCTCGTTGGAAATGACGCGAAACAAACAACAAACAGAGAGGGAGTGAAAGGCAAACTAAAAAAAGGGAAAACCCCGTCTTTTTTCCCCTCCCCTCCTTTTTTTTTTTTTTTCCGCCATGAAATAAAGTCACACTATACACACACATCTGTCTGTCTGTGCTTCTGCCTGTCTGTCTGCCTGTCTGTCTGTGTGTGTGTGTGTGATGAATTGGCACGCATGCATTGAAGCATGCCAATGACAAGGAAGTTTCATTTGGTTGCCAGAAGAACAACATTTCCATTGCATTCCCCAATGCATATAAATATAAATATTTTTATATACGCACATACGTCCCGCCAAAAAAAACAAAAGGAATTTCCCACACCTTTCCATTGTTGTTTTGTTGTCTTCGTTTCCAATTCACTCATATTTTCCTTTTCCGTCTTCTTTGTTGTTGTCCTTTTTAATTCCTCTCCCAAAAAAAAAAAAAAAAGAAAAGAAAAGAAAAGAAAAAAAAAGGCGGATTTCTACACCTTCTTCGTCCTTTGCTTTCGTTGCCTAGCGTTACGGTAGACGCGAGAGAACCAACGCCAGGCAAGTCCAATGCAAACACCCGCCGTAAACCCACCAACGTGCGCCGCGTGGCCAACGACTTCTCCCGCCGGCAACCATGCGGTATTCGCCAGCCGTGTTTGTGAGCTCAGCAGTGAGCATACGAGGGCAATGACTTCTGGCGCGACCATTGTGAGTGCGGTGCCCCACCGCTTGTAGTAAGACACGTTAAACCCCGCAAGGGAACAAATCCCTGCGCTGGCACCACACATAAAAATGGAATCGGTACGTTTCTTGTCAATTTTGTACTTCATTCGCTCCAACCAACTCTTCGCACGTCGAATGACGGCATCCAACGGAGTTCCATTCGTTTCCCCCTTCACTGACAGCAACGACATCCACCGCTTGTGACGACATGCCAACTGGGCGTCGTTGAACATCAATTGCCCACCGATACCACCCATAATGCCACCCCCAATGAATACCGCAAATGATCCTACCATGCGACGAACGGACACCCAAACGTTGTGCTCCTCAACATTCCTCTGCACGGACGGGCCGCCAAACTCCAAGAGAGTCGCCATGAGGGATGTCAAGTTCCCCGCAAGGTGCGATTCATTGGCGTGCACAAACATGTGTGTCAGTAGCACAATGGGCTTGCGTTTAAATGCCTCCACGGAGAATCCGTAGTCCATCACGCGAACGAGGGCCTGCAGAGGCGTCGGACGCTTTCCATTCGGACAGTACGCAATGAGACACACCCACACCGGCGTCAAACGAATCGCCACACATGTGAGATCCACGCACACCATTTGAACTCCTCTCCCCTCCCCCTCCCAGTGAGTACGTGTGCCATTGATGCCCCCACCACCACCACCACCACCCCAAAAAAAGGAAACATAAATAAATAAATTGCAAAGCAGAAGGTCACACATGAAACCCCACGCAGTACCGCCGCCTCCCCCTTCCCACACGCCGGCGGGAAGAAGAAGAAAATAATAATAATAATAAAGACGTTCCAACAAAACAACATCACATCCCAATAAATAAATAAATGTTTAAAAAAAGAAAAAAAAAAGGAAACGTAATCCAGTAAAAACACACACAAAAAAAAAAAGGAAAGTTAATAAAAATAAAGAGCAAACCGAGAACTACAACTGCAATCATTACAAATAAATAAATACATATTATATAAGTAGGTATATAATATACATTTTCCAGTTTTGCAAGGGAAAAAAATAAATAAATAAATAAACCACGTCATGTACATGCACACGTGTACACAAAAAGAAAGACGGGGGGAGAGAAAGACGACTTGGATCCCCCTTTTAACTGTTCTCCCAGCCGTGTCCAGAGGGGTTCTTGTCTGAATGCATGTCGCGTTCCCTCATGCTCCTTCGACTACCCCACTTCCGTTATTATTCCCACTCACACCCCCAGCCAATTTCTCTCCCCCATCGTCCGTCCATTCGCCAACAGATAACTCACCAAACATGGCTCGCTCACAAACAATATATATATATATGCTTTCCCTTCCTTTTCATTCCATTCGCTTCTTTTGTCCCCCGCACCATCGGCGACGTTCCCCTACGAGTGTGTCAGGAGTACCCCGGGTTTCAGGTTTTTGTCAAGAGTGACGGCGGCCGTCCAGTTGTCCACAAGCTTTGCGATGTACACAACCGCCCACTCCTTGTTTTTGTTCACGCGTGCCTTCAGCGTGTTGCCCTTGAACAGCACGCAGGCCGTCTCAAAGCCCAGGGTCCCCGTCCAGCCCTGCCCACGGCCACACACCACCTCGGCGCCAACCAGCACGTGATGGGGGCACTTCGGTATCGGCGTCGCAAAGCTGGTCGTGTACGAGCGCAGCTTGTTCGTGCGGACCGCCAGTGCATAGCCAGCATAGGCATAGCGGCAGCCGAGCGTCAGGTCGTAGTTCTTCTTTCCGTCCAGGGTGCAAAGCGCACCGCATCCCACTTGGCAGTGAGGCGCTACGGCCGTCGCGACGCCCACCTCCACAGTTTTGTTCACCAACTTCGCGTGCGACGACATGCGAGAGGGCATCACGAACTCATGGGAGAGCTCATACTCGCCATTCTTCTTTCCCACAGCCTCCACCTTGTGGCCCTGGAAGAGGTACGACGCCGTCAGGTTGACATTGCAGGTGCTGGGCTCAAGCGTCGCCTTCAGTGCGGCGCCGCACCTTGGAGCGTACTCCACATCCACGCTGAACTTGCCATCGGACGTTGCCATGGGGTTCACAAAGAGCTTGTCCTCTGGGCCCTTGAATTTACTCTCCAGCTTCCACTTCTGAGCATCGCTGTAGCTCTTCGTGAGCATGTCCTTCACATCCTTGTTGAAGTCCTTGTAGAGAGTCAAGGACTTGGCGGCGGCGAGCATGGGCGGCATATTTTACTGGAATTCGCTGAATTATAATAAAAAATATCACTTCTGTCTAGGTGGAGTGCCACAAGAGAGACAGGGGGAGGGAGAAATAATAAAGGGAAAAAGGAAAGACAGCATTGCAAATAAGTGGACGTATAAATGATATCATAACGGAAAAATTGCGTGTGTTGCAGTACCCACATTCACTGCAACGAGCACTGCCACCGCAAGATCACATTACAAACAATAAAGGTTAGAGCCAGCGATAAGAAAAAGCGAGTATTCTTTAGTTTCATATACAAGATTTTATATACATGTATATAAATGGTGGACAGCAGAGCTGGAGTTAGTGTGTTCTAGCCCAAATGTGGGGGGGTTGGGGGGTAAGTATTTTAAAGCAGGAGCATTGACCTTAAGTGGCACTTTTTGGCATTTGCCTAAACTTCCACGCTCATATCTGCAAAAAATGCCGTCGTCGAGTCCCCATGGACAGTCTGTAGCCGTTTAATCATTTTGTTGCGGTGACGGTTAAGTTGCTGCAGGCGATCATAAAGAATCGTGCATCGCATAGTAATCCACTTGCGTTCCTGCAGTAGCAGCTGTACCGCCTCTTCTAACGCTGCGGTGGATTCGTGGTGAACGGAGCGAAGAACGTCTAGATGTTGGTGGAACAAACCCATCATGGCATTCGGCACCGTGGAACCATGACATGTCTCTCCATGCGGCATACGCTGTGCACGTCTAAGGCGGCGGATCTCCTTTACGCGGAAAAATTTTTCACGGATTGCCTCATCTTTCTCATCGTCACGGCCGTCGTTCCATTCCTGCATGACGTTTTTCGACAAGGGATGAAGAGAAAAGAAGGCAGTTGAATGTTCATGCCCCACTTGTGTCTGTGGATTACAGTGGACGGTGGGTGTGGCAGTCAAGAGCTTATTGAAGGACGCCTTCGACGTGTTATGTTCATCTTCCACGTGAACGCTCTCACCCCTGCGATTGTGGTTCCAACTATCGCTGTAGCTGATAGCTGCAGAAGTCCCGTCGTGGCTCCCGGGCTCCATGCATAATTTTTCAGCGTGAGTATTCCCCTCCTGTCCCTGCGTTTGCTCCACACCTCCGACATGTTGCTCACAAAAGCGCCAGCATGTGGTACCAGATGTACCGGGTAGCGTCACGCTCTTCATCTTGCTGCTTCCCTGCACGGGGCTTCCTTCATTCATCGCCGTTAAAATTTCACTTGGGCGTCCCGCCTTCAACGGGTAAAATGAGCTCCGTGGTACATCGCTCACTGCTGCCGCTACTGTAGCTCCTGGGAATGATGACTCCGTTGGCTGTGGAAGACCCTGCGCCTCGTTGAGATCCCACGTCGCCGCATCCGGCCCCATCACACGACCCAAACCGTCACCAAAGGAGGAGGTCCTGTCCGTAACGGAAGTTTGTGGCCATTCATGCAGCAGTAACTTCTCCGCCTCCAAGAGCAGGCCCGATGCATCCATCGCAGGCCGCATGCTGTCAAGATCCACCGCTTTGCTCCTGATCCTTACCGGCTGCGGAGGCTTCACGCGATGCCCTTCAAGCTGCTCAGCCATTTCTTCCGCCGCCGTGCCATCGGCCACTCTCCTGTCGGAGGGCGCGTCACCCGGCACGCCATCCAGAGCCAACGCGTACAAAATATCCCACGCCGCCGTGTTTCTGTTGAGCGCCATTGACACGTTGCCTGTGCGCCAAGAGTTCTAAATTCTCAGCGTTGGAGTGAGCCCCCCCGGCCGATTCTTGTTACCCCAACACACACACACACACACACAAGCAGAGAGAGAGAGAAAAAAGAAAACTCCGGACTCTCTTCTTTTTATTTTCAAACAATCGACCATCTAAAGAAAAGAAGAAGAGAACAAAAAAAAAAAAAAAAAGGAACAAGCATGCGTGCACACGTAACAAGCCCAGACGGGAATTTACACGGAAAAAAAAAAAAAAAAGATGTTTTCCATTTATCCTCCACAACACCCTTCTCCATCTGCCGCATTGAACCATGACGCTGATACGATACGTTTTTAAAACAAATAACCTTCACAATAAAGAGCAATGCGGCTGCTGAAAAAAAAAAAAAACACAAAATACTGAGAGGAAAACAATAGGGAGCATCTTTCTTCCCCTTTCATGCCAAATTACGCCCCATCAGTACAATAACTCCTCTGCGCACCGCAGAGGCCGGATGCCAAAAGCAAAGGCAGCAATAATCAGCAGCAAAACCCGCTCCGCTTCACGTCTTGATTGCTTTCGTAGCAAAATAGGAAACCGTTTGTGTTCATAACGCTCCTCGTATGGCTCACTACAATGTCCTTTACTCACACCTCTCCATTTGCTCTCGTCTTCGTCCATGGAGAAATCAGAGGATACAAAGAACCCCTTAAAGGCTCGTCGAAGCATTAACAAGACCATAAATAGTCCACGACGCTCTTCGGCTGTTGTGGCACGGCAAATCAAAATATCCATTCGCGAACGATTCATAAACGAAAGGCCTGCTTCAATGTAAGGCTTAAGATACCGCCGTTCACACTCCACGCTCGTACAGCACGCAAAGCAGAGATGTTTCTTTTCTTCACTCAGCTCCTGCCCCTGTGGCTGTGGGTGATGCACACAAGGTGTCACCTCTTGCGCATCCTCGGTGCAGCCTTGCAGGTGCTGAAATGGGCAACCTTTGACGTTTGGCATGGGGGCAATATTGTGTTCCTCCGCGTGACGCATGGCATGTAAGGCAAAACATAGTTTACGCCACTGTAAAAAAGAAAGTGCCGCAGGATGTAACACAAATATCGGTGCGGCTGCAGTAGAAAATTCCTTAGACGTCGTGTTTATTGATGCCTCCGCGCCTCGCTCGTTTGTTGTATTTTGTGTCAAGGCGGCAATAATTGTCATGACACGTACAAGTGCACAAGCCTGTTGAAGCAGCAATCCTTCTACCGGCGGGCCCTCCCACCGACTCTTCCCTGAATCTCGTGGCACATCTGTCGGCATGGATGAGACCAGCCATCGCAATGGCAAGAGGGAATTTACAGGGACATCCACAATCCTATCCAACATCCCCGCTGTGGCAGGACGTAATGACACGTCATTCGTGCAGAAAGTCGACAGGGGCAAAAAACGCCACGTGGCGGGCACGTCGGCGTCTGACAAGAGAGACTCCAATGAATGCTGGGCAAGGCGCTGCAGACAGGTATAAGGCGTAGACTGGACGCCTGCCACGACAGCAGAAGGAAGACGAGAGGACGACTCCCGCTCTATCGCATAGAGTGCGGTGGCAATGTACACAACGTTGCTGCAAATAAGAGAATGATGGCTATCCACATATGCATCAATCGCCGCCCACTCTGCTCTCCTAGCACGTACCGTATCGCTCTCTCGTGGTGTCCATATCGACAGGGAATTCATCAGTCCATCCCATATGTATGAAAACGATGAAGCTACTCTGCTCCCGCTTCCTTCATTCTGCGCCTTTTGCTGTTGTTGTTGTTGTTGTCGGTGTCGTATTCGGAGTTCTTCACGCATGGACGACCGCCGAAACACCGCGTCATCAATGCCACGGAAAAAATTCTCGATCAAACCAAACAACACAGCGCGGACCCGATTTGGTTCCACCTCATTCCGAAGCTCCAGTCCCCGTGGCCCATCAAAGTCAATGGATGACAAGCGCAGCAGCACACAGGAAATAACTGTAATGTACGTTGCTTCAAATAAAGGTGGAGGAACAGGAGATGAGAACAAATGACTACTTCTTGGGGCTCCAATACATGCAGAAGATGTTTTCGATGACGCCTGTACATCTTTCCCTACACGAAGAGCGTTATACCCACTGTGCGCAATCCTCTCCTTTTTGGAAGAAATGGAAAGAGAAGAGACCTCCGACTCGACGTGTGTCCCCTCCCCTCCCGCCAAAGACAAAGACGCATCTTCCACATTGCAGATAACTTCCAACGACTGTGATGCCCAACCAGCCCATGGGACGTGCAGCACAAAATTCTCCACAACATGCAACAAAATCTGGCAGCGGGAAAAGGCATCCCCCTGCTGAGGGTGTGGTAGATTCCTAAACTTATCCAACATCCATCGCGCCATCACGTCCTCGCGAGTGATCATAGGGGCAAACACACGGGAGATGTGGGATAATAACGCCTGCTGGGAGTTGCTTGCCAATGCCATGACTCCCATGGCAACCCGAAGAGTCTCCGAGAATGGCGTGGATGTCCAGATGGAGGAGGGGGAAGAGAAGGAGGAAGGAGTCATCCGCTGGAAAAAAAACTTCTTCTCTTGACCGGTCGTCTGAGGCGTGGTCGCGGCATCTGTGGGCAACACGTGAGTTTTACCACTCCGCCGCTCCCATGCCTCATGATCCTTCGCCCCTTCGATATGTGAAACGTATTGAAACTCCACAGAGCGGCCCAAGCGAAGTATGGCCGGCAGCATGGACTCATCGGGAACACAGAAGGCAATGCCCTGCATCACGCGGCCAAACGACGGCAGTAAAACACTCAGAAAAAAATCATTCACCCATAACCGTCTCGCGATCAATGAATCTTCTGTGACGCAGGCGACATTTCCTCCAGACGATTCCGTGGTGCCCGTTAAAGAAACGGTTTTGGTATCATCCTTTTCGGTATTACCCCCACAGTCACCTATGTCACCAAAATACGCCTGGTTATTCTCCATACACATTTGGAATGCCAAGAGAGTATCCGCTGTGGCGCTCATGGCATAAACGAGCATCGCGCCAATAAAGAAACGTCGCTCCGTGGCCGCAAGAACAGGGAATGGAACAACCCCAAATGCAACGGCATACGTACCAGACGGCGTAGCCTTAAGACCGTCCAATTCAATCCAGCAGGTCATCTGCAGCACCCTACCGAGTTCCTGCATCGAGGTACAAAAGGGTGCCGTGTCATTCACAAATTGACATGCGACCCCCAAAGAAAACATATCACGGAAGACGCAAAGATAATCCAAAAGAATCCGCGTATGCCACCAAACAAAACTACACGACTCCTCGTGTGGCCCTTGTTGGTCCAACACCCTGCCGGTGTCGCTCTGAACTGTATGTGGTGCATGTCGCAATGAGCTCTTTGCACTCTTGCGAACCAAGGACTTGAGTAACACAGCACGACGCAACCATCGTTCCCAGAGCATAACCTGTTGCCGCAACAACGCTGACAGCCAACGGATGTGCTCATTCTTCAGCGTCACACTCCCGTATTTGTAACAACACCGAAGAAAACTCAATGTTGTCGTGCAAAGTGCACTCGCCGCAATGTATTGCCGTTTTGCCTCCTCATTTGACTCACGGTCACCAGCCAAGCCCTTCCGCTCCGCACCAGAATCCATTCCATCACCCTGCCCGCCGGCATTCCCCCTCTCGTCCGCAAAACGGTCATTCGTATCTCTTTGAAGCAGAGGTGCATCCTCACCGCCTCTTCTACCCATAAGAACATTGGAGAGGGTAAACTCCGTGAGGCACAGAGCAAAATGTGAAATTTTCTTTGGAATTTGTTCGCCTGCAACGCAGCAACATGTCAAGAGGAGGTTCATGTAGTAGAAATCCTTCTCTTGGTACGGCACGGGGCGTTGGCACTCTCTCTGCTGATCTGACTGACATAAAGGTGTAAGGCAGAGGCTCCCCGATGTCTGAGAAACAAATTTCAAAACAATACACATGGCATTTACCAGCCAGCGGTGGTTGCTCGTGATAAGAGGATGTGAGCCTCGCTTCCGCATCAACTCTTCTCCCGTAGAATCAGAGACATCTGTTGGAAGCTGCTGTCGCCATTCATCCTCAACTGCACGAAGAATGGTGGCCATGTCACGCATCTGTTCAACGGTGCCGGAGCTCCCACAGCGACGTACACATTCCAAATACTTCAAGCCGGGTGTGTTGTTTCTCAACGCATCCTCCTCCTCCCTCTTCATCCCCTGTCCTCCGTGGTGGCTGTGGTTTCCATGACGGCCATTCCCAGGTGCATAAAAGTCATCCGATAACAATACAAGTCGGCCCAGTTCGGCCAGGGCAATGCATACAACAATCTCCTGCACGTGTTCCCATTTTAATGTTACGTCCTTCTCCTTCTCTTCTCCATCGACATGTTTCTCTTCTTTCCCCGTCTTACTCTCTTCCTTCTTCTTCGCCTCCTTTTCCACGTTCTTCTTTTTGGTGGTCTCATTCATTTGGTCTCCTTGCTTTTCATTGTTACATGGCAGCAGCCCCACCCCCACATTGCAGGTGTTCATTTGATTAAAGACCAATTCAATAATCCTTGACTGAAGTCCCTGCAAACTAGTATCTGGTAGATTGCCACACACACAGTTGCTGTTCATTTTCCTCCACATCGTGAGGGAATTTTGGCGGGATGATGGAATCGGCACACAGCGAGTGTGAAGCAACGGGGCCGGTAGTTTCTTTTCCGTCCGCCTCGCCAAATCAGCCCCTTCTCCCCTCAGTTTATGCCATAGTGGGAAATATATCTGTGCAAGACGTGAAATAAGAGAGATGAAAGCATCGCTCTGAACAAGACGCATGTCTGACAGTCCATTGTCGTCTTCCTCCTCTTTGCCCGTCTTCTTCTCGGACAGCTGCACTCGTACGATGCCGCCGCCGTCACGGTCATGACAACACCGATGAAATAAGAGAGCCATGACGTAACTGCTAAGAATTACACTCAGAAATCGGCCCACAGCCGGCACATTGCCGTGAAATATCAGCAAATTTAATAAAACCGTCAAAAGATCAAAATTCCAGCTCATCCGTCGCGAAAAATTACATGTGGAAGTTGCAACAGATGCAGGCGATTGGCTTGTCTCTTTCGCCACTATCATGGCGTCCCGCACCATCTCCATGAGGAGATAAAACTGCGGTCCTGAATAATGAGAAAAGTCTGCATTGCAGTCTTCTTCATTCGTCGCATCTGCCGATGTGTTCTTCGATGCCCCAAAGAACATGGACCAAAGGTGGTTGCCCACACCTTCACCGCCCCCTGTTTCCTCTCGCCGCTGCCTTTTTTGCTCTTCCTGTTTGTTGGGACCCACAGCGGAAATTTCCTCCATGGAGGCGTTCCTTCCCTCCGTGTTCTCGTCGCTGCCGCTTCCGTCGGCGCTCTCATGTGATTCGGTGGACGGTAAGGCAGCTTCTGCGGCAGCAGAGACGTGCTTCAGTGCGTAGCAAACAATTCGCCTCTCCCACGGCCGCACAAGACCGGTGCCAACGGCGCAAAGGACCTCCGCACGCTCCATGGGAATATGAAGCCCAACGCCGTCCTCGCATGGCATGTTGGTTGTGGGGATATCGACAAAAAAAAAAAAAAACGAGCAGACGGAAGGCGTAGAGTTCCTCACGTTGTTTTTAAACACACTTCCACACACACACACGCCAAGAAAAACTAAAAACTAAAAAGACTGACGCGATCGCGCAGCACGCAATGAAATGAAGAAAGTGAAGAAGAAATAGGATGACTGTGCGTGTGTCTCTCTGTCTCTCCGTCTGTCTGTCTGTCTGTCTGTATGTATGTATGTATATACCCACGACCGGCTGCAGTGCTGCTGCTGCTGGAGGCAAATTGCCAGCACAACGCACCTTTCAGCACGTCAGGCTTGTAGGGATTAAAAAAAAAAAAATTTCTTAAAAAAAAAAAAGGAAAAAGGAAAAAGCATCGATATGACAGAACTCCAGCGGTAGGCGCAACAAACAACAAATAAATAAAAACGGTGTTAAGGAAAAAAATTAATAATAATAAAAGGAGATTTTACAAGCCCGTGCAGCTCCGTTTCAAGCAGCCACCACTGTACCACCACCACCCCACACACACTTTTCATATGAACGATATGGACAGAACGAAAGGGGAGAAAAAGAAGAAAAAAAAAAAAAAACACATGCAGATGTTATCAAATGCTGCCAGAAGGATACGCCAGCCATAATGCGCCCACCACCCGCCACCAACACCACCCTCAACTAAATTAGTGTAAATACGCAACAAGAAAGAAAGAAAGAAAGAAAAAAAAAAAAAGGGGGGGGGGGGAAGAAGAAAAAGGCGTCCCTGGAGCAATCAATATCGATGGTTCCCGCATGTGTGTGTGTGTGTGTTCTTTTTTTTTTTTTTTGGGTTCCTGAAGGAGGGGGGAAGGGAGACGTCGTTATTATTATTTCTTTACTACCGTCCTTTTTTTTTATTTGTTTGTTTGTTTTGTTTTTTGAAATGTACAAGATGTCACTTGAATTCGACCTTTTCTTTTCTTTTCTTTTCGTTTCTCTCTCTCTCTCTCTCTCTCTATCTATCTACATCTCCGTATAAATATATACGCATCCCTCCGTCTTGCATCCCCTCTTTCCCTCCTTCCACACACACACACACACACACTCTCTCTCTCTCATTGTTTTCTTCTTTCCATCACTCATACAGCAACTGCTGAAGAAGCAACAGTCCATACGGAACCATCATCTCATTGGACTCGTTATCCTGACAACTGTCCTCATGTAACGATGGGATTTGAGACGGTTCATCACGCTGCACCCTCGCTGCGATCGGTTGCCGCATATTTTTTAAGTTTTTCTCAAGCATACTGCGATCGATGCCTGCACTGCGGTTGCATTCGCTGGGCACAGTTGCATGGTTGCTCATGGCATGGGAATCCCCCTGCGGTAACGTGGAAGCTGCAACGGCGGTTGTCGCAGACGGAGTTGACGTTTTCGCCGTACCATCGCCCTCTTCGTCGGCGTGGCACAAATTCAAGAGAAGGTAGTCGTTTTTCAACGGCAATGACGTCTCCTCCGTTGGGGTCCTTCCCACAAACTCCACTTGTCCTGAACTTGACAAGATGCCAACGTCACGCCTCTCGTTCTCGTCCATTTGTTGAGTTGTCGACTGCGCTGCCACCTCAGAGAGAGGCAACACAGAACGAAGGGTGGTGGTCGTCGTTGTTGTCATCGTCATTGGGGCAACAACAATGTCATCCAGCCAGCGAAATGATGGGGAGGATTCCTCACATGGTAGAAATGGTGATACCGTAACTGTCGCGGCAGAACCCACGGAAAAATCCGACTGCTGCTGTTGTTGCTGTTGTGGTGGTTGGTAGTAAACACGGTTCTGTTGTAACAATGGCGAAGTTATAGGGTTTACAGGCACTGGATCTGTTACCGTTGCAGGAATATCTATAGAGATTTTACCCTCCTTCCAAGAAACACCCACCGTGTCTCCCTCCTTTTCCCGCACATGTTCCTCAGAGCAGATGCTCGTAACACCCAAAGGAAGGGCCCAGGATAAAAATGACGCCTCCTCCGCCCGAGAAGGATGTGGTTTGGCACAAGAAGGACTCCCTGTCTCTGCACCCTGGTGAAGAGGATCTGTGGTGTCAGATGAAACAACATTGCCAGAGGTAGATAATATGCCCATATCATTCTTCACATCCATCCGTAATGAGACAGCTGTATTGTCGGTAGTAAGAAGCAACGATTCATTTGTCGGTAATTCTGTGTTGGAAAATAAAAACGAAGACGGTGTCATTTTGGGAAATGGCGGCGATCCGGATATTTTCGGTGCTGTTGTGGAAAGGGAAACATCAGAGGAGACATGTGGAATTTCTTCTTGTCCTCTGTTCGTCGTGTCGCCTGCACCCAAAGAATCATCCATGACTAAAAGAGATGGCACATATTCCGTCGTTGGGGGAAATACAACACTTCTTCCTTCTATGCCTTCTGGTGTGAAGAATCCTTTTTCTAGTGACGACTCCGCTGCAAGCCATTTTTCCCCCATGACTGAATTTCCCTCAGCAGCTGCTGTTGCTGCCGCATATGCATTCGGCCCCGCGGCAACAGACGCAGCTGAGCAGGAAGTCACATTCCCCTCCTTTTCAGAGGCATCTGCTGCGTCCACACCAATAGTTTCCTTGCTAGATACACCAGTGACATGACTTGTGCGGTATCCTGCCGGTTCCTGTGGAGGCTCCTTTGGCATGATGGCCTCTAAACGATTTCTGAAGCTTATTTTCTCCTCCTTCTCCTCATGAACACTTGTCTCCGTTTTCTTCCGTTGGAATAAATGTGTTGCAAATGCATTGGAAGCGTGCAGTGTTGGCACTTCATTAGGGGATTTAACCCCCGCCGCCATCACCTCTTGCGTCTGCCGTGGGTGTGGTTCTTTTGCGTGGCGGCCTGCCGCATTCCCGGGACTCCCACTCCGTGATATTTCCTTGGATGACATTCCCGCCACGCATGATGGAGGCGCAAGGAGACTATAACTCTCCTCCCCCATAGGAATCGTTGCAATTGGCAGAGGCGGTGAGGTGGAACGAGGTGCGGACGCCATGTCCCCAAAGGTAGTTGTGCCGTAAACCAGAGGAGATAAGGGGTCACTATCACAAATAGGGATAACCTTGACGTTAGGATCCTTCACGTGGTCCCTCTCTTCACCATCTGCCCCATCAAGAGACACATTCATTCTTACGCCAGCATGCATCCGGTCTGAACTCACGTCGATGGCAGCAGCATCCTTCGTTTGCCCCATCGCCCCCTTCTCTGCAGGAAACTCATCCTTGTGTCCCTTACAATCTATCTGAAAGCCTGGGAGAAGTTGTTGCTCCTCTTGTTGTTGTTGTTTGCCCTCCTTTACATGTCTCTGATGAGTGTGTTTATCGTCATCCACGTGATGGGCCCTATTCGAGTCAACCGAGTCCGTCCCCGCAGACGCCGAAAAAGATTGGTGCGTCAAAGAAGCGTCGCCACGAAATAACTCCTCCTCTAATGCAAGAGAGCGAATGCAGCAACGAACAGCACACTCCAAATCGATCTGTTGTGATTCTGCCACAGACAAAATGGCCGAAAAAATGACCTGCAAGTATGCCGCAGCCGTACAACCATCGTCACCACCACTGTTCGATGTGGATGAAGTGGTTTCTCTCTTTGGGTATTCGCCGCTCCATGTGGAGGCGGCGGAGAGAGACGCCAGACAGTCGGCTGCATATAACGCCCGCTGAATGGTCACAAGAGAGTCCTGATGATTGCTCCCAGCGTTATCGCCGGCATTCGTGTTGCTGGAATGAATGCTGTTGTTTTGGATGCACGTGGAACTGTCGTCTTCACTCGTTTGAAATGAAAAGAACATGTTTGCTTGCGTCGCACTAAGCCCTTTGCGGTCATGTTCACACTGCAGGTGGCCAGACATCCCCACCAACAACAACAAAACTCGTCTCCTCCCCTAACGTCCCACACACACACACAAACACAAAGAAACAAGAAAAAAAAAAATAGTATGAAGTGACTTATGAATCAAAAGACGCACACTCCCGCGTTGCGTCGTGGTAAATCCCCCCTCCTGTCGTGCTCGCCCCGCACAAGTACAAAATTAAATGCCGCCAATGCCCTCCGTCAACTGTGTGTGTGTGTGTGTGTTGCTGTTTTTGTTGCTGTTGCTTTTCCTTTCTTTTGTTTCCCCCCCTTTCCTCCTCCTACAAGTGACATGGATGAATGAATGGTCAACATAAAAAAAAAAAGTGAAAGAAGTCGTGAGAAAAAAAAAAAACATCCGCACGCGGTGAGACGCATGCAGGCACGCACGCATGACAGCGTGAAGACGTCATGGATGTCCCCTCCCCTTTCATTAAATCATCGCAGTTACTCGAGTCTCATGCGCATGACACACACGCAACACCATCACTACCGGCAGAAGCATTCGTTTGCCCCGGCGCCACCTCACACGCAAGCTCCGCTCTCGGTCGCAGCCACTCAGGACACAATTGAACTCTATTCCTCCAGTTTGCGTCGCCCCACGTCGGGAGTCTGCGGCTGCAGGAATGCCATCGTCCCGTTCAAATGCCCCTCAATTGCAGCAAACGGATTTTCCTCAAACGATGGAATCTGCATCACCTGATCAAACAGTGCAAGCTCAGCCTTTGCCGTCTCCATCCTCTTCTCCGCAGCCTTTTTTCGGCTTTGGTGCTCTTCACGGGCAACAAGTTTCTCGGCGAGCTGACGGTGTTGATTCCGCTGACGGTTACCGCCAGCAGGCCTTCGTGTAACGCGCTGTTCGTCATGTACGATGGTTGTCGCGGTCGATCCTCTTCCGGGTTGGCTGCCACGCGCCCTGCCTCGCTTCCTATTCCTGACGGTGCTTTTCATGTCTGTTTTCGCAGCCACCAGCGGTCTGTCCTTCTTTGCCCTGCGTCGCAGCCGCAACTTCCCCTGCGGCGTGTCACCCACGGCCACGGCAGGTGAAGCATGCACCCCTACGGTCATTTCGACATTTTTAATACTATTCGTCTGAGGGCTGCTGGTCTTCGCGGGGCCATCTGCGCACGGCTGCTCTGCATGAGAGGAAGTCCGGGCTGCCACTGCTGTTGTCTTCTTTTTCAGCGGCCCACGCTGCAAACGGGTGGAACGATTCACCATGTAATTTGATATAAAAATTTTATCTGAACGTGTAATCACACGGCAAGTTGGGTGAAGACAAAAAAAGAAAAAAAAAAAAAAAATCACATGAAATAAAAGAAAAAAAAAAAACGCCTAACCAAACGAAATAATCATAATTATTATTATTATTGTTATTATTCCGTGGTTGGATAATACAGACAAAAAAAAGAAGAAGAAAAAAGAAAAAAAAAAAAAAAAACCCCAGCAGCAATGACGCCTCTCCCCCACCTCTATCTTATGGATGCATTGACCTCCATGCATGGCGTCCAGAGCAAAAAAAAAAAAAAAAAAATAGGGAGAAAAGTGCACGTAAACACTGTGAAGAATTCATCCCACACACACACACACACAATAAATAACAGTGCGGATCTATCGCACCAAAAAAAAAAAAAAAAAAAAAAGAGGGATAAAATAAAAAACAAGAAAATTCACGGCAGGAGACGCAGCAGGCCATATTTCATTGCTTCCGCGAGCGCATCGGCTTTCGTCAAAATCTGCCGGCCACGCAGCGGGCGTGAGGATCGCGGAAGCGGAGCCCACACCCTCGCCAGCCGCACCAAGTCATCATCACTGCCCAACAGCCGTGTCAAAAACTTTGACTTTTCATCCGCTCCAAGCGCCGTCCCTGCAACGCAGTAATACAAAATTGTAGAGAGCACATCTTCCTTCGCATTACGTTCCTCCCGCCTCGTCTTCCTCCGCCTATTGGACTGCTGTGACAACTCCCTGCTGTGATCATTCGGTGGTGACGGCTCCAACATGGCCCTCTGCAACGACGCCCTCGCCCAAAAGAAAGATGGCGCCCTGTGTCCCTCACGCCTGTCGGAAAAAAGGATTCGTTTTGCCTCGAGTGTCATGGACGTTGCCGGATTAGTGGATGGAGAGCAGCTCTCGTGAAAAAGGGTGTGTTGTGGGCAGCATACCCACTCGTAGTGCTCCACGCCCAAGTGATACCGCAGGGCGAAGAAGACACTCTCACGCCAGGGGTCAATGATCCACACACCCACCGCACCGCGGAGCACACGACACTCTGCAGTCATCCCGTCCTCCGTATTTCTGTTGCCTCCTTTAGCATCTTCCAGTCGCTCCCAGATGCTGTGGTTAGCCGCGTCGCGGTTGTTCCGTCCACACCTTGTCACGTAATGCATTGTCGATTGTCCGAGGGGTTGAGAAAAAGATTTTATGAAATCCACGTACTCGCGCAACGTCAACGATGACACAGAGGGGTCAGGCAACCCCGGAATGTGGTGCAGCACACCTACTCGCTGGCACCATACAGAACGCGTTTTAGAATCAGGGCAACGTATAAGAAGGACCGTGCGGTCATGGTGCAATCGATGACACGTCTTACCAGCAACATGCATGAAATCCAGAGGCAGTTCAGCCTCATTGTCATTATCACCGCCCCCGTCCATGTGCGCCAGGCTCGATATCACGCTTGTTTCGCCCGGCAGAAAGCAAAAGGGAGAAGGAACCATCACATCATACACCGCGGCTGTTGTGTGCACCACTCCCGACGATGAGTTGCGGCCCATTTCGGACGCCGGCACATGCCCAGAACGGCGAAGCACAACACGCTCCCATGGCACCTGGTGACAACACGCCCTTACACCATCAGGCACACCTGACAAACCCCCCGACAACGCCGGCATCTGCCCCTCGTGAGCGTCTGAATGTCCCACACGACACGTCGCTCCCTTTGAAAGATCCGCAGCACGCGGGACCGCGGGAAAAATGAGCTCCAGCCGCCTCAACAACGTCGCTGGGGTTAACACAACTTCACTGCGGATGCATTTCGACTGCCGAGAGGACTTTGAGCGACGCCATTCCACAAGGGACGTTCCAGCACCGAAGCCGCCTCGTGTTGGAGGCGCACCCCCGCTCCCACGGCCACCCACAGAAATTGTGAATTTGCCACGCACCCCGTATGCCGCATTGCCTCCTCCAACCACCCAACACTTCACACACACACGACGAACAGACGCAGTCGGCGGAAACAGTGGAGAGGAAAACCACACGTCACGCAAAAGACACGTACAAGCATGCATCAATTGATGGTTCACCCTTTTTACAGAATCTAAATAACGTGCCAGCCAACTGCGCGCAAAAAAGAAAAAAAGAAAAAAAAGGAAAGAATAAAGAAACAACAAAAAAAACGAAAAAAGGGAAATCAACACACGGCGACAACACAAGAGACACCTGCCGTTTAAAGAAAACACACACACACGCTGAATGCGACACGCCTGGACGAAGGACGGCCGTCAAATATTAGAAAAAAAAGAAAAAAGTCGTTATTTTATTCCAAACCCTCTTCCTGTGCATAAAGCACTACTCCGCCTTACATTCTTAAACAAATAAAACAAGACGATCCACCTGCCTTAAATTTTAATTAGAATCTTAGCAGTTTAGCTTAGAGGGGGGGAGGGGGGAATAGGAGCCCTCCTAGCCCCTGTGTCGCTGCATCATTGCAACGTGCGGCAACGGACTACAGGTGAGCACGAATTTTTGCGGCTGCAGGGACAGCGGCGGGAGCCTTGCCGGCATACCTCTCCTCCTCTCCGGCCAGGAAGCGTCTCATCCGCTCCTCCACGCAAACACCAGCATTTCCCAGCGCCTCCGACACAGGGAAGTGGTGTGGTGTCAGAGACAGCAGGTGGACACGCGGGATGGCGGCAGCAAGCGCTGCGTCCTTGTACTCCTTCTTCTCACGCATTTGCTCATGCAGCAAACGCCGCACCTGCTCCGCGTCCCGATAGGCAGTCCTGCCACAGATCACCACAACATCCCCCAACAGCTTCTGGCCAACGCTTTGGCGCCGCATATTCTCCACCACCACCATCTGCAGCAGCCTTCCCAAAGTCTTGTTGAAGCGAATGGTCTGCTCGTCAAAGGAACCCTCGCCGGTGATCATGCAGTCGCAGCGTTGAAGTTTCGCCGGAAGGTCCAGCAGCTCCGCGACAACATCGGTACCGGTCATCCACTTCGCCCCCACGACGTAGCGGAAAAAGCCACTCATGCCACCGGCGCCACCACCGCCAGGGGTGTGGCGAAGAGCCTCAACGCGTTGCTTCATATTATCCTCGCTGGCCTTCCCTCCGTGAAGGTTGCTCTGCACAATCGCAGCGGAAGCGTTCAGCATGCCATGCTCCAGTCGCGACAGCACACGCTCACGGTGCGTCTTCTCCCACGCCGAGTCACACTTCTGCGGGCCAAATATTGCCGTGGCACCGTCCGGGCCAACCAGCGGGTTGGCCACATCGCCAATCAGACGCACCTCCTTGCAGTACGGCGCCGTCCTGGAGCCCCCCGCAGCGCAGAAGAACATCTGCCGGAACGCCGGTGTGAGGCGTGCACCCGTGAGGCGCTCCAGGTCGCCACCAGTGAACGGTGTAGTTAGGGGCTCCGAGCCGCCATCCTTGGCCTTCACGAGCATCTCAACACCAAGAGCCTGCAGCGCGCCCAGCCCACCGTCATTCGTGGCACTGCCGCCAATGCCGAGGAACACCGTCACGCCGCCGTCAGCACCAGGGCCATCCTTGCGGCGGTGCTCCCTCGCAACATACTCCACGGCGTACTTGATGATCTGACCCACGCCATAGCTCGTCGTGCGGAGCGGGTTCCGCTTGGCCTCGGGGATCATCGGCAAGCCAGACGCAACAGCCATCTCCACCACAACCACGCGGTTCGCAACGTCACACGCAAAATGCGGTCGGTATTCGCCGCCGCTGTAATTCAACGGCTCGCCCAGGGGGCCGAGAACAAGCGGCGCCGGCGCCGAATCGCAGGAGTCGGTGGTGCCGGCAGTCGGCACATCCACTCGGGTGAAGATGTACGGCGACGACAAGGCCGAGTGGGACGGAAAGAACAGGCTGTCCAGCAGGCCGGCGCCACCATCCGACATGGGGCAGTGCACCACCTCCGCCCGGGCAGAGCCGCCCTTCTCAACACAGCGGAACGCCCGCTCAAGGGCAAGGCCAGCGTTGCACGCGGTAAGTGTCCCTTTAAAAGAGTCACAGCACGTGAGCACGCTCTCCCAAGAATGGCGCTTCATCGATGAGGACATCTAAAATCAATTATCAAACAATTAATTTCGTTTTATTATTGTTGCTTCCGCTGATTTTCGTGTTGCTATGAACCCTCGCCACAGGCACGTCAAGAAGGCAAGAAGGCAAGAAGAGTTGATTACAGGCAAAAAAGAAAAAAAAACAAGAAGGGGCCAAGTACGACGCCATACGCGTGTAAATGCGGCAAAGAAGGGCCTAGGGAGACACGCCTCGGAAAAATAAAAATAAAAAACAACTACAGAGAGAGAAAGACAGACACACGCTCGCAGTTAGTAATAATAAAAGTAGCTTGTGACATTCACAACCTCGCTGAGTGGCAAGGATAACTTGCACTGTAACGCAATCAAATAATATACACAGCCGAGACACTTGCAGCATTCAAAGGAGTGGACGGAGAAGAGGGCAAAACGGTGACGTTGATGTTGTCAGCGTTATTTTCGTCATCTTCTTCCTTGCCATCACCTTCTCCAGTTATCCTCTTTCACCTATCACTCATCATCATCTTCCTCGGTCTTTTTCCACATTGCGGCGTCCCCGCCCTCCTTCATCGCGTCCCGTACCTCCGCAACGGAGGGAATTTCGTCCTGCAGTTGCTTGGCTGATGGCAGGATACGATCCAATTCAAAGGCCGTTGGCATCCCGTCGTCATCGGCCCTCGTTTCAGCGGAGCCCTCACCTTGCGCGGTGGCAGCTCCAAAGAGCTTCCGGTTCCTTTCTGCCAATGCAACGTCGTCCGCGTGCAGCTGCGATTCCCTGCCAACAGAAAACCCCTTTTGATTTTTAAACAACGACCGACGGCTCCAGTACATGATCTTGTTGGCGTCGCCTAGCGCAGCGGACGCCCAAACCCGTGCACAGCCATTCCAACGGGCATGTCTACACAAAGACGCGGTGCTGCTGACAGATCGGGCGGTGATGAAAGAGGGGGAAGCGCCGAGTCGTCTGAGTGCGTGGCGCGTGGGGATGAGCATAACTTGAGTGAATGGGAGATGACAAAAAACCAAAAATGCCCAGTCGCTGCCCTACCGCTTCCCATAAATCAAGAAAAGAAAAAAAAGAAAGTGTGCATGTGTGTGTGTCTGTGTGTGTGTGTGTTCATTTGTCTAAAAACATCACAACAACGCAAGGGCCCCATCGCTAAAATTCAGAGTACACGTGCACGCAGCCCCCGTGGCATGCCTCCTGGTAAACAGGAGAACCAAAAAAGGAAATACACACACACACACACGCATATATTTATATATTCATTTGTTTATTCAGAAACAGTGAAAGGAATAAATAAATAAATAAATAAATTCGCATGTGTGGTGTTAAAATGAAAGGCTCAGAAATAAAAATAAACAAATATAAAAAAATAAAATAAAAACAGAACATCCCCAATTCACAAAAAAAAAAAAATAAATAAATAAATAAAAAACGGGCATAAAACAAATTTGTCCATCAAACAACGTGGAGAAGACAAAAAAAAAAAAGCGCATCGCCACCACCGATGGCCCTTCACTTTTTAATTCCCTCCACGACACCCTCCTCCTTCATACCTCCCCTCTCGTCACCGCGGGCCCACGACGATCGCAAACATCCCCCCAACCCCTCCTTCCCAAAGCCTCTTTTGTTTGTTTTTTTCTTTTTTTGATTTTGTTTTATTTCGTTCGTCTTCCGCCCCGTCCCTTTCGCCGTTTTCCTCATGTTCCTGTTTGCTCACTGCTGCTTTCAAGCAGAGTACAGCCGTCGTCCGTGCCGTATATAACGTGTGATTGATAAAACGCTGCGGTTTGTTTGTGTTCCCCCTTTCCGCCGGTCGTACGGCTGTGACTCTCCTCCACGTGTCTCCTCTGCCCGCATTGAGGCAATGTATGCGGAGCACACCCATTTCATTTATCCCGTCCGGACCCCTTTTTTCTTCTTTGTTTTTTTTTTTTTTGGCTGCTGTTGCATCAATCGGCAGGAGGAGGAAAAGAAAATAAGTGCCATTGCAGAAATCCGCAGCGCAGCGCCCCTCCGTCGCTTCCTTTCTTTTTTGGTCGTCAAGGCAGCTCCTTGCTGTACACAAGCCTGCCCTTCTTGTACACCGCCTCAATCGGGGGATCAACCATCTGGTACACGACATGCTCCCATCGTGGGGCATGCAGCAAAACGACATCGGCCCACTTGCCCACCTCAAGGCTGCCGCAGCGATCACTCATGTTCAAACTGCCCGCCGCGTTAATTGTCGCAGCAACAAGTGCCTCCTCCACCGTCATGTGCATCAACACACACGACACATTCATCGTGTGTGGCATAGACAAGGAGTGTGCATTGGGGCAGAAATCGCTGCCGAGAGCCACAGGGACGTGGCCATCAATAAGTTTACGAGCAGGCGGTGGGGCAATGCGAAGGACATATGCCGTCATGGGGAGCAACACGGCAAAGGTCGGCCTTTTGCTCATGCAAGCAATGCCCTCGTCGCTAACGTGCTCCAGGTGGGAAACCGCCTGTGCCTCAAGCTCGCCGGCAAGCTCACCCGACGCGACGTATGACAGTTCGTCGCCGTGAAAATTAATTATTAGCCCTGATTTTCTTCCAGCCTCCAACACACGCCGCGACTGGTCATGGTCAAAGACGCCAAGTTCGCAAAAGACGTCTATATTCTGCACATCATTCCTCCCCTCGGCACGCTCCTGCATGACTGCGGGTAATTGCACTTCAACGACGTCACGCACCGCCTCTTCCGCCGTCTTTCCTTCCGGCACCGCGTGGGCCCCGCAGAACGTGCTGACAATCGTTAAGGGGCCCTCATCATTTGCCTGCTTCAGCACACGCAGCATCTTCAGCTCCGTATCCCGCTCGAGCCCATACCCGCTCTTTCCCTCAACCGTCGTTGTGCCAAATGACAACATGCGCTGCAGCCGCCTACGTAGCAGCGCCTTAAGCTCCGCCTCGCTTGCGGCCCGTGTGCAGCGTGTGGTAAAGCCGATTCCACCACCCGCGCGTTGCACATCCATGTAACTGGCGCCATTGAGTTTCATCGTAAACTCGTGGGCACGATCCCCATCCCATACGGGGTGCGTGTGGGCATCCACAAAACCCGGAAGCAGCACTTTCCCCTCGCACGGAACGGTGTCTGTGACGTTGCACTTGTTGGCCGTCACGAATGCCTGCACCTCGTCGTTTGTGCCAACAGCCGCAATGTTCCCTGTGGTTGTGTCGACAAGAAGGGAGCCGTGAGGAATGACAGCAATGCGATTGCTCTGCTCTCTTCCCGCCACATAACGTTCCCCACCGCAGACAACCTGCACCACCTGCTCGGCGTTGTGGAAAAGTAACATACCCCTCAGCATACTCCTCGTTGTGTCCTCCTCTCCCCCCCCTCCCCTCCTTCCTGCGGGTTGCTGTTGGCTAAAAGGAAAAAAGGAAAAAAAAAAAAGAACTATTGTTATTGTAATGTCACTATAAATATTTATTTCCCTAATGTCGTTGTGCGTATGTGAAAAGAACCCTTTTCAAAGCGATATGCCTTTGCGTGCTTGCAGCACAAATCATGAGAATCATTGAAAAAAAAAAAAAAAAAAAAAAAAGGAAACAAGCATCAATCCTTTTAAACAGGAATACATATAAAAATACAGAAATATATACAATGTATGCGCAGATCCATATGTATGTATGCGCATGCGTGCATAAAAGCAATCGTTGAATTAGGAATAGCAGTAGCAGTAACACGACAGTGAATCCTCTGTATAAATCCGCATGCATTTACGTGTGGGTATCTGGGTGTAAGTATACCAACACGTAAATGCATGCGGCAGCAGCATGTCAGGGCAAAAGCCCAGAAAAAGGGGTATATAAATTGGGAAAAAGAGGGGAGGGAAGGAAGTGTGATTGGATGGAGGATGTCGTCGTTGTTTGTTTTTTCTTCTTTTGTTTGTTTCGTTTTCCATTTTCTTCGCAAGGACACGTGCTCAAACACAAAGAAAAAAAAAAAAGAGAGAGAGAGTAAACATCATTCATTAAAATGACGTAAATTCCGTGTATAAAAGGAGACAAAAGGAAAAAAAAAAAAAAAAGAAGAAGTGTTTATACATGCAGTAAAACTACCCACATTCATGTTCAATCTTCCTTAAAGAACGGGTCAAGCACGACAGCCATGGCTGCCTTTGCTCTTCCCATCGCAACCATGCGCCCAAGCGGTGTTGCGGCAAGCATTTTTGGAAGGATTGCCATGACGGCTATTGCCGCTTTATTTTCTTCCATTTCCTCTTGTGTGCGGAAAAGCCCACTGTCGCCCGTGTCACGCCGCTCCGAATCCGCCTCAGTCAATGTCAGTAAAGATAAAGCACCTTTCAGCATGTCTGGTTCTTGTCTGCCGTCGTTTGTCGGCCCTGCAAAAGATGTCTGGGTAGGGGACCGTAACAGTTTCGGAAAGTTTATATCCGTTGAAAATGACAATGGCGTGGCCACAAAAGGTGCAATCTCATGCCTCACTTCATTCACACATCCTTCTGCTTTCGCCATTCTGGAAAATTCAGTGGCTTTCATACTGTCGGGCCCCTTATAAGCATAACTACCCGCAGAAGTATTCGTAACTGTAGAAGTTGAGAATGGTGTGCAAGAAAATACGGGTATTGTTGATGCTGTTGTTGCGGCATTAGTGAGGAAAGGTTTACTATTACTAATTTTGGAATTAGTACAGGTATTCCTTTTGTCACCAATATTCATAGCAATCGGAAAATTCATGTGCCTTCGTTTTTGTTTCCACCACCATTGAAATGGTAAAAAAGAAGATACAAATTCCGTTTCAAGAGGGATGCTCCGTTCATCCCCTTGCTGTATGTAAGGTCCAGGGTCCAAGGCGGCCATAACTTGCCGCTTCTGCTCACACAACATTGAGGATTGAGAGAAAGTCCCCATAGCAACGTTCCCCTCAAGAGCCACTTGTTGGGGCGTCATGGATGTGTTCATGACAAGGTGAGAAAACAACATACGCCGTTGAAAATGGGGCGCATATGAGGGCTGTAACGCAAGGATGGGAGAGACACTATCACTGTAGCCGGTCGAACTGTGCGAGGGCCTTGCCGCAGTGCGGTCCGTGGTGACGCCGCAACACAGCGCCTTTAGAATAGTCTCCGACAAGACCGTTTCCTCCGTGGGTGTCGCAGATTCGCGCATGAAGCGTGAGGCGTGCAGTGAAAAGAGGCCCAAATCATGACTCAACCGCGGCGCAAACGAGACCACCTGCTCATGCAGCAAAGACCCCAGGGATGGCTGCTGGCGCAACAACGATGCCAAGCCCACCCCATCAAATGCACCGCAGCTTTGCCCAGCAATAAATGTACGCGTGGGAAAATGATGTAACCCCTCACGTGCGATGTATTCCACAAGATCGGACGAAGGCGGCATCCCAAGACGCTCTAGCGCCAATGCAAGTCTCTGCCCAAAAACCCAGCGTGTCAACAACACTTCGGACGAATCTCTCACCGCCTTCGAAGCCCCTTCAACGCAGCCAAGAGCCGGATTCAACGTCAAGGAAGCCTCCGCAGGAGAATTAGCCAACGAAGTAGAAAGAGGAGCATTTGTAATACGCACTAGGGCATTTACGACCGATGCGACAGCTGCATCGTAAAATAATGCCAAAAGTTCCAGGTATGGCGCTGTACCTGGGGCCGACGTCGCACAGGCCGTCAACAACGATGCAAACAAAGACTCAAAGGCGGGCATCAAAAAGCGTGACTCTCCCACTGTCTCTAAGCTACGAGGTCGTGATCCCCCAACGTGATGCTGCCGCTGCGATTCCTGCTCCATTGATCGCTGCATCCCAGCGGAAGATAACCGCGATGCGTGTCCATTGGGGCATGCCTTCAATAAAACACGAAGCTGCTCCAGCACGGCTTCTAAAAACGGCATCCCACAGGACAATCCATCAAAAGGTACTCGTTTCACCCGCTCAAATGACGGTAAACCAACGAATGGCGGTGATTGTGATGCCGCGTACGGCGCTGCACTGCCTGTTTGAGGTGTCCCGCCGCCACTGGATTCCGTTTTCTGTGCATGTGGAGGTGTCGCATACGAAAACTTAACGGAGTAATTGTCGCTCCTCCATATGCCTTTTCGGAGGCTTGAACCGGCAGACACACGAGGATTTGTTGATGATAAATGGCTAGTAGGGTTTGTGGCAATATGAATGTCTCGTACAAAGCTGTTGTTGTTGTTGTTGTTGTTGTTGTTGTTGTTGCTGTTGCTGCTGCTGCCGTTGTTGTTGTTGTTGTTGCATACGCTGACGTTTTCGTTTGAACTGCAGGCAATCGTTTCATTACCCACAAGGGTGACTGGAGAAAATGCAGGCAACGATATACGTCCCACCGGGGCCAGTGAAACCAAAGCACATGAGGGAGCGGAACGCATTGCGTTGGCTGTCACGCTGGGGGAATTGTTGCCCTGATTGTTCCTAAAAGTATCTTTTATCCAATGAAGCAGAGACGTGCCCTTTGAATGGGTGTCATCGTCCAACGTGTAGTAAGATGTAAACAGCAGTTGCAAATGCGGGGCCTTGCGCAGTAAACGTGAGGGCGTAGGATGCGTACAGATACCGTGGACTACCCACCATTCAGGAAGAGTGTTGTGGCACTGCTGTTTTGCGACGACTGCTCCACGAAAACTCATTGAATGCACCAGAAGTGAAGAGAGAATGGCTGCCTTTTTCCCCCCTTCTATTTGACGTCGATTTTGCCTGGTACGTCGCTCCATAGACCGCATCATAAAGCGCGGTGATGCAACAAATGGAAATAAGGTGTTGCTTTTAAATGGATCGCAAAACGCGCAAGGTGGATTTCTCTTAGGCCAATGCGAGGGTGATTCCGATACCGATGCTGAATGAATGCCTGGTGTCGTTTCTCTTGTGAGAGTTGGAGTGGAAAGAGGTGAGGATGGGGCGATGTTCACTCCCAACGGTACACTCTTCTCCCTCACACAACCTGTGTACTCAGAACCTAACCCACAATGGCATGATACACCACCAACAGATGTCGCAGGCATCATTTCCGCTTCTTCTTCCTCATACTGCTGCTGTTGCTCTCGTTGTTGATGATGTTTTTGCCGCTGCTGTTGTAGCTGGCGCCAGGCATTATAAAAAGAAACCACCTCACGACGATAATGCACCTCTTCCGCCTCAAGACCCGCGGGGTCCCATATTGGCAAATAGACATAGCATGGATTACATACACCCACAGAAGCTGTATTGAAAGTAGATGCGTCTCGCCTAGATGTGCCGTCTTCCGTCATTTCCTTCTTCCACACTTGTACTAGAGGCCAACGGCATGCAGCACGTGTACGTTCATATGCCTCACTAATGACTAACGTTGAAATTAATTCCACGGATATTTCCCGCCATATATCCATGGAAAGATAAGTGGAAAAAATCTTTTCAAGCTGCGCATCCCGCGCCGCCCATACCTCCTCCCACCCCAGATGCGATGACGCAGGCAATTGGGAGCGGGGGTTTGACCTCGACGCGGTTTCATGACGGCAACTTGGTGAAGTTGATGACAGTGGAGAAGATGGAATAAAGTGATCGTCGTCACCCTCGCGTGATGGCTTGAGATGCGTAAGAGCGACATGCAAGGCAGAATACAATGGGGCCGGTTGAAGAAAAGTGGCAAAGATGGCGGGATCCATGAGAGTGTCGTCCTGTGCGGTGGGCAGTACATATGGCGCAGGTGAGGCCCTCTGTGTTTGTATTCGATCGCCTAAACTGGGTGAATCCGACGTCTGGCATGACCACCCAAAGTACTGAACGATGCTCCCATCGTTGATGTAGCAATTCCCATCATTTTTCCCTTCTTCTTCTCCTTCTCTTCCTTGTGATGGGGAAAAAACGCCAGTCGTAAACAACTCACTCGCCCGTTCACGACACAATCGACGACGTATTAACAAACGTCGTATAAATTCCCACACGGCGGACGGGTGAAGTGAAACCTCAAAAAGCATCGCCGTGCCGGGTACATACAACCAATGGCCAAATGGAACCGGCAGATACGTCACCAGTGGTGTGGGAGCAGATGTGGCCGTAACATTGGTGTTTATCATGGTAAAAAGTGCCTCTCTCCTTAATGAAGCCGGATGATTCAATTGTACTCCAAATAAATAACGCGGTGGTGTATCCTTATGATGCAAATCAACATAATGAACAAAGACACCAGGCAAATAAATCACAATCATACCCTTCATAAATAGAAATGTCACACGCGTGTCATACGTGACACGGCAACGCTCTTCATATGTGAGTGGAATGGTGACCTTCACCGCATCCACTTGATTACGAAGTGCCGTAATCATGCAAAGTATTACAGGTGGACCAATTTCAATGGTTGATGCGGGGGTCACCGCCGTGCGTGGTCGCGTCGGCGGTGGTACTTCTTCTCCACTAGATAGCCTGGTGTCATATCTCGACATTCCAACATGCACGTCACCGTCTGGTCGTAATTTCAACGGGTTATGTTCCCTCACACTCCGGTCGTTCCTGTCGTCAATGCCGTTGGTAGCGCTCGTTGACACGCGTGGGGAGGTATCCAGACCCCACTTCGACGTCTCCGTCGACATATCGACCACAGCCAATGGCAAGGTGCAGGAGGAGACGGGGTAGGAGACGCGTGAGAGGAAGAGCTGCTCACACAAAACGGAATCCCGAATTCCATCCTCATACTGCACGGGCAGAAGATTCATGTGAATACGCGAAAGAGTGGAACAGCACGCCGTGCCCCACGGCTCCAACAACGTAGCCCCACCGCCGAGAGCCGCACTGCGATGCACATCACATGAACTGCCAGAGACACCAAAGCCACGCTCCACGGCAACTTGCATCGTTATTGCCGCATCCGCGGTATCATCATGCCGTGTGTGGTAACTTGGAGTGGCGGTAGTGGAAGAAAAAGACACCGTCTGACGCCGCCGCGGAAGATTTCGCTCAAACTCACAGCAACGCCGATCGGGATGTCCGTTGAAGACAACGATACGCAGCTTATCGTACGTTTGAAAGGCCGCCCAAAAAGAGAGCCTCTGAGTCACGGGATCCCAGTGGTGCCACTGCGGGTAATGCGCCAAGCTCCATTGCGCGGCCGAGCGCACCTCCAACGTTCCAAACCGGCCCGCACCGGCGGAGGCGGATGACCCCACTGACCGCTCCTCCTGTCGACGTGCATGTTTCTGGTGGCGTTTCCCTCCTTTAAGCTCTGCGAAAAAAAACGCCCCTGGATTATTCTTCGTGTCTCCCTCCTGTACATACGATACCTCCTTCACCTGTAGGCCTTGCTTGGCGTAGTCACAGGCGGAGATCCAGTGAAACGTGGTGATTAACTTTCTTCCTTTCTTTTCCTTCACAAGATCGGTTTTTTTGCGTTTTAAAAAATATCCCATCTGACAAAAGGCATTCGCTGGAAGCGACATGACGGCAATTTTCGCCTCATCGCAGAGAGGCGTATCATCGTGACCCACGGAAACTGGTAGCAGTGCGGGGAGGGATGAAGGCGGTCGCCCAAGAGGACCATCTTCTTCCTCAATTCTCTCTTCTTCCTCCACCCCCCCGACACTCGCTTCCTCTGGACACATTGCAGCAGACTCCCTTGTGCCACTACAACTACTGTGAGATGTCGCGGATTTAGTTCGTTTGAAAACCGACGCCGCCACCGGTGCGGCTGCTGTCGGGGCACACTTTTGACGTGCGGGGAGTGGGACACTTATTTTCTCCGTCACGGTTGCCTCGTAAAAAATATCCGTTCCAACAACATGCAACCATACAAAGTAACGGTATGGGGCCAAACTCAACGCCTCCTCTGTGACAGAAAAAGGAGGAGAGGTATTATTCATAGGAAACGTCCTTCTATTAGAAGGAAAGGCAGAAGTAACAGAAGCAGAAGCCGAGGCAGCGGCGGTATCCATTTGCTTTTGTTGACGCTGCAGAAATCGTCGAAGGCTCGCAAAGGAGCGTCGTTCGTGTTGTCGCCCCCCATCTGGCATCGCTACCGACGCCAATCGTGCATCCAACCGCTCTGTGAAGGACAACATCAGCCCATGATGAAACGCCTTCGGTACCTCCGCACACAACCGAGAAAATCCCAACTCTCCAACCGTATTATTATGACTGTTTCCATCCAACACCGTCTTCAAGGCCGAAAATGCAGGCTGCTTCATTGACTCACGGACTCCCTTTTCCTTTTCTGTCATTCCTCCCCTCCTCCTTCTCCTTTTCTTCTGCATTGTTGCAACTGTGGTTCCTGTTAAAGTTGGCATGCATGATGGTGACATTGTCAGACTTGCCTGCACAATATCCAGCACACCTGCACGGAGCAGCAACAGCGTCCGGTCAATAATTTGAAATGAGGACGATGTCGATGCCGCAGTGGGAGATGGAACAGTGCACCCCGCCCCACACCACATTGACTGTGTCTCGCTGTGCAGTTGATCCCACAGATACTGCAGTAAGAGATCCGGATCCCGGTCCGTGTACTCCGCCTCTAACTTTAAAAAGGGCGGGGACTCCGTTTCGTTTGCATCTTCACCAGGCAACCTGCTGCTGTGCGTCTCATCCTGAGCATCATCCGGGCCGTAGAAGGCACACCGTACCGCCTCAATGGATGTGTCCTTCCCATTACAAGAGGCAACAAGGAGTACCATGAAATATACCACCGATAACGTCTCCCCACCCTCGCCCCCATCTAATTCACCGGCTGAAGATGATGGCGATGATGCCGATGCCGCTTCTAACGCTGCCGCATCCAACGCACCCATTTGCTCCGACCGAATGAACGCCAACACTGCCTCTTGAAGCGACCCTAATGTATACGAGGAGCCAATAAACTCCATTCCTACAAGTCGCTCAAAATAGAAGCCAGGAGGAATTTCACACCCTTGCTCCACTTGCATGGAAGCACTCCCCATCGTGCATGCCCCTGGAGAATAGAAACGGGGTGAGCATGTAGAAGAAAATGTAGATGACTTAGAAGACCCTTGAAGCCACGCTGGTGGGATGCTTAAACATGACTTTCCATCACCCCCACACCGCAAAGATGCCTTTGCCGGAATAAAATGCAGCATATAGAAGATATATATATACACGCACGCACAGACAGACAGATGCGTTCTCCTTCTCTTTCTCTATGCTTATATTTATTTATATGCGTGTGTGAAGGCAACCCGAGGAATTCGTACCCTTCAAATGTGGTGCGGTTAATTTCAACAACAACAACAACAGGGACTTCCAGCACCACCTTTTAAATGGGAATTTCCCCCCACCCACTCACCCACCCCTTTTCTTTTTCGTTGTTTTTTTTTTTGGTTTTGTTTTTTGTTGTTGTCTCTTGTGGCTGTGAAAGGAGAAAATAAACCAACTGACAAAAAGAAAAGAAAAGAAAAAAAAAAAAAAAAGGATTTGTTTTTACAATAAAGAAGGAGGAGAATAGGGAAAGAAAGGGGGGCAGAAAAAAAAAAAAAAAAAAAAAAAGTACTAAACGTACATGAAATCACATAAAACTCCAACATGTAGACATCCAATTCAACAGCAGAAATAAATTTCAATAAAAAAACAAAAAAAAAAAAAAAAACAGCACACAAAACACAAAACACAAACACAAAACACGGACGCCAATTAAGCACCGGTAATGAAGAAAAGAAATGACATATCCATAAGATCTACTACACATGTACACTCATTTATTTTATATAAATATATATATAAAATAAAATAAAATAAATATATACCGTGTGTCAACAACAAACACAAAAACCAGAAAACAAATTGAGTTTAACTCCATGCAGAAAGAGGAGGGGGGGGGGGGGGGGGGGTGAGGACCAAAAAAAAAAAGAAAAAAAAAACCGTTTTCTCCAAAAAAAACATGTGGCCAATCAACGCCATCACATCAGTCATCATCAAACTTGTCATTCATTCACCCCTTCCTGAATTTTGTTTTTTTTTTTTTTTTTGTTTTGTTTTGTTTTTTGTTTTTTTTGGTTTTTGGTTTTTCTTTTGTATTGCCTACGCGCACAATCGGCCATTTTGATGCAATCGACATCCATCCATTCATCCCGGAGAAAAGAAAAGAAAAGAAAAAAAAAAAAAAAAGCAATCAAACAAAATGTATAAAAAAAAAAAAAAGAAGAAAAACGTATAATTTTACCCCCTTTTTGTTGCTGTTCCCACTGCCACCACACACACACACACGCAGAGAGAGAGGGAGGGGGAGAGAGAGAGAGGGGGAGAGGGAGAGAGGGAGAAAGGGAGAGAGGGAGAGCATACATCCAAAAATATTACTGTTAAGCCCAAAAGTGGGGGGGAAAAGGGAAGAAGCCAAAAAAAAAAAAACACAAAAAAAAACAGGGACGGCGACGGCAGCGTCGGGTGAAGCAAAAATAAATAAAAGAATAGGAACTTCAAAAATTTGATTTTTCCTTTTCCTTTGCCCCCTCCCCTCCCCACCCCTTTTACTCCCTCTCTCCATTTCTGTTTCTTTTCTGCCATTCTCCCTCGTCATCGTCAGCAAACAAACACACAGACATGTAGATTGCACGAAAAAAAAAAAAAAAAAAAAAAAAAGCAAACAAAAGCAAAACAATAATAATAATAATAATAAAGAACCCAATCGCCACCATCCGCCCAGTCCTCTCATCCACACGCCCTTTCCCCCTCTCCCCTTCCTTTTTTTTTTTTTTTTGGTTTGTTTGTTTGTTTATTTGTTGCCGCGCCTATAAAAACGCAGCCGTTCCGCAAGCAAAAAAAAGGAAAAAAGGAAAAAGTACCGCTTTGGATCCACGGTCCAATGCTCTTTTCTTTTGTTGTTGTTCCTTCTTTTTTTTTTTTTTTTACATCTCTCTCTCTCTCTCTCTCTCATTTCACGCACAGACAAACATTGCATGCATGCATATATATATGCACATGAAGCCGTAGAGAGAATTAATAAATAAAACTCGTACAATAACGAAGAATAATAATTTAAAAAGCAAAAAAAAAAAAAAAAAGATATTTCTAATCCTCCAAAAACAACGCTGATAATAATAATAATAATAAAACTATAACAAACATAGCAATAAAAATACAAGGGGCTGCAGTCAAGATGGGGCAGTGGTTAGTCGCAGAAAGCGTGACTGTGAGGGCCGATGATCGATATCAATGCGAGTGAAAAAGCCCGGGCGGGATCGTGGCTCAGTCGTCATGGTAATGGGGTTATTTTTGACACCACCATGCGGATATCGCGACGTCATCCGTGTTTTGTTCGGCGTAACAGACGTCGGGTGAGGACGGTGTTGGTTGCCGGCGTTTGCACCTCCCTTCGCACTCTTCGATACATGGAGCGATCCTGTCATCATCGGTGCCGCCACAACAGCTGAACAACCCTGCAGTGTTTTTGACCTTGAAAACTTCACCAATTCCCCTTTCCGTGCGGTTGTGGTAACAGCAGTATGGCGTGTTTGTTTTTGGCTGGTCACCGCGGCGGCTCTCGATGGCGAAACCCTCTCAAGTGGCTGAGTCAATCGCGAGCCCCCCATCCAACCAGAGGTCGTGCATACATCCACAGAATGCGGTGCATCGTATGTACCGGTTCCAGGCAAACAGTAATTTGAATGATTCAAAAAACGTGTCGACGACTTACTAGAAGGTTTACAGTTGGATTTCACGTGAAATGACTTAGGGCGTGAGGTCGGTGCTGTGTGTGAAGCATCTGTGATTCCAGAATTGCCTCCATGTGGAGGTTGTCCCCCTAACGGTGACGTGTTAAGCTCATTTGTGCTTATCGAACTATCACAAGAGATCACCTGAGCGGTTGGTTTGCTGGTGCCACGCGAAGGGCATGGCGCATAATCGTGATCTTCAGCAATATCAGGACTCCCTGACACGCCACGTGAACATTCACGAACACGTCTCTTCTCTAAAGAGACAGTAGCGAAGGTCAAATCAGACGGATGTCGGGAAATCGTTGGCTGGCTAACGTTGGGATACTGAGATATTGGGCGTGGCTTTGAAAAGCCCCCGCTATTCATGCCTGCGTGGCCATTCCCGTTCTTTGTCGGACGTGACGCAAACTTTGTTGGAGAACTCCCAGATGTTGTCAGTGTTACCGCTTCTGCCGCCGTGTATAAATGTGGCTTTGCGGCTCGTGTTTGAATTGAGCATTCGATGGTATGCCTCTCCGTACGACCGCCTGCTGGAACAAAACAAGCAGAGTGAGAGAGTTTTTCCCAGTGCATGGCAGCCAAAACGGTCGCGATGGGTGGTGTTCTCACCGGTGTATTTGACGCCAATAACGGTGACATGAGAGATGATGCGGAGACTCCTGCCGCTGTTATCGCAGTTCTGTTGAGTTTGACATGTTGGGCTGGTGGGTATGCATGGGATGCCGTCTCACCACCACACGCCTTACGCTCAAAAGATGTGTTGGACGCTCTAACGGGCAATTGGGCTAGCCATGAGGTCGCTTTTGTTACGGTGGCCACTTTCGTGGTTGTGGTGGTGGCGGTGAATGAGACACCCGCCGAGCCCATGACGCCACCACAGCCGCTATTATTATTATTGTTGTTGTTGTCATTGCAGCCACGCTGGATCGATGACTCATCATTTTTGCCGGAAGCCCTCACCGCTACCTTCCGTCGTCGATGAGAAAAGTTATTGTCGTCTCTTCCTTCATTCTTCTCATCCATCGGCGGTGGGAAGCCCCGGCAGCCCTTCGTTTTGAACGCTTTGCTTCCTCCAATGAACTGCATCATGCCTTCCTCACGGCGTTGAAGGGAAATGTTACGCACCCACGCGGCCAAATTATTTCCTCGACGTGGCAACGCCGTGAAACGTGGCGTGCGTTTTAAAAGCACACGAGGTGTGGAAACGGGTGTTTTTCTGTGCAAACGCAAGTGCCTATCGATGCAAAGAGAGCTGAGGCCGCTCCCTAGAGTCGTTTGGCCTGTGACCGTCTTCGTTGTGTCAACGCTGTCATCTTCATGTCCCTTCTTTTCATCTTCTTTTCCCACCGCCTCGTATTCCTCGGTGCTTGTCACACCAGGCAGCAAGGCGACCATAGCATTTCCCTCCTCTCGGGCTTCCGGTTCAAGACGCGATGTTTCACCACCCGCACCCCTCCTCTCATGGCTGAGGGACTCCTCTACGACTTTTCCCCCTTTGTCACTGCACACGTCAAAGAACGGGTCCATGACATTCGTAAAGGGACCGCTATTTCGTCGCTTCCTTTCCTTCGCTGGAAGCCCTGAAGAAGATGGGGAAGAAATAGGCATCCCACTGAAGTCATCCTTCCCATAGCCATTGTTACCCATGCTGCTGCTGCCGCTGCTTCTGCTGCTTTGAATATCCATGTCTTTTCGTTCCCCTTCCTTCAATTTCTTCCCCTTTTGAATGACATGCGAGGCTTCCTCCAGAGACAATTGCTCCCGTCCGCCGCTCTCCTTCGTCTCCCTCCCGCCATCACTACTGGCATGTTCATGACTAGTGTTTTCTTGGAAAGAGGCGTCATTGTTGTCCAGCACCGCGGGTGAACCATCCTTTCGTTTTTCCCGCAGTTCCTCACGGACCCTACCACGACGCCGACGTTGGCCAAGAACTATGCTACTGATACCACTTGCCCCGGTCTCCACCCAAGATGTCTCAACAGGGTTGGGAACCATCTCCGTTGACATGATGCTCTGCATCTCGCGCTCCTCCATTGCCTCATGATTACTAACACGAATCCGTTCCAACTCCCTGAGCCTTGCTGACAGGTCCCACATGCCATCATCTCCCCGTTTCTGTCGCTTGGATGCACCACGCAAAATGTGGCGGCGCGAGCTCCGCCAACGCGAAGGCGACGGTTCAAAAAGACGCTGACGAAACGGATGGTGCGTCGTCCGTGTGAACCCACTTTCATCGTCGTTGCCACTCAATTCACCACTGGTTTTGCTGAATTCCTCATCACTGAGCAGCGTGTGGGCCTCTTCGTCGTCACAGAAGTTGCACTCCCCCTCATGCATGGAAAACTCCTGCGGGATTGTTCTCTGTGGCACGGTTGGTGGCCGACGCATGGTTTGAACTGGCGGCACTCGGAGGGTGGCGGGCGGTGAATCCTGAGAAGCTTCTCCGGATGTTGCTTTCGTACTCGGTGCAGCCGCCGCCGCCGGTATTGTCGGTGTTCCCGCATTTGCCACACAGCGTGAGGGCGGCAACCTCCCTCCCTCGCACCGATCCTGTTCACTCTGCCTCACCGATTCTGTGCTCCAAGAGTTCGTCAAGACGCCATCACTGTTGCTGCTTCCGTTTCTAGTGGGCAACCATCCCTGCGCTCGCTGCAAAGGGCTAGAGCTAAGGGAGTGCTTCGGGGTGCGATTAAAGCTCATATCAAAGATGCCGGACAGACTCCATGCGTATCCCGCAGACGCCCCGTCCCCGGCTCCCCGACTAAACGGCGATGCTTCCGTTGTCGTCTGCTGGACCGGTAACTGCGATGGTGTAGAAACCCCCATGGGCGCAAAAGACTCTCGTCGTGGAGGATAAATAGAGTGTGGACTGTCCATCCATGCAGAAAGCGGCCGAGAGAGAGGGGAGATGAAGATGCTTGGAACACTTTCAATGTGCATTACGGGTGTGCCCAAAGGGACAAAAGACGCAGTTCCCGTCGTTGATGCAAAGGGAGAAATAGAGGGACATGGCGTTGGTGATCCCTCAAGGATGAATCGACTAACTCTTGGTCGTAACGTGATGACTTCTTGGGCATCCTTCGCTTTCAAACCGGAGAAAGGACTCCGCAACTCCTCTTGCTGTTGTTGTCGTTGTTGTTGTTGCTCAGCCCTCTGAACCTGTTCCAGTACCACCCGCTCCTCTTCACATGTCATCTCGCACGAAGACACGGGAGCGACAGAAAAGGGTCGGAAACATGTGACGGAATTCATCAGCGGTGTTGAAATCAGCGAGTCTGTTCGTTCCAGCACAGTCATAACATCCACAGGATCCCCCTGCTGTTTTTGTCCCTCTCGGTACGAATCAATGTGAGGCAACCCCCACTCAAAGGCTGAACCAGGTGACTCGCACGACGCCACATACCCCATCTCCTCTTGAGCCTCTTGCACCACCTGTTTTTCCTCCGACTGCGGCCGCAACAGCGTGAAGTTCAGCCGCCTGGCAAACCAGTCAACCTCATGACAGGACTCCACTGGGTGCTCAAAGGCTCCCCCCATTTCAGCACAGGCGGTGCAAGAAGGCGTTTGCGGGCTCTCACGTTGCTGTTGTGTTTCCGGTTGCCGCCGCGACGACGCTTCTTCATACGCTATGATTGTGGGCAGTTCTGGGCTTTGCGTGAGTGGAAACGACAGCGGTGATTTCACGGACTCCAACTGATGGAAGAAAGTCATATCTTCCTCCATACCCTGCATCTCCCTCAACAGGGAACCCGCCACGGCACCCACATGACAGTTCTGCTGAATCTGCCCCTGAACGATGTTGCCGACCTCCACTGAACGCAGAAACGACAGTGACATGGGTGATAGTGACAGAGGCGTTCGTGGCCAGTGCCGCCTTTTGTCCTGTCCCTTTTGACGGGAGGGCTCCGTTTGATCCCCATGAGAACCCTCAACCGGCGTCTGCTCCGCCACCATCCCCGTCGTCGTCGTCTGCTGCTGCCTCGTCGTGAATTTCCCTCCCTTCGTGGTGATGACTCCGCCGGTGGCTGTTGCGTGCGTCCTGCCTTAAAGTCACTGCTGCAGGATCGCCTTCCTTCCACCACCCCTCCACAAATGCCTTCTCCCCTTTCCTTGATCCGCCCACCGTCGCCTCCGTTGGCTTCTCCCTCCCTTCCGCTCTCACTGCGTGTGTCTGTGTTTTGCCAAAATGTGTCCTCTCTCTGCCCCACTCTCACTCGTTCTTTTTTTTTTTTTCTCTTTTTTTTGTTGTTGTTGTTGCAAGAACCAGCCGTCCACGTTGTCACTCAGCGTCGTGAAGCCAATGCGATGCAGCCAACTTGCAAGGCGCAACGGAAGGATACAACACACACACACACACAAAAAAAAAAAAAAAGACGGCAAATAAAAAGGGGAATTCACCCCGTTAATACAGTACCGAACCTTCTCCTAGAATACACAAAGATATTTATATATATTTATATGGATATACGTATGGATACGTCTAAATTTATATATTATTTCTCAAAAGCCCCTTTCTTTCCTCTTCACACTTTTCTTTCTGTATCTCTGTGTGTATCTGTGAGTGGGTGGGTGGGTGTGATTGTGAAAAAAAAAAAGAAAAAAAAAAAACCTGAGGAATTAAACGTAATCCTCACGGGTTGCTAACTAAATGTGCACACCACATACACACAAACACACACACGCGTAATAAATAAATAAATAAATAAACAAGAAAAAGGCACATTATTAAATGCAGAGTCAAGTAAAAAAAAAAAAAAAAAGGGGGGGGGGGGGGGGCACCACAAATAGATAGACAGATATGGATACATACATACATACATAATTATGCATAATTTAAAAAAAAAAAGAAGAGAGAGAGAGAGAGAGAGAGAATCATACGCTTACACATACACACACACACATATATATATATGTATTATCCCACCTGCTCTCTTCACTCTGTGGAGATGCGACGTCGACTTAAACGCAACAGTTGTGCGTCCAGACGGTTGTTACGACGGTAAAGTGGAAACATGCGATTGCGTGAAGAGCTAAGAGATCCCGGGCGACTCACTCGGCCCTGCTCCGCCGGGTAATGTTGCCCGCGTACAGCAAAGGTGTAGTGTAGGGGTTTGTATAACGCTGCGACGTAGGCGGCGTCAAGATTGAGGGCGGCAGCGGCCTCATCAAAATTAAAGCGGCCACGACGGTCCATTTCTCCAATCGGTTTCGACCGCCACCCACCCACGCTGCGGAATACACGTCCGCCACGTAACATCCTCCCCCACTCTCTCCCCTCCTGCAGAAAAAAAAAAAAAAAGAAAAAACACCACTACTACCAACAACAACAAAAAAAAAAAGAAACCCAAGTAGGCATAAATACACGCAAGAGTAAAGGACCTTTGGGGGCTAACAAAAAATAAAAAAATAGGCCAATGAACCTCTGCCACGTCACACAGAAACATATATGTATATATGGTATATATGGATTGACAACACAAACATACACACAAACACATCCTCTCTCTCTCTCTCTGTTTGTTTGTTTCCCACACCACCACCCACCTCTCTCACACAAGTGGCCGTAGTATGGGCGCTGCAGGGAGCTCTGATGTTTCTCGTCTTGGTAAGACAAACTGTTGCGGTGCCACACCGCACTCATTATAATCATCATCATCACTTGTTGTAACATCATCAGCAGCGCCGTAAAAAACATCAACAGGCCACCAGTTATAGTTGTTTTCATCATCCGTGCACCACGCGGTAGAAGAAGTGGTGGGGATTTCACGGCAAAAAAGAATGTTACAACTAAGCTGGGCGGTAAATTTTGACAAGGGCAAACGGCAAGACACCGCGTTGTGTACGTAATCCTCGTTATCGCTCAAAACAAAAGTCGGGGTAGCAGCCATAGCAGTATCAGTATCCTCAACGTTACGGTTATATTCGCGCGTGCAATCTGAGCGTTCGCACACAACCGGATCAAATCCCCAATACGCCAACAAACAGGAGACATCCTTGTCTTGAAGAACAGTCCTCGGAAGGCAAAAGGCACCGCCACCCACAGAAATCAAAGTTCCCGGAAGCTTCGCCGTGAAGGATGCACAAGAAGCAGTTGCACTTCCACAAGTTATCACTGCAGAGGTGGCGATTGGCGCCAGCACACCGTGAGGAACCTTGTGAGCTGCTTTCATCATCCCATCATCCTCGTAACTGTAATGCCCCGGCTTCATGTCATCATGATTAATATTTTCATATCCACTACTTAGGCAGGGTCCTGAACCATGTGTCTCGACCTTCCGTGTGGTGGAGATGGAGGGCAGCAACAATGCCTCTGCGTATTCCACAATCGCATCCATATCATCATCATGATTATCATCGCTGTCATCAGTATTTATAATTTCATTGCCGTCATTTGGCATTTCCCTCCGAACGCACTGCCGGTGGCCTCCTTGACTTCGCCATGCAGCGATGGAAGCCGCGCGTCCAGCAGCCTCCTTGTATTGGCTTGGGGACAGGAAGGCTTCATCACGACAGCTCTCAGAAGCAGCATTTACACAAGAAATTGTTGATAGCGGCCCATCAACATTTGTACCACCTGATAAAACACCTTCACCGCTGCAGTTAAACCACGCATTCGTCGTCGTTGGTGCCTCCGACATGCACCTCACAACGCCATCAAGATGGTGTAAGACGTGGAGCTCCCCGTGGAATAAAAATACCTGCGTTGGAGTGCGTGGTGCCTGCAGGATCGCCTGCAGACGAGAAAGACCGTGCCGCGCGCTCTTCTCAGAAACATCACATGTTATCATGGAAACAGTGGCCTCGTTCCCAATATTCCCATCGCCCGCCCCTGCGGTATTGCCAATCGGGGTGATATTCACCGGGCCCGCATGTCGCCATGACAAAAATGATGAAGCCCCACGGTCATTTTCTTCATCATAACGGCCGTCTTGAACGGAGCGCGCTCTCTGCAGAAGTGTCGCAGCGCAGTCGGGTGGCGCAAACACAGCCAGCACCTCCAGCCAATCGCTTCGCTCCATAGGCACGCCAGGAATAAACTGCGGGAGGGGAAGCGGCAGCCATTTCGGCAGCCCCGCCTCGTGCAGCTCCGTATGTTTCCCTGTCCCTGCCGTCAACGGCACCATCACCTCCTCCCGATCCATGCTGAGGGCATCACATGTCGCCGGGCGTGCGGAAGAAAGAAATGCGCCCGAGTCCGCGTCTATCGCAACATCACCACAACGCTGGCTCAATCTGGTGACGTACGCCCAAAGTGTGAAGCGCAGAATAACCACAGGCAAAATGCCGCGGCGTACAGCCTCATTCCAGTCCTCCTCCACGGGCAACACCAACATAGGATCACCCCTCTCACAACGCCCCAGAAATAGGCAATTGTACGCATCAACGGAGTCTCCCAACATGAGCGCCGCCCTCGGCGGGTCGTACACAGTATAAACGCGCAACAACTCACGCATAGACCTCGACACAGTCAAATCCAAAACCAATTCCCTCTCCACCGATGAATCCAACTCCGGCTCCTGCGGCTGCCCAAAACAACCACCATCCGCAGACAGCATAGGCCACTTCCACCACCAGAAAAGAACAGACAACGAAGAAACACCCTGTGGTATCAAAGGCATGCACGAAACACCTCTTAAAGAGCCTCGGCCGAACGAAGAATTCCCCAGTAACAACGAGCCAACACCATCAGCATCGGCATCAAAAACAAAACTACCAAGAAATTCATCCCCCGCACCCTTCAAAAAAAAACACTCACGAGAGAATAAATCCATCAGCCATCACAAACACAGCAAAACCTACAGCAATCACAAAACAACAAAAAAAGAAACGAACCAAGAACAAAAAAAAATAATAAAGCAATAACAATAAAAAGCAGACAGAGACAGCGGGGGAGTTGGATCGAGACGCGACGGAACAGCCACGCCACGCCGCAGTGGCACCAGCACACACACACACACACAGTCAGCGCCGAAAACGTACGAACGAACACAAACCAAAAAAAAAAGTAAAAATAAAAATAAAATCGCACCGACGCTTCCCCCCACAAGTGGCGGGGCGGCGGTAGGAGATGTACATCAGCGCGCGGCCGTCGCAGAGAATGCACGGGCAGGCGGCACGGGGCCAGCACGCAACGGCAGCCAAAACAAAAGATGGTCACACCCGGAAGAACCAGGCGCAAAACAAACGGCGGAAGATACGCCAAGCACGCACAACCAAAGACAATGGCATATATACATCCACACCGCTGCAGGGTGCTCAAATATACGCGGCGCACCTCTCGGTGGGTCACGCCGAGAGCGGCGCACGCGCCCCGCCCCGTCCTCAGCACGCAGCACCGGCGGTCGCCACAGCGGCACTGACAAGCAGCAGCAGCGGCACCTGAACCCACAAAGGGCCGCCGAGGCCGCTCCCGTCGCCAGGAGTCGGTGCCTTGGAGGTGGTTGTGTTCTTGGCGGGTGCATTGGTGGTGGTGGTGGTCGTGTCCTTGGCGGGTGCATTGGTGGTGGTGGTGGTCGTCGTAGTAGTAGTTGTTGTGGTGGTGGTGGTGGTTGTAGTTTGATCCTGGCCCTCCCCAGCCTCGACAACAGCAACATCATACTGCCCCTCCTCCTGAGCCGTGGCGCACACGCACGCACAGCAGAGGGCAAGGAAAAGCACGCAGAGGACGCGGCGCAGCATCATTGTCACTTGGGCCTTTGTGGACTTCGCTTGTTGCTCGCGGTGTAAACTCTCCTGTCGGGCCGGCACCGAGCGGGCACAACGAGAGCACGCAGCATGGGAGGAAGAGACACGGGCAGACGCACAGCATACACACACACGCACACAGAGACAGCGGGGGAGTTGGATCGAGACACGGCTGAGCAGCCACGCCACGCCGCAGGGACACCAGCACACACGCACACACACAGTCAGCGCCGAAAACGTACGAACGAACACAAACCAAAAAAAAAGTAAGAATAAAAATAAAATCGCACCGACGCTTCCCCCCACAAGTGGCGGGGCGGCGGTAGGAGATGTACATCAGCGCGCGGCCGTCGCAGAGAATGCACGGGCAGGCGGCACGGGGCCAGCACGCAACGGCAGCCAAAACAAAAGATGGTCACACCCGGAAGAACCAGGCGCAAAACAAACGGCGGAAGATACGCTAAGCACGCACAACCAAAGACAATGGCATATATACATCCACACCGCTGCAGGGTGCTCAAATATACGCGGCGCACCCCTCGGTGGGTCACGCCGAGAGCGGCGCACGCGCCCCGCCCCGTCCTCAGCACGCAGCACCGGCGGTCGCCACAGCGGCACTGACAAGCAGCAGCAGCGGCACCTGAACCCACAAAGGGCCGCCGAGGCCGCTCCCGTCGCCAGGAGTCGGTGCCTTGGAGGTGGTTGTGTTCTTGGCGGGTGCACTGGTGGTGGTGGTGGTGGTGGTCGTGTCCTTGGCGGGTGCATTGGTGGTGGTGGTGGTCGTCGTAGTAGTAGTTGTTGTTGTGGTGGTGGTGGTTGTAGTTTGATCCTGGCCCTCCCCAGCCTCAACAACAGCAACATCATACTGCCCCTCCTCCTGAGCCGTGGCGCACACGCATGCACAGCAGAGGGCAAGGAAAAGCACGCAGAGGACGCGGCGCAGCATCATTGTCACTTGGGCCTTTGTGGACTTCGCTTGTTGCTCGCGGTGTAAACTCTCCTGTTGGGCCGGCACCGAGCGGGCACAACGAGAGCACGCAGCATGGGAGGAAGAGACACGGGCAGATGCACTGCATACACACACACGCACACAGAGACAGCGGGGGAGTTGGATCGAGACACGGCTGAGCAGCCACGCCACGCCGCAGGGACACCAGCACACACGCACACACACAGTCAGCGCCGAAAACGTACGAACGAACACAAACCAAAAAAAAAGTAAAAATAAAAATAAAATCGCACCGACGCTTCCCCCCACAAGTGGCGGGGCGGCGGTAGGAGATGTACATCAGCGCGCGGCCGTCGCAGAGAATGCACGGGCAGGCGGCACGGGGCCAGCACGCAACGGCAGCCAAAACAAAAGATGGTCACACCCGGAAGAACCAGGCGCAAAACAAACGGCGGAAGATACGCCAAGCACGCACAACCAAAGACAATGGCATATATACATCCACACCGCTGCAGGGTGCTCAAATATACGCGGCGCACCCCTCGGTGGGTCACGCCGAGAGCGGCGCACGCGCCCCGCCCCGTCCTCAGCACGCAGCACCGGCGGTCGCCACAGCGGCACTGACAAGCAGCAGCAGCGGCACCTGAACCCACAAAGGGCCGCCGAGGCCGCTCCCGTCGCCAGGAGTCGGTGCCTTGGAGGTGGTTGTTTTCTTGGCGGGTGCATTGGTGGTGGTGGTGGTGGTCGTGTCCTTGGCGGGTGCATTGGTGGTGGTGGTGGTGGTCGTGTCCTTGGCGGGTGCATTGGTGGTGGTGGTGGTCGTCGTAGTAGTAGTAGTTGTTGTTGTGGTGGTGGTGGTTGTAGTTTGATCCTGGCCCTCCCCAGCCTCGACAACAGCAACATCATACTGCCCCTCCTCCTGAGCCGTGGCGCACACGCACGCACAGCAGAGGGCAAGGAAAAGCACGCAGAGGACGCGGCGCAGCATCATTGTCACTTGGGCCTTTGTGGACTTCGCTTGTTGCTCGCGGTGTAAACTCTCCTGTCGGGCCGGCACCGAGCGGGCACAACGAGAGCACGCAGCATGGGAGGAAGAGACACGGGCAGACGCACAGCATACACACACACGCACACAGAGACAGCGGGGGAGTTGGATCGAGACACGGCTGAGCAGCCACGCCACGCCGCAGGGACACCAGCACACACGCACACACACAGTCAGCGCCGAAAACGTACGAACGAACACAAACCAAAAAAAAAGTAAAAATAAAAATAAAATCGCACCGACGCTTCCCCCCACAAGTGGCGGGGCGGCGGTAGGAGATGTACATCAGCGCGCGGCCGTCGCAGAGAATGCACGGGCAGGCGGCACGGGGCCAGCACGCAACGGCAGCCAAAACAAAAGATGGTCACACCCGGAAGAACCAGGCGCAAAACAAACGGCGAAAGATACGCCAAGCACGCACAACCAAAGACAATGGCATATATACATCCACACCGCTGCAGGGTGCTCAAATATACGCGGCGCACCTCTCGGTGGGTCACGCCGAGAGCGGCGCACGCGCCCCGCCCCGTCCTCAGCACGCAGCACCGGCGGTCGCCACAGCGGCACTGACAAGCAGCAGCAGCGGCACCTGAACCCACAAAGGGCCGCCGAGGCCGCTCCCGTCGCCAGGAGTCGGTGCCTTGGAGGTGGTTGTGTTCTTGGCGGGTGCATTGGTGGTGGTGGTGGTCGTCGTAGTAGTTGTGGTGGTGGTGGTGGTTGTAGTTTGATCCTGGCCCTCCCCAGCCTCGACAACAGCAACATCATACTGCCCCTCCTCCTGAGCCGTGGCGCACACGCACGCACAGCAGAGGGCAAGGAAAAGCACGCAGAGGACGCGGCGCAGCATCATTGTCACTTGGGCCTTTGTGGACTTCGCTTGTTGCTTGCGGTGTAAACTCTCCTGTCGGGCCGGCACCGAGCGGGCACAACGAGAGCACGCAGCATGGGAGGGAGAGACACGGGCAGATGCACAGCATACACACACACGCACACAGAGACAGCGGGGGAGTTGGATCGAGACACGGCTGAGCAGCCACGCCACGCCGCAGGGACACCAGCACACACGCACACACACAGTCAGCGCCGAAAACGTACGAACGAACACAAACCAAAAAAAAGTAAGAATAAAAATAAAATCGCACCGACGCTTCCCCCCACAAGTGGCGGGGCGGCGGTAGGAGATGTACATCAGCGCGCGGCCGTCGCAGAGAATGCACGGGCAGGCGGCACGGGGCCAGCACGCAACGGCAGCCAAAACAAAAGATGGTCACACCCGGAAGAACCAGGCGCAAAACAAACGGCGGAAGATACGCCAAGCACGCACAACCAAAGACAATGGCATATATACATCCACACCGCTGCAGGGTGCTCAAATATACGCGGCGCACCTCTCGGTGGGTCACGCCGAGAGCGGCGCACGCGCCCCGCCCCGTCCTCAGCACGCAGCACCGGCGGTCGCCACAGCGGCACTGACAAGCAGCAGCAGCGGCACCTGAACCCACAAAGGGCCGCCGAGGCCGCTCCCGTCGCCAGGAGTCGGTGCCTTGGAGGTGGTTGTGTTCTTGGCGGGTGCATTGGTGGTGGTGGTGGTCGTCGTAGTAGTAGTTGTTGTTGTGGTGGTGGTGGTTGTAGTTTGATCCTGGCCCTCCCCAGCCTCAACAACAGCAACATCATACTGCCCCTCCTCCTGAGCCGTGGCGCACACGCACGCACAGCAGAGGGCAAGGAAAAGCACGCAGAGGACGCGGTGCAGCATCATTGTCACTTGGGCCTTTGTGGACTTCGCTTGTTGCTTGCGGTGTAAACTCTCCTGTCGGGCCGGCACCGAGCGGGCACAACGAGAGCACGCAGCATGGGAGGAAAATGAGATTTTGAAAAAAAATAAGCAGGACATTTCTTGGAGAGTTTTTCTTTTTTTTTTTATTGTAATTTCTTTGCTTTTATGAAGATAATTTATTGTTGTTTATTTTTTTCGTTAGTACGATTTTGGTGTTTTTTTATGTTTGCTTATCTTTGACATTGTAGCATAAAATGTTTTTGATCGTACATATCTCCTTTTTTTCCCATATTTACTTCTTTTTTTTTTTTTCTTCTCTTACCAGTCGTAGTAACTACACCTCAATTGTGCAGCTCTGGTAAGCGTACGGAGGAATTCAGTGGCAAGGATAACCTTACTCCGCGGGCAGCCACTATAGAATGGCTCCAGCATCTGCCCTTCCGGCCCGTAAAACTGAGTAACAACTACTCATCGGGTTTGAAGCATGAACAGCAGGCGCTTAGCTTCCTCTCTAGCAAAGAGTACTAGACCCTGGCACCACGTTGAGGTGGCCGGCTGAGCCAGGGTCTTTTTTCACTTTATAAGATTTGTTGTTGTTTTTTTCTGTTTGTTTGTATTTTTAGTTCTTTTGTATGAGCTGTTATTTGTTTTACGTGTCTTCAGTTTTTTTTTGACTTCTTCTTTTTGTTGTTTTCGGTGTCTGTGAAGACTCCTTCGTCCAGTGTTTCTTGCAGGCGTATGTGCTCGTCACGCGTCCCTCTCCAGAGAACGTCGTACCCGGTGATTGGGGGTGTTGGTGTCTTGAAGAGTCCTGTGGCCATGGAGGGAAGCAGCATGGCATTGTCTTGTGAACTGCTTTCATCGTGGGTAGAGTCTGCCTCCGTGAGGGCTGTTGGGTTGCGTTCTTGTTCGGTTGGCGAGGCATTCGTGATGGTCGCGGTGTTGTTGTTGTTGCCCTCTGTGAGAGGCGGAAGAAGCAGCGTGGTAAGGTATTGACTAAAGTTTTTGCGCCAGAAGGCAGTACTGGCACCGTAAAGTAAAGTACCACTCTTGTATAGCAGCAGTGTTGCGGGATCTATGTTGGGGCTGCCGCCCTGTTGGGGTGTTGTTGTCGTCCAGCCGTTGAAACTGCCGCTGAGCCCGTTCCCACGACTGTTAGGGGCAGGCACAATCGTTGCAGCGGCAATAAGTTGTGCGCGGTAGAGGGAGGCGATTTGCTGCGGCGTGGCTGCTGTCTCAGAGAAACATATTTTTCTTGGGGGCATCGATATATTTTTATAACCTGCCGATGGTGGTGACATCATTCCAGACGTCGTGACTGCTGTGCTCGCCTGATCCCGCGGCCGCGGTGAAGGGTGGTAGTGGTGGTACCGGCACCCAAGCAGGACGTAACAGTTTTGCAGAGCTGGTGACGGCACAGTGGGCCCAGCACCGACGCCGTTGTTTGTAAAGTACGCCGCACTCGTTGAGACGCCGGCAGCTGACGCCGAGGTGGATGAAGTTGACGTCGTTGTCGGAAAGGCCGTGACCGCTGCGGCTGCCGGACCGCCCAGCAGGGCATCGGCGTAACTTTCAACGGCCCGTGTGGCGAGCCCAACGAAAGGGATGGCTCCAGTGAACGGCGGGGACTTAATAGCGTTTTGCGGTGCGAAGCTGGCGGCACCTGCGGCAACGTCGTTGGCGGTGGTGACGGAGATGCCGGTGGACGGCTTAAAGTGCTCCAGCACGAAGTTCATTGGCAAAAGTTCCAGTCGTGTGTAGCCGGTGGTGTGCGGCGCGAGCAATTCAATCATGCGGCCCATCAGCGAGCCGGTGTTACACTCGGCGTTGAACATCATCGCCTCGTTGTTGCCGTAATATACCGTGAAGTACGTCATTGCTTCTTCTACCGCTAATGCCGCCCCCCTTCTCTCCTCACAACTTCAGCGGCAATGGACGAGACGGCCGTTTTTACCGCGGGTGCGTAATACGAATTGTATGCGGTCCGCATCAACAATAACAAACAAAAAAAACAAGGGAAAAAAAAAAAAAAAAAAAAGAAAAAAACATAAATAAATAATAGATATCAAAGAAAAGGCAAATATATATATATATATATTTACACGTATTATATTTATTTATATTTATAGCATTACATTACATACACTTCCTGCGTCGTATCGTTCATAAAATGTATACCACTTCTTCCTGTCCAAGGTATTCCGGTATAAATCATATAAGTCATGTACACACAAAAGGGAAAAGGAGCAACAGAGAAATATAAATATAAATATAAATAGATAGATACATAGATACATAGATAACACGTGTGTACCCTTTCTTACGCCACCTCGTACACGATATATTCCAATATAATACCCGCTGAACTTACAAGTGCGTTGAGTGAAAAAAGTGATTTCAAAAATGGAATTGCCAATAATGTCACAAAAATGCTACCAAATAACATTACCGCAAACACAACGCCAAAAGATGTTGTTAATAATTCCTCCACAAATCCAATCAAGTCACCTCTCTTTAATGATGTGTGCTCCTGTAATAATTTGTAGCCAATGACACAATAACCCACCATGGCAAGGGAAAGAAGTATCGTAAGGTTCTCCACGACAATACCACGCCAGCCATTCTGTAGAATAAAGCTTAGCCATTGCCCGGTACAAAATGGCACCACAACATACAGCCGTTCCCCGATGGCATGTGTGGGGTAGTAACGATCCTCGTCAATATCTTTCATCTTACACAGGATGCCACCAACGATACCCTGCAGCATCGACACAGCAATCCACAGAAAGCGTGGGCTGTCGTGATCCTCAACACCACCACCACCACCACTCCCGCCTGCATGCACAATCGTTCCTCCTCCCCCTCCTCCACCTGCCACAACGGGGGCCGCCAAAAAGGTCGGCCGGCTGCGCTGAGCAAAGGCGACCGTATCGGGAAACATGAAAACCCACGCCTCCTCGCTCAGCACACCAAACAGCCATGAAATAATCAGCAGGTACTCCCCACACTGTTTGTAAACCGCGAAGTAGTACGTGACGGCAATCATGAATAGACTACACGTTAACACGTAAAACAGCGTTGAGATGCTGTTGGCGGTGTTGGTGGTGGCAACAACGTACATTAACGCCATTGAGTGCGGTACCCATAACAACACAGCAGCCACACGCAACGTCACGTACATGCGTCGTACATTTGGTGACATAGATCCATGATGACATGTCCCAGACCCTGAACTCCCTATTTCTGGTGCCTTTTTTTCCTTCTCTTCGGCATCCGTCATGATTGCGAGTTTTGTGATACGAATGCCCCTAATTATTTTTTTCTCCTTCTGTTCTTCTTTTTTTCCCCCTTCACTCCTTCTCGCTGTCTCGTGTTATCGGCAGCACCCCCCGATTCTCCTCCTTGCACTCCTGATTATACCTTGCATGCATGCATGCAAAGTGGGCGAGGGGGGCGGTTAGAGGAAGAGGGGAAGGGCGGGGAGGTCCATTGAAGCAGATGCCTCACAGCAACAGCCATACATACACACACACAAACACACAGACAGAGAGAGAGAGAGAGAGAAAAGGAGGAGGAGCAATAAAAGAAAGTATGTGTTCACATAGACACACCAACACCACCACCACCATCACCGCCATTATCATCCTTAAATCAATCGTGCGGCGTTGATTGCAGACTGCGTTAGTTTGCTTTTTCTTTCTTTCTTTCTTTCTTTTTTCCTTCTCTCACTCTCCTCCGTTTCCCTTTTTAGAAATGAGAGTAAAGATGCCTCCCCCCTTCCCCCCTCCCAGTTTCCCTGTCGGTCCTGTCACCAGCGTTGCTATCGCTGCAGGGGGATCGATAAAACAGACTTCTGTGTCATTGAGGCCCGTGAAAACTCCAATGAGATGTCATTAAAAAAAAAAAAGCGATACATGCACATGCAGCTGTGTGTGTGTGTAGAGAGAAGGAGGGAGGGGTGACACGGAAGATGTCAGGGGTTCATTGGCGGTTGAATGTAGATGGTGTAGCCGCATGCCGTCTTGTACATGTCGGTCAGTACCATGCCACCTGGTGTAGACTGAACCATTTGCCTCCCATCGCCACCCCTCTGCTGGCTCACGTTGTGGGCATCCACGCTTCCGGCGATGGCCACGAGGCGGGTTTCGCCAACATTTTCTACTTCGTGTAAAGATCTGTAGCGCTGGCAGAATTTCGTGCACGTACATGTGCAGTACGGCGCCGGCTCCACGTTTTCCTCCTCTCCCGCAATGGCCACCAAATGCACCGAATTCCAGCACAAAGGGTTTTGTGGATACGTATGCCCCTCAATTGAATCCCCCGCGGGAGCCGCAGACATCTCCGGCGTCGTCGTCATTGCTGCTGCTGCTGTGGGGAAGGCACTTTCGGCGTGCAGCGGTGGTGGTGGCTGCTGCTGCTGCTTGTGTTCGTCAACGCCGTCTATCGGCTCCGCGGTGGGCGGTTCGGGCCGGACGTCCTCCTCCGAAAACACCGGCGGCGATGCGGAGAGAATTGGCTGCAGTGGAGAAGACGATGATGAGGAAGACGAACATGACGGCACACGCACCACCGCGTCCACCCCATTGTTACCATCATCATCATCAGCGGCAGCAGGCAACTCACTGACGTCCCTTTCGGTGTGAAGAGGTTCCGGACATTTGTGTTTCGTGTCCTCAGGGCGATCATGAGAGGGAGAATTTTGGCTCAACGCCTGCCCCGTCGCAGGCTCATCGCCCTCGGCCCCGTCTCTCTTTTCGGTACGTGTGGAGGGTTTCGTGCCGGCCGTGTCGGCTGCCGCGTCCCTGTGGCACTTTGCCTCCGCTGCCAGGCTGAGTGGTGCCGCCGCAACCGACAAGGACGGTGCCGATGATGAATTCTTCGATGAAGACGTGCGAGGCGTCAAATGACACCGCGGGCTCTTCACCCCCAACATTTTCATCCGCAGAAGATCCCCCCACCGCTTATGCCTTCTGTACCCACTTAAGAGGTAGCCTGCTTCCTCCGCTGACGGCAAAATGTCTACATTGTGGCGGCCTGCGACAACTGTGTAGAAGGCAACCAACGCATCACGGCGACGCATGACCTCTGTGATGCACTCATGTCCCTCACCGCACATCACCACCACCCGCAGGCGGTGGGGATTCATGGCGTCAAAGTACATCTTTGCGTGGGAGGTCGCAAAGAGAAGTGTCGGTATGGCGCTCATGCACGGAAGCATCGTCGTGTTTGGGTCCTCCGTCGTGGACGTCCGTACGCCGTACGCGTCCTGAATCCATCTCGGATTTCTACACACAGAGGCACGTTGAGGGGCATTAAAGAAACTCATCATTCCTGCATGTGCGACATGCTCATCTTCCCTCCTGGTACCGCTGCTGTCGTTGTTATCATTGTTGTCTGTGCACTCCAATCGGGGCTCCAGCACTCGCCTTAACGCAGAGAAATCACCCAAGTTCATCTGCAAGACCCCCTCATTGACCTCAAAAGACATGGCAGAAGAAGATGTCAATGTGCATTTAGGCTTCATGGTGGCAGCTTGCCGATTTTCTAACGATAAAGATGATGATGATGGGAATAATAATAAAGATGATGTTCCTGTAGCCTTCACGGATCCCAGTAGCGCATTCCAGTCAAACCCATCATCAAGAAGGCAGAAAGAAGTTGCATGTGTTGATATCGGCAGCGTCCCTTTCATCCCTCCCTTGTCCTTGCGACTGCCGCCCTTCTTTTTCCTCCTGTCGCCAGCATCCCCCTCATGAGGCTCCTCCGCCGCCCCGTCGTCCGTTCCACATCGCCTTGAAGTGGGCATGCAAAAACGTATCAACAGTTCGCGGGCTGCAAAGGACGTGAGGCACTCCTGCACACCCGCAGGCGATTCACATGTCAACACGCGGAAGTACTCGTCCAGTTCACGTCGCCGCTGCAGAAGAAACGTGATGGTCGGATATTTACTCCCCCGCATGATGCCACGGCCCGGGAAGTGCGGGAACGGCGGGACAGATGTCGATTGTGCGACATGCCCGACGAATGAGCGTCTGGCGCTGTTGAAATGTATTTTCTTCATGACATGGTGCAAAGAGAGGAGGTCGCTGTATCGGCGGTCTGCAACCAATCGTCTGCCGTCGCTGAGCCGCAGTACGACGGCGTACTTGACAACAAAACCCTCTGGGCTGTAAAAGACCGTGGCGAAAGGGACGGATGCCTCCTGAATACATAACCCCGCCAGCATGTCGGCTGTCAACAGGCGTGGCACCGACGCATGGACCGTGACGCCACGCACGTCAGCACTAAACGTGTTGGATGGGTCCTTCTCAGCGCAGCGGTGTGGCTGCAGACGATGTCGAATGCGGGAAAAAAGCGACTTGTTGCCTTCCTTCACACGCCTCGGATCGCTGCGGCCATCGTTCCCCTCCTCCTCCTCCGCCTCCTCGTCGTCATTGCCTTCCCCCGCTCTACTCGCTACCGACTCGCCCCTCTCCATCCTCTCTAATGTGCCGTCGGTCAAATAATTCCGCGGCTCCTTCTTTTTCTTTTTGGCCTCTATTGCCGCCACGTCGAAAATGATGTCATCTTCCCCAGTCATTCCACGCGACATGACGTGACATGACATCCCTCATCACAAATAAATACGGGAATAATAATTTAAAAGAAAAAAAAAAAGAAGATGTGTATAAAAATGACAGGAGAAAAAGAAAAAGTGAAGGCAACACACCCCTCTCCACACAAAAACACCATCAGATACATAAAATACATACATACGTATAAATACAAATACATACACAAGACATATATACATATATATATATAAACGCAGAAATCCACCAGTATTGCATGGATTTATTTGTGTGTTTGTGTGTCTTCCGCCGTAGACAGTGTGTTGTAAATTATTTTTTTTTCCTTTTTTTTTATTTTTTTTTTATTTTTTTGGAAGGGGGGGGGGGGTTGTCCTCAAACACATTACAT